AAAAAAAAAAAAAAAAAAAAAAAAAAAAAAAAAAAAAAAAGAAATCTGTGGAAAAAAGTCCAGAGCTATTAGGCTGCAGAAAAATATACAATAGAAAAAAGTTGTGGTGTAATTCCAAGATGTTATTGCTAACGGATAGACAGACAAACGGACAAAAGACATGGCAATAGGTTATTGGACCTAAAGGTCCAGTAACCTACAATACTACTCAAATGTCAAATCTGCTCATTTAGTTTCCTATAAAAAAAGTAAACACTTCTGCATAGAATTAACAAATTTTCAGAATATTGATAATCACAGCTTTTCAATGAGTTGTGCCTTGTATGATCGCTGCCTTTTAAAATGACTTCTTTTGACATTTTTGCACGTTAGCTCATCTATAATTTTGTAACATGTGAAAAACAGTTTTGGGAAAGAATAGTCTGTTTTGAACCCATGACCCAAATAAGAATGTAATATGGATAGGTATTCTTCTCTAAATATACCGACTAAATAATAATTTGCAAAATAACTGCATTTACACCTAAGACACATAAAATACTGTAGTGCACATAACATGAAATGTTAAATCACACCATACACACAGTTAAAAAGTAACACTAATAGTAATACAAGCTGTCTTGAGGATTAACCCCTCGCTTAGTCATGCCTTGATTTCAACACACTCCAGGCTTAGAAAGCACTGGCCTTCAGCGCACCAAATATTTGACCATCAGTAGCTTATCAGCATACACTCCCCCCTCCCCAAAGGAAAAAAAAAAGTTAAATTACAATTTTTGTAGTACATGGCGTAAGTTAGTTAATGCTATTTATTACTTGGCAGAATGATGACTAAAGAATACAATATTAGCAAGGCAGTGCACAGAAAAGTTTACATACTAGCAATGCCACATAGCTCCAGTATTCCTTTGAATCCCCATTTCAGATTAGAAACATTACTCTGGAGGTGGCAGGTGCATCTAAGACCAACCTACAGACAAAATCTATGGCTAAAATCCACTACCTCTGTACTTTCTTTACTGAGATGAAAGGTGTATTGTGACAGTAAATGTGGTTAATATGTATACATGTCAACTTCTTGCTAGAGAAAAATATGTACAAGTTTACATTCTATTGGTGTAAAAGCCATTGATAATGAATCCTTCAAAATACCTTAAATGAACTTCTACGCTACTGAACACAACAGCAACCTGATTTTTTTAATTGGACACAAAATTATTTAAGGAATCATTAACAGACAAATATTTCTAATTATCAGTATGTTACAGCGAGTTGGGGTTTCCAATGTAACTTCATTAATACTGTCCTTCTTGCCACTACATAATGCTGTTTCCTTCCCTGGCAAGTAATTTTATTTCTTGTCAGATTTTTGACACTGGTTTACAAGATTTTGTGAAGCATTTTTTTTTCTATTGTTTAAGTTGATGACGTGGCTCTAGCATAAAACACAATGTTTTACAATTTATATAACTATTATATAATTACTATAGCTTATCAAAAGCACTTAACATGTTATATGAGGAAATGACAATCATAATAGCATTGGTCTTCAACACAAAAAGACCTGGTGGGTTCCAAATGCATTTAATTGAATGTGACCTTTAAAATTTAACATGAAAAATTCCATAATTATAAAAGTGCCCCTTATTTAGCCCAACTGCATATAATGGCATATTATAAGAAAGTTTTAAGATAGCTACCCTCATGGCAGTATAGATTGCTAATAGTAAAGATACATTTCATCCAATGTACACACTTTTTAATCATGTTGACATTGAAAATGTTGAATTAAAAGCCATCTCCCTTTTTCATGGCAAAAAAAACTTCATGACTGGAATGTCCCACATTACTATGTGTCCAGTTCTATGCTGTATTCAAACACTGGTAACAGTTGTAACATATAAGCATTCTTCCAGCCAGCAGAGATTTATTCATACAACAGTGACTTAGCATTCATAATTCAGCAAACATCGACATAATCAGCATGTTACAGTGTGTATAATTAAATCAACTTTTGTAAATCTATTGACCGGGTGTCATAGTCTGCAACTTCTCTTGATTCAAGGTAACATAAACAACATTCCCTGAGTGGGTGGGAGTCCATTTCCTTAATCCAACAAGTCTACACGTTGGTGATGAAGAAAATTCTACTGCCACGCTGTAAAGACAAGCTTTTTTATTAAATAGTCTAAATTCCAGTTTCAGAATATAAGTGACCCTCAACCAGGAATCTACAGTTTTTGGGAAAATGCGTCTTTTGAAAGTTGTCAGTATTACTTGCAATCAAGCAAGGCTTATCAAGGCAAGCAGCTTATGAAGCATATGGTTAGTTAAAGGTGTAAGCATTAATACAGAGCTTCCTTCATGAGAACACATCCTCAGCACTATAATACAGCCAGTATCACACTAAGTCACCTCCCTGGGCTCATCAGTACAAATGGTGTTTAACTTGAGCAAACAAGTAACTCGTACAGTAAACAAATCAGTAACAGCAGTAAGTAGTCCTTCCACATACATAACCATTTCAGCTCTAGCTCTTAAAACAAGCATCAAAACATAAATTTTGGTTGTTTAGTATTGACATAAATGTTTTGTCACATTCTAATTAAGCATTAGTAAGTGGTATATTTATATTCATATACATATACATAAAAAAGCCTGATTGTTACCAAAAGAGCCCAAAAACAGCCAAAATATGAGTGGCTGATATGCTATCTAATGTGCACCTGTTCCAAAAAGCAGCAGGCGGGTTCAAAATGAACATTGTATAAAACATTCATATACCAAGATATCCCAAGGGAAAAATATGCAATTAAGTAGTACATCTACACATCCTGATTCTAGGGGCAATTATTTCTTACCAAACCTTGTACATAAAAATACTAGGACAATGTATAAATAAAACACTCTAAATTTCAGTGGTAGTGCCAAGCATGGGTTCCAAAGTGGTATCAGAGTTGTCATCAGAAATGTTGGTCACCTTCCTTGGGCCCTGGTCAGACAAATCAGAATTTTCGTCAGATGTTTGAGAGTCCCCCTCTGCCTCCTTCAAGGACATGCTCATTCTCTTGACACTAAAAGAAGAAAAGAAAAAAATATGGACAATTGGAAAAAACCCCTACTAAATCTGGCTTGTATTATGTTGTTTTAATGAAATAACAAGTTTAATGGACAATAACTTAAACTAAACTATGAACCAGATACTTTAGGACACACATCTTAAATATATCTAATATTGTATTTCAGTGGAAACTATGCTTGTTGCTATTTCTATGCTTAGTATTAATATTAGTATTAATATTAATATGCTAGGTTCATAAGTAACACATTTCAACATTCTATATATAAACAACACTTTTAACCAAAAATTTTTTTTTTTTTTTGGATTTAAGCCTGCCATACATTTTTCTGTTTTAAAATCAAAGTACCCTATCCATACAAGATTCTGTTCTAAATCAATCAAAGCAAAAGCACTTATCTAATAATCTATGTCCATCATCCATGGAAAAATTATATAGCTAAATATGTATATTAGTCTAGTGCTACTGTGTAAATATAACATTATATACAGAATAGCACTAAACTCATCAAATGGACTAAAGGTTCGATACTAAGGATATATTTTTGAGACTATTTAAAACCACAAGATATTTACAGCTGGTCTAAAAGTTTTACCAACCAGACATTTATTTATACAAACCTTTAAACCATTCAGTTCTAAGCATCTAATGTAATCAACCATTTACAATGAGAGCCAACAATGGATTCAAGATATTGCACGACTGCAGACTAGATTTTTATATTTGCATTCATAATAATAAATATATATATCAGAGTAGTTATTTGGCAGCCATGAGCCCCTCTTGGATCCACCTGTGCCCAGAGTATTTGATAGTCATCAAATGAGGGAGAGCAATCACTCTTATCTCCCTGGTTCAATAGATATCATCCACTTCCAGTTACCAGTCAACACACATATCTGGTTCACCAACTGGTACACACAGGAAGAAGCTAATATTCATATTGCTCCCATGCACTCTCTATGATAATGATGTTTGTTTTTTCATTTTGGATTCTAAAGTCAGAAATAGGGTATAGATTTACAGGGATGTCATTTGTCACTAATAAAATAATCAAATCATATAAAAATATCTAAAAATTGATACAATTAAAGCACAAACTGATTCTTTAATACACAAAATTTTGAGGATCTGTGACCACATGACATGCCTGTTATATATAGGATGTGGTAGAAGAAAAAGCTTAATTACATATACAAACCTGTACTACATTGGTAATTAAAAATATATATTGATATTTCCCATAATCACCTAATCAGTAGGCAGTATTCCAGGGATTTATTTGTTTATCACAAGGTATACCCACACCATACAATGCAGAGCAGTACTCCAATCTAAACAGATTGTTTTGTCTAAAGATCATATCCACATGCAGAACTGAACAATCTGAGATCACTCAAGGGGACTTTATAATCAGTGACTCCATTTTGAATCACAGAAAATAGATTGGAACCCTAATACTTGCCCTTTACAATCTGTCCTCCAGAACATCAGTGGATTTGGCTTTATTTAAGCTAAACAATTTCAAAAAAATCTTAAATGACATAAAAAGATACCATTTGAAGTACTTGTTGGTTGCAGAGGCTATCTAAGAGAATTTGTTTCTACGCATGCTGTTATGTTATTCTCTAAGAAAGATAAAAAAGAAAGAAAGTAGTTACTTTTTAATTCTGTAAGGTCAAGATCAACAGAATGACAGCATAAAGAAAACTGACTAATCTAAGAGACTGTAGCAGTAGAAATGTGAAGAATTTCAAACTTTACTTTAACACAGCCATACAAAATTAAGATGAGTATAATATGATAAATGTGTTGAAGTAGAATTAATATTGGTTGCCCTAGCTTTTTATTGGCCAGTCAAATGATTTACAAACCAATTTCCAAACATTAAAAAAATTCATTCTGCCTTACAAAAATAAAATAAAATAAAATAAATAAATAAATTAATTAATTAATTTACACTTATATGCTTATTGTTTCTATAATACCCATTCATCGTATATCACTGAAAATGTGACCACTTGGAACAGACTGACTGGCTAATAGTAAGCACAGGCAAGAAATGCTGTGAGTAACTAACCTGTTCATACTTAGATCTATCTATAGTAATCTGACTATGAAAAGCCAAAAATAAACTAATTAGAATGAAAGGCATGCAAAGAGAAGATGGATCAGATTAGTTTAAACATAGAAATTGTTAATTAATCATTATTGAAAGCAAACATAAGTGATAACAAAAGTATGCTTAATATTAAACATACAAAAACTTAAAGTTAATTAGAAGTGTACTTAAAGGTTAATGAAAAATGTACAAAAAAATGAATAAAAAACAAAAATTAAAGACATAATTGTTAGTCAGTGAAGAATTATTAGCATATAAACTAAATGTGGCTTCATCATACAGGTATTTTAAGCAGCAAAAAGAGATTTCAATAATAAATGTGTCAATTTATCAAAATCTGAAAACAATGAGGGGATTTTCATTTAATACATGCCAATAATAAATGTGTCAATTTATCAAAATCTGAAAACAATGAGGGGATTTTCATTTAATACATGCCAGAAAGAAATTTTAAAATTAGGGTTATTCAGTTTATAAAACTCTGTTCTTTTCTTTATTGATAACCAATACAGTATCAAATAATGTTAAAGATGTTTAGGAAGATGTGGTTGAACATTAAAACATGGTCTTTTTACTTCAGAAAATGGTATTGCTGCAAGTAAACTACTTATCACCTGCTGCTTAAAAATACTGTAAAAAGCCCAAGTTAATAAAGTTAAAATGCCACCACTATCTTAACTGTCACACTAATGAACATAGTGTTTATTACAAATGAATTTCTCATAAAGGCACATACTCATAGAAGCCTGGCAGTCCAAACTGCTCTCCCTGCTCCAGGTTTTCTGGCATAGGTACATTGTTAGTCTCTGGGAGCAACAGGGCCAGACCCCCAGCAATCAGTGGAATGATGCCAAAGATAATCTGTGGGACACTCGAATGAGTGTAGTCACCCTAATGACAAAAAAAAAAAAAAAAAAAAAAAAAAAAGATAAATATGGTTATGAATATAAATACAGAATGTATTTAACAGTTTAATGACAAATGTGTAAGCTTAAGTTATATTGTGGTGGCACAGTACATATAATTTGGTTAGTTGAGAATTGTATGAAATGCAGCAAGTGCTAGAAGTGAAACTTACCATTAAGTTCACTAGAGGAGCAAGAATTCCTCCCACCCTGGCAAACATGGAGCTGACACCCACTACTCCATTCCTTATCACAGTCGGGAATGCTTCGGCTGAGTAGTTGTACACAAGGACAAAGGCGGAACCTGTGAACGCCTTACCAATCATGGACAAAGTGATGACTAGCCAGTCTAGTCCTACAGAAAAGAAATATATTTTGTTACAATTTTAACACACATGTTTTGTGGAGTGCCTAGACAGCTACAGAGAAACACTTAACACAGAAATACATTCAAAAATTTCCAATCATCTCATGCACAATTACAATGCAATGGAATGACAATTAAATATGTATTCGAATATGCTTGCTACTCTTCACAATTTTCATAATTTTGCATTCACACAGGCTGCATAAAAGAGGAAATTGCAAATATTTACAACTTATCTTCCAATACATGAATTGAAAAAAGCCCACAAATTACAAATTTAGCAAACAAATGTCAAAATGTAGCCTCCTCAAAAATATTTTTCACGCATATGAGATGAAAAAAAAAATGTGTGCACACCAATATGCCTACCTCCACCAGGAGAAAGAATAGGAATCACACCAGCCCCAATGCAGGCTACTCCACAAAAGATCATACTCATACACAAACATGGCCGCCGCCCAAGTCTGTCCATAAGGAGGATGCAGAAGAGGAAGCCAGGGAATTCCACAATACCAGACAGAGACAGGTTCAGGTAGTCATTGCCTCCCGGAAGTTTTGAGGTACTAAGTGATAACCCATAGTACACTAAACTCACTGTGAACCTAAAATACAGATAACAGAGTGAAATTAAATACAATGAATATGAAGCACAAAACCCTGAAAATTCTGATAAAACAATTTTACTGTTGGGGTAACAATGTGGTTAGAGTCCTGATGAGGTTTTCTGCTACAATCTAATTAACTTTTTGGAGAGTGAATATAAATCATGAACGATAACATTAAAAGTCCCACTGATTATCAATAAATGACATCATTTTGTTCAAAGAAAAACATGTATGGTAGAGTCCTTAAATATTTGTAGCAGATGCCTTTCAGGAACAGTAGCACACTGCCTTCCCTCTTCAAAACCTATGAAAGTCCCATCATGCTACCAACATACCATTTATCATGTGAAGTATCAAAATGATACAAATTTTTGAATTGCTCACAGATGGTGCTTTAATCATTGGAATGGAAGATATCTGCACAAAATTTTTCCTGTAAAAATTCTATGATTTAACAATGCAGTCTTCTACCCTGTATTAAAACTTAGCAATCACCCCTACATCAAGTTCTCACTTTGGAAAATAAAAACTTTTTCTAATCCCCACCTGACCTGTTGTCCATTCTTAAAAATTCCTGAAAAAAATTATTTTGTTGCATCATGTTCTTGGTCTATGCTGTAAGCTGAAGGATGATATACCAATTTTACAAATTATTTGGACCAGCAGACTGTGAACAACCAGACACTGCTTTGGCATCAGCATATGTGTTCATTGTGACACTGTGGAAAATATATTTGTTCCATTGTGACAGTGTAAGAAATGTATTCTTTGTCAGAGCATTTCAGCCAGTATTTGGAACCTCTCAGCTGAGACCATATGATTAGAAGATTAGATCTATGACAACTTATTTCCTAAACTATATAAACCAGTACAGCTACCCAGCCTCCTAAAACCTACTCCTTCTCTCTCATTCTGTGATCCCCCTTGTATGGTGCTCCCTTAAAGACAACATGCACGCTGCTGGAAAATGATGGCTAAATTATCTTGCAGAGTTCTCATGTAAACATTTACAGTATCACTACATTTCAAAATAATGCAAAGGTCCAACACAAACCTGTTGGCCATCCAAACAGTTGTTCAGGGATAATACTTCGTAATGTCATTTGGTTGTTATTATTATTCAAATTCTACCCTAGGGGACTTGCAATGTTTGCAAAACAGAAAATAGCATTGTATCCTTATGACAGTCCCAATGCCTTTTATGTTATTTCTATTTAGGCAACTATGCACTGCCTCACAAATATCTGGCACATGGTTCTATACCTTTTTTGTATAACTACAGACTAAAATTTACATATTTGAAAACACTTTGTGGCTAGCCTCTACCTGAAGTATAACTGGTGCCAATAAGAGAAAAGATAAACAGACAATTCACCAAATCACTGTTACAAAATTAACCAGGAGGAAACATGAAGTTTTTGAAATTCATCTGCTGAAGAAACGATTTCACAGAAAAAGTTGACAACTCTGGGCCTGTATTCTACTGCTTTAATAAAGAGCAAGTTAATATCAATCAAAATATAAGTACAGATATTTTAAGAAAGTGTGCATGAAGATCCCTTTGACAATTCAAATGATGTTCTTTCAGTCATCAATACAGTGGGGTCTGAACAAGTGAAACCTAGAATGCTGAATTTCCTTTTGTATGATAGGAGACAAAGACAAGCTGCATTGTTGAAACCATACTACATGTGTGATAGAGTGATGACCACATGACTGCTGTTGGCACAACTGTGGAACTTTCATCATGAGCATGTATGAACCACTGTTGTTATAAAGAAGTTAATGGAAAAAAGATTTCTGAAATGATAGCAACATGTACGCATCATATATAACAATCGGCGTATGTTCACCATATGTCATACTTACGGCATCAACAACCTTAACTTACCCGCCACCCAGTCCTCATATATGAGAATTGAGTAATATGGGAAAAGTATCAGGAAATAATCAATCAAGGCAGTGTGATTCAGGCTAGCTCTTTATGCCCCAGCAATCTCTTAAAACTAACACACATCATGTATGCTGGAGGACACAATTGAAGCATCTAAGGTGATGATTCTGAGGAATAAATCACCTGCAATGGATATAGCAGCTAGCAGTAAATCAAGGAATTTCGCTGAAAGAAAACAAAGTGCGTTACGCATGAATAGAGTATGTTTGTGACAAAACATACTTCCAAGTCCCTATGGGATTAAAGCGAAAAGTATGACCCAGTTAGAGCTGAAAGGTAAAGATTTTTTTACTATGATCTTGATTTTTAATAAATGTATATAAATATTGTTAATTTTCACAATCATTCAAATATGAAAGAATAAAACATCACAAAAGAATTTTATCAATGAGCAGTCACACTGGTGTCTGATATTGCTGACAATGCTTGCACATGATGATAAAACAATTTTCAAGACAACCCATATGCTAAATCTGCAGCATTGAAAATCCAGTCTAAATCATTCTATTCCAGTGATTGTACTGCATGTCTCTTTTGCTATGAATTACAGTTGTCAGGGGCCATCATTTTCAGATCTATGAATGTAATTATAATTATTCAGCAATATGATCATTGCAAATTGATTACACCACCATACATCAAAATAAACAAGTCAAATATGGAAATTTATAAAAATATAAAAATTATAAAAATACATAAATACATTTTTGAACCCTCTACCCACATGCTTCTGTGCCCCCATTCACCTTGATCCTCAGTAGAAACCCATTTTCCATACTTGAATTTTTAAGCGTAACATTTCTGTCATTTTTTAAGTTTATTTCTATTACTGTTTGTATGCATAAATGTAAGTTTGAAAATATCACATTAATTTCTCCAGGCTTGTTTTTCTTTTAAGAAATATAATATACAACTGGGATTTTAGAAAAAAATCACATCAAAATTCACAATGACAATAGCACATAATGAGATGGTCAAAGCAATGACCAAAACATGAAATGCAGTTAAAGCTTGGATATGATTGTCATATTATGTCCCAGTTGTGAAAGAGAGGACAAATAAGTATGGAATATGAGCTTCTGCTGTAACGAGATTTGTGAAATACACTATACTCTCCTGTACCCACCAATTGTAAAAGATGATGAACCCACGAACTCTCATCCTAGGATAGCGCATCATGGCTAACACGTGTGCATTGTGCTTCACATCGGGCTCCAGCTGGAAGATGCAATACAGGTTATTGGTAAACCATTAGAGATAAAAACACCAGCAACAAAACAATTTCCATTAATAACATTCTTGCTCTTGGTAATTCTTATTCCCAAAGTTGCATTAAGTGCCATTACTACATTTTTTGGGATCTTTATTGATTTTATGCTAAATTGCATTTAAGGAGCCAAGGGTATGTATCTTGAACGTAAATATATTTATAACACACTGTAAAAGTGAAGGGCAATGAAAGTATCCTCTCATGACTGCTGCCATTTAAAACTGGCTCATATATAACATATAATATGCACAGAAATTACTCAAATACAAACAAACCATGCTTTCTATTTATAACTGAAATCTGTAATTCATTATTAGCCAAGTGAATGTGTTTGTGTGTGTGCGAGTATGCACTAATTACCTCATCCAGAACTTTGGCTGGTATTTGTTTGTTGTTCACTTTGGCGGCCCTCTTTATGATGTCCTTAGATTTCTCCTTATGGCCATTCTGCAGATGCCACCTTGCCGACCCTGGGATGATTTTGTCCCTGTGGAGATCACATCAAAAGCATTCATAAACAAGAACTGGGTAAAATGGATGCATAATATTGCTACCCATTTGCAAGTATTTTTTTCCTGGGTTTTATTATTATTTTTCTAATCCTTGAGTAGTGACAACATAGTAATTAATTTTTTCATACTACTATATGGCTCACGAATGTGTATAAATTACTTCACCTTAAAATTGATATAACAATAGCTTGAAGGAGAATTTTATACTAATAGTAACCCTAATGAGTTCATTCATACGCTTTTTTAGTTACCTAAGTTATTTGTGTACAATTATTGAACAAGACAAACATTAAAAACCTACAGTGAAGTCTGATTGTAAATTTAACTTAAGTCATATAAGCAAAATATAAAAAACACCATGCTTATGTGCAAAGTAAAAATTAATGCAAAATCATTGGCATAAGCTATTTATGTCATTTAAGATCATGGACAATATAAAAATTGAAGCAAAAATTCCAACAATGATCAAGCATGTACATCTATCCTCGCATTAAATTTGGTTTGAGTCAGCTGGCACATTTGGCAAAAGCCTTAGATCATATTTGTTTTTTTTGGCAAAAAAATTGAGAAAGAAACCTTTCTTTCAGGTTATAGATTTGATCAAAATAACTTGTTCATTTTATTAAAAGTTTACCTGATTGACTCAAAGCAAATTTATGTTACAGACTGAAACCAGAGAAGCATTGTTAGTGCTGAAAACACAAACATGCAATGCCATTAATAAAAGGGATATACATGACAAGGACAAGTGACACATAATTTCTTCCAGAAAACAAGGATATTTTTATAGTATAGATATCATCACAAATTCACAATATATCCAAATTCTTTTTAAGTTAACAAATGTTTCACCATTATAAATGAGCATCAAAAGCTGGTAATAAGTAAACCATGTCAGTGCATGAAAAGAACTCTTATGACTGAGAAGTATTTGAATATTGTAGATGATATCTGGTAAATTTTGATGGCCTTTTTTCTTTTTTTTTTCTTTATGGTCCCATCCCTACTGGCAGTCCTTTTAATCAGTATGGAATCCATATGTTTTTTTTTATTTGCCTCTTGTCCAAAGGAGGTTTTGGGGTGAACAAAAATAATTAATTTAAAATGTTCTGATGACAAATGTACCATACCTATAAATAAATGAAAAATTATCATAAATTGTTAGTGGAAGCATTCAAATTATATTCCAGCACCAAATTTGACCAATATGGGTTTTAAATAAAGTTTAAAATCCCAAATAGATGGTAAAACATGCAATAAAACAGCCAAAAATCATTTAAAGAAGTGGCATGTTTAGCTGTGTCAGTTTTCAATGTAATAACTAATAAATAAGCACAAGCAGCTGCAAAATCAAACGAAGCTATGACGTGCCATTCACAATGTAGTGCCTACATCTTTACTCACCAGTAATATATAAGAAATAAGAGATCTGGAACGGCAATAACAAAAGCCACCCAATTCCAATAAGGAATTAGGTATGCAGATAATGCTAAAGTACAATAACCAATGGCAAATGCAATGTGTGGACAGATTCCAGCCATTGTTCTTCCTTTGGGGGTGACAAACTCCATGCCTGAAAAGGGAATAGGGAGACCACAGTTAGTTTTTATATTTTGTATTTATGTAGAATGAAACTACATCCCCTGGAATATCCTGCTTTCCCAACAGCAATTTTTGTGCCTGAAACAAATAAAAATTTTATCATAAATGTAACTTGATCACTAAGTATGGCAGTCAATGATGATGCAAACTCAGAAACATTTCACTGCTGGTTTAGATCAATTCGGATGATAGCCTGTGAGGAGCAGCAGAAGTGTTGTCAAAGCCACAGGAAGCACCTGAACCAGTTGCTCCAGAATTCCCATCCCCATTTAATACCCTAGACAACCTGGCAGACAAAACAAATCATAGAGATAAAGGCCGATACTAATGGAAATTTCTCACTGAAGTTCAAAAGCTTATAATAATGGTCCTTTGCCAACAATCAATACATCATTTCCGAGTTTGCATGCATTTCCATTGTGTAGCCATATACATAGGCACTAAGTGTCTAAACTCCCCACCATGGTCATCATGACCACGTGTTTACATATCCAACTTTACTTACCAGCCATAGAGAAGAAAGAAAACAGATGGTATACAAATGGTTATCTGCACCCATTTCCAATATGGAAGAAAATATGCAGCTAATGACAGGGTACAATACCCCAGAGCAAAAAACACATGGTACATAATACCAGACATCACATTGCCTGAGGGGCCAATACACTCCATCCCTGTAAAATAAAAAGAAATTAACAGGAAAGTATAAAGATAAAAAAACATCATTAATATTGTATGTCTGTATCTGAAGATGAAAAATAAAAAGCTTATTTTGAAGCTTCCAATGGTTGCTGCTGATGACTGCCCTACAGCATTATTCAGAAAGGCCTTCAGCTAAGGCCCTTTTGAGTGTAATATGTGTCACCATATTACAACATTGATTTGCAAGACACTGATATGCCTATAGCATATTGGTTATCTCTTTATGAAACCATGCCACCGGCATGCAATTCTTAGGAAAAAATAAAATCACTTAAGGCCTTCTCACACAGAGTGCTATATCTTGGTGGTGCAGCTGTACCATTCCTTGGGAAGTTTAGTTCAGTTTATTTCAGGGCCCCATATTGCAGTCAGTATATGGGGTGAATGTCATCTGTACAAAGTAAATAATTTTTTTTTTTCATTAATGGTTTGGGTGACTCCCTTTCATAATAGCCTGGCAAATGCTTTGTCAATCTCTCAAAGTGTACTGGTGCAGTTGTGTCACAAAGACAGAAGTGTCAACTTTGGTAAAAAGTCAGATTATGCCTATTTTACTTTTTCACTTAATTTTTCAACCACTACCAAAATTTAAAGCACAACCACAACAAAAACTAGGCTTAGAATTTAAGGCTGGGTAACAGCAATGAATCGCCACAACATGGACAGATGGGTGAATCTTTGTTCCAATATATATGTAGTCATTTATCCAATTTATTGTGTCTGAATATAACCAGTCTAGATTTGGCTGCACTAGTTTGACCTAAAGAAGATGAGTTATGAAGCACAGAATCCATCAGAATCTTGAGTTTCCACAAATCTTGACCAATATAATGTCCATGCTCACATGTATATGTCCTTAAACACTGTAACTGGATTAAGCAGTTCAACCGTCATTTAAGGAGGCTCTCTCATATAAGCTTGAATACTTTTTACGACAGTGACTAATGATTAAAATATATCATGCAATAAAATATGTAATTCATACTTCAATGAAAGGTTTGTTGTTATTTTGATCGAAGCGTTAAGGATATGTCAACAAAACATTGCATTTAGCAAAGAACACTCGGTGACGCTTGGACTTTTACTAAGTAACATACCCAATTACAACTTGATTACAAACTCTGTGATGTTTTTGGGGATGCTACCTCTCCAAAACTAGTTACCCCCCAAATTTTTTTCATACAAATAACTCATATGGTGAGTAGATTTTGTCTTACAATTTTTATCAAAATCACTAAAGCAGAAATGGTGTTTTTGAAACATGGGAGAGCCTCCTTAAATAGAAAAAAAAATACTTTGGCAACTCATTTCACATTTCTGGCATTTAAAACCAGTAAAAACTGACATTTTTGTGTAAAATACATAATAACACAATTCCAAAGATCGCAAAAAAAAAAAAGTCTTGAACATATAATCAAAATTTCCAGATCTGCAAAAATCTGATTTTAAAAGGAAACAAATCGTTATTCATCAAAGTAAGGCAAATCTGAATCTAATAACTCAAATGTCTCATCAGTTATTTTCAGTTGTAGCTTTTATATGTAATATCTTATTCAGCATCTCACCAATGACAAATGCAGGCAAGAAGACTCCAGAGTGAGCAGCCCCCAGCATGAAGCGTAGAATAGTGAAGGTAATGTACTCGGGAGCAAAAGCCAGTCCAATACCACTCATTACCTGAATGATTTGGCTAATGAACATTAGACGCTTGCGACCGAATCTGAAGAAGAAACAGAATAACAAATATATGAATTTTTTTCTATAAAAACAAATCAAGACACCACACACACTCTCGTGTCCCCTCCCACCAAAAAAAAAAAAATTTCATGCTCATGATAGATGAATTTATTGAGAAAAAAAGATGAAGGGGCCATTCAGAATAGAAGATCCGAGTACCAACTGGTCCAAGGCTCAAATATGGCCGACCCTACATGAAAGGAAGACTGTTTAATCCTGTAATGGTCTCTCCGCCTCTCACACGCCTCCCCAAGCGTCTGGTCGAATGGAGTTGTGATTTAATTACTGTGCCCCTGAAGGGATGATGTGTGGGGAGGCGTGTGATAGGCAGAGAGACCATTACAGGATAAAGCGGTCTTCCTTTCATGTAGGGCCACCATACTTTAGCCATGGACTAGTTAGCACTTGAATCTTCTCATTCTGAATGGGACCTAAGATTAAAAAAAATTCCAACAGTATTGAAGTTTCCTTGTAGTATCATTGTCAAACTCTTCCCTGCACTTGGATTCAATGTATATATTATTTCTAAATGACTGGCAAGTTACATAGACAACCAAGAATTCCTGTTCATTTCAGAAGGAAATTTCAACTCCAGGTACTTTTACATGAGGGATTTTAACATTATATAAGTCTGGATAAAGGATATGTAGACAAAGAATATATGACTTTGAGGCATTTTCAAATGCATAAAGTATATCTTTAATCCACTGAAGTGCCTGTTTTGTTTAAAACCAAACAACATGTCAAAGATTTTAATTCCAGGAGCTGGTTGTATTCAATGTAATGGATTTTTATCATGAACATCTATTTTAAATTCATATTTTATGACACTGATAAATTAGGTAAAAGATCATTTTAATACCAGTGTGAGTCATGAGAATATTGTATATTAGGAGGTTTGATGTTTCTATAATCACATTATTTGCAGACAGGCTAATAGGAGTGCACAAAAGACGATGAAGTTTAACAAATTGGTAAAAAAATTAGATTACACAAATGGTGTTCAAGCCACCACAGCTGAGAACTGCATGAAGGCAATCAATGTGTTACACTTCTCTCTTTTCGTTACAACAGACAAATACCCAAGACCATTGAAAGTATGTGCATCTGACACCCTTGCAAATATTTCAAAAACATGAAAATCATTTTTGCAAAGACATGTTCTTTAAATAAAAGAAAGAAAGAAAAAAAAGAAAAAAACAAGAAAGAAAGAAGGAAAGAAAAGAATTGGCTACTTTATGATGAGTGCAATTACATTCTCTAACACTTTATTGATATTTCCTTAATTAAATTATTATTTTCTGACTTTGACTTAATAACTTGGCTAAGGTCCAATGCCTCTTGGCAGACTGTTTGTGATCTTTTAAAAGGTGAAATCTAATTCAAAAAGNACATACGGGTGGGGACTAAAACCATGTGTACCGCCAGCGCCTACGCTGGTGGTACAATAAGCATCAAAAGCTGGCAATAAGTACACCATGTCAGTGCATGAAAAGAACTCTTATGACTAAGAAGTATTTGAATATTGTAGATGATATCTGTTAAATTTTGATGGCTGTTTTTCTTTTTTTTTTTTTCTTTATGGTCCCATCCCTACTGGCAGTCCTTTTTATCAGTATGGAATCCAAATGTTTTTTTTTATTTGCCTCTTGTCCAAAGGAGGTTTTGGGGTGAACAAAAATAATTAATTTAAAATGTTCTGATGACAAATGTACCATACCTATAAATAAATGAAAAATTATCATAAATTGTTAGTGGAAGCATTCAAATTATATTCCAGCACCAAATTTGACCAATATGGGTTTTAAATAAAGTTTAAAATCCCAAATAGATGGTAAAACATGCAATAAAACAGCCAAAAATCATTTAAAGAAGTGGCATGTTTAGCTGTGTCAGTTTTCAATGTAATATCTAATAAATAAGCACAAGCAGCTGCAAAATCAAACGAAGCTATGACGTGCCATTCACAACGTAGTGCCTACATCTTTACTCACCAGTAATATATTAGAAATAAGAGATCTGGAACGGCAATAACAAAAGCCACCCAATTCCAATAAGGAATTAGGTATGCAGATAATGCTAAAGTACAATAACCAATGGCAAATGCAATGTGTGGACAGATTCCAGCCATTGTTCTTCCTTTGGGGGTGACAAACTCCATGCCTGAAAAGGGAATAGGGAGACCACAGTTAGTTTTTATATTTTGTTTTTATGTAGAATGAAACTACATCCCCTGGAATATCCTGCTTTCCCAACAGCAATTTTTGTGCCTGAAACAAATGAAAAATATAATCATAAATGTAACTTGATCAGTAAGTATGGCAGTCAATGATGATGCAAACTCAGAAACATTTCACTGCTGGTTTAGATCAATTCGGATGATAGCCTGTGAAGAGCAGCAGAAGTGTTGTCAAAGCCACAGGAAGCACCTGAACCAGTTGCTCCAGAATTCCCATCCCTATTTAATACCCTAGACAACCTGGCAGACAAAACAAATCATAGAGATAAAGGCCGATACTAATGGAAATTTCTCACTGAAGTTCAAAAGCTTATAATAATGGTCTTTTGCCAACAATCAATATATCATTTCCGAGTTTGCATGCATTGCCATTGTGTAGCCATATACATAGACACTAAGTGTCTGAACTCCCCACCATGGTCATCATGACCACGTGTTTACATATCCAACTTTACTTACCAGCCATAGAGAAGAAAGAAAACAGATGGTATACAAATGGTTATCTGCACCCATTTCCAATATGGAAGAAAATATGCAGCTAATGACAGGGTACAATACCCCAGAGCAAAAAACACATGGTACATAATACCAGACATCACATTGCCTGAGGGGCCAATACACTCCATCCCTGTAAAATAAAAAGAAATTAACAGGAAAGTATAATGATAAAAAAACATCATTAATATTATATGTCTGTATCTGGAGATGAAAAATAAAAAGCTTATTTTGAAGCTTCCAATGGTTGCTGCTGATGACTGCCCTATAGCAATATTCAGACAGGTCTTCAGCTAAGGCCCTTTTCAGTGTAATATGTGTCACCATACTACAATATTAATTTGCCAGACAATGAAATGTCTATAGCATATTGGTTGTCTATTTATGAATCAATGCCACAGGCATGCAATTCTTAGGAAAAAATAAAATCACTTAAGGCCTTCTCACACCCAGTGCTACATCTTGGTGGTGCAGCTGTACCATTCCTTGGGAAGTTTAGTTCAGTTTATTTCAGGGCCCCTTATTGCAGTCAGTATATGGGGTGAATGTCATCTGTACAAAGTAAATAAATTTTTTTTCATTAATGGTTTGGACGACTCCCTTTCATAATAGCCTGGCAAATGCGATGTCAATCTCTCAAAGTGTACTGGTGCAGTTGTGTCACAAAGACAGAAGTGTCAACTTTGGTAAAAAGTCAGATTATGCCTATTTTACTTTTTCACTTAATTTTTCAACCACTACCAAAATTTAAAGCACAACCACAACAAAAACTAGGCTTAGAATTTAAGGCTGGGTGACAGTAATGAATCGCCACAACATGGACAGATGGGTGAATTTTTGTTCCAATATATATGTAGTCATTTATCCAATTTATAGTGTATATAACCAATCCAGATTTGGCTGCACTAGTTTGACCTAAAGAAGATGAGTTATGAAGCACAGAATCCATCAGAATCTTGAGTTTCCACAAATCTTGACCAATATAATGTCCATGCTCACATGTATATGTCCTTAAACACTGTAACAGGATTAAGCAGTTCAACCGTCATTTAAGGAGGCTCTCTCATATAAGCTTGAATACTTTTTACAACAGTGACTAATGATTAAAATATATCATGCAAAAAAATATATAATTCATACTTCAATGAAAGGTTTGTTGTTATTTTGATTGAAGCGTTAAGGATATGTCAACAAAACGTTGCATTTAGCAAAGAACACTCGGTGACGCTTGGACTTTTACTAAGTAACATACCCAATTACAACTTGATTACAAACTCTGTGATGTTTTTGGGGATGCTACCTCTTCAAAACGAACTAGTTACCCCCCAAATTTTTTTCATACACATAACTCATATGGTGAGTAGATTTTGTCTTACAATTTTTATCAAAATCACTAAAGCAGAAATGGTGTTTTTGAAACATGGGAGAGCCTCCTTAAATAGAAAAAAAATACTTTGGCAACTCATTTCACATTTCTGGCATTTAAAACCAGTAAAAACTGACATTTTTGTGTAAAATACATAATAACACAATTCCAAAGATTGCAAAAAAAAAAAGAAAAAAAAAGTCTTGAACATATAATCAAAAATTTCCAGATCTGCAAAAATCTGATTTTAAAAGGAAACAAATCGTTATTCATTAAAGTAAGGCAAATCTGAATCTAATAACTCAAATGTCTCATCAGTTATTTTCAGTTGTAGCTTTTATGTGTAATATCTTATTCAGCATCTCACCAATGACAAATGCAGGCAAGAAGACTCCAGAGTGAGCAGCCCCCAGCATGAAGCGTAGAATAGTGAAGGTAATGTACTCGGGAGCAAAAGCCAGTCCAATACCACTCATTACCTGAATGATTTGGCTAATGAACATTAGACGCTTGCGACCGAATCTGAAGAAGAAACAGAATAACAAATATATGAATTTTTTCCTATAAAAACAAATCAAGACACCACACATACTCTCGTGTCCCCTCCCACCAAAAAAAAAAAATTTTTCATGCTCATGATAGATGAATTTATCGAGAAAAAAAGATGAAGGGGCCATTCAGAATAGAAGATCCTAGTATCAACTGGTCCAAGGATCAAATATGGCGGACCCTACATGAAAGGAAGACCGTTTAATCCTGTAATGGTCTCTCCTCCTCTCACAGCCTCCCCAAGCGTCTGGTGGAATGGAGTTGTGATTTTATTACTGTGCCCCTGCAGGGATGATGTGTGGGGAGGTGTGTGATAGGCAGAGAGACCATTACAGGATAAAGTGGTCTTCCTTTCATGTAGGGCCACCATACTTTAGCCATGGACTAGTTAGCACTTGGATCTTCTCATTCTGAATGGGACCTAAGATTAAAAAAAATTCCAACAATATTGTAGTTTCCTTGAAAAAAGAGGCAATTTCCCCTGTTCATGTATCATTGGCAAACTCTTCCCTGCACTTGGATTCAATGTATATATTATTTCTAAATGACTGGCAAGTTACATAGACAACCAAGAATTCCTGTTCATTTCAGAAGGAAATTTCAACTCCAGGTACTTATACATGAGGGATTTTAACATTATATAAGTCTGGATGCAGGATATGTAGACAATGAATATATGACTTTGAGGCATTTTCAAATGCATAAAGTATATCTTTAATCCACTGAAGTGCCTGTTTTGTTTAAAACCAAACAACATGTCAAGGATTTTAATTCCAGGAGCTGGTTGAATTCAATGTACGTAATGGATTTTTATCATGAACATCTATTTTAAATTCATATTTTATGACACTGATAAATTAGGTAAAAGATCATTTTAATACCAGTATGAGTCATGAGAATATTGTATATTAGGAGGTTTGATGTTTCTATAATCACATTATTTGCAGACAGGCTAATAGGAGTGCACAAAAGACGATGAAGTTTAACAAATTGGTAAAAAAATTAGATTACACAAATGGTGTTCAAGCCACCACAGCTGAGAACTGCATGAAGGCAATCAATGTGTTACACTTCTCTCTTTTCGTTACAACAGACAAATACCCAAGACCATTGAAAGTATGTGCATCTGACACCCTTGCAAATATTTCAAAAACATGAAAATCATTTTTGCAAAGACATGTTCTTTAAATAAAAGAAAGAAAGAAAGAAAAGAAAGAAAGAAAAACAAGAAAGAAAGAAGGAAAGAAAAGCATTGGCTACTTTATTATCAGTGCAATTACATTCTCTAACACTTTATTGATATTTCCTTAATTAAATTATTATTTTCTGACTTTGACTTAATAAATTGGCTAAGGTCCAATGCCTCTTGGCAGACTGTTTGTGATCTTTTAAAAGGTGAAATCTAATTCCCAAAGGAATAGAGGAGATGGATGCAACCACTTACAAAACGTTGTACTTTGCTGTTTCAAAAAATTTTCTGCATAAAAGAATGTCAGCATTTATGTTTATTAACATTAAATGTGAAAAAGAGAGGCTCTTAAATAATGGGTAAATTTGATCTTTTACCTATCAGAGAGATCCCCAAACACCACTGCTCCAACCAACATCCCTGCCATGTACATGGACTGGGCCAAGTTGTTCATGAATTTACGGCTGCAAACCATATTAAACTGAAAAAAAAAAAGTAAAATACAACTTGCATTTATCATATTAGTATGATTGGAATGTGTTATGATTATTTCACATTACAAAATGATCACGTAAGTAAACTCTGAAGATAAACTATAAACTTCAAGTTCTGATTATGGTCTAAAAATTCATGAAATGTCTTATAGTTAAGAAATGGGGCTTTTAAAAGTAAAAATTGAAGAAAAGTTATGGTTAACAATGTAAGCCTTGAAGATATACTTTTATTGGTATACTATTTTATTGACAGGTCCAGGGGAGTTTGTTACACTTTGGTAAAGCATTTATGTCCTTTTTAGACCAGAAGGATTCAGATTTTATTGGCCCATCTGGATTATCACTGGCTTGGGGCCAGTAGGCCAATATTTATTCTGAACACAAGGCAACTAAAAACATCTAGATGGAGTGCAGTTAAAGATTAATATTTTACCAGGTGCTAACATTCTCAAAGGATCCATTAGATGAAAAAAAAATAAATAAAACACAAAACCTGCAGTCATTTTGCATGCAGACAAGTACCTTTGGCTCTCCTAAGAAATAACTTAGGGATTTGCAGTAAATACAAATATCCACATGTGTGCAACAGCACATAAGTTATGATATCATCCCTCAACATGGGTAAATTGATCCANTATGGTAAAGCATTTATGTCCTTTTAAGACCAGAAGGATTCAGATTTTATTGGCCCATCTGGATTATCACTGGCTTGGGGCCAGTAGGCCAATATTTATTCTGAACACAAGGCAACTAAAAACATCTAGATGGAGTGCAGTTAAAGATTAATATTTTACCAGGTGCTTACATTCTCAAAGGATCCATTAGATGAAAAAAAAAAAAATATAAAACACAAAACCTGCAGTCATTTTGCATGCAGACAAGTACCTTTGGCTCTCCTAAGAAATAACTTAGGGATTTGCAGTAAATACAAATATCCACATGTGTGCAACAGCACATAAGTTATGATATCATCCCTCAACATGGGTAAATTGATCCAACTTGGGAAATAAATGTGTATGCAATTTTCATGTAATGCAATGGCATTCTTGGAGTAAAAGAAATAATGACTCTACCATCATTTGTGCATCTTGAAATGGCGTCTTCCAAATTCCTTAAGGACAAAAATAATATCTTCAATCTCCTCTAATCTATCAAAGCATTCAAAACTAACAATTTTAAAAACCTTCAGGAGTTTACAGGTGCTAAAACTGAACCTTACATCTGAGAGTAAAATCCACTTCAGGGTGCATTTTTACAGGCCAGTTATGGCCATTATGGTTGAACATACATGGTAATACTTTTTTGATTGCTGTGATAGAGCAGTGTTTCATATCAAATGAAGCTGCCACATACTTTTATATCTGATCATCATAAGTAATTAACTTACTACTTTTATATAGGCAGGCACATTCAATCTTACAATATGCACCTGCCTGTTATCTTTACATATTTATTTATATAGAGAGAGTCATTTATAGTGTCTGTATTTAACTAGTCTGAATTTGGCTACACCACCAGTCAGACCTGGGATAAAGTTACAAAGTATAGACTGGATCAGACACTTGATTTTCACCAGTCAGACCAGGGATAAAGTTACAAAGTATAGACTGGATCAGACACTTGATTTTCAGAAATGGTGTGTTCAGCATCTGTAAGCAATATGAGGTCCATGCATACATTTGCACAATTTGCTACAGCTTGATAATGGTTGTGGTGATATTACTGAAGATAATATTTAAGTAAAAATAAACATGTCTAAATGATCCAGTTTATTAACCCTGACCATTAATACATCCTAGTTAGAGTCTAGCAGTTCATTACCTGAGAGAAAACAGACGTCTTGTACTGTGACGTGTCATAGACCCATTGGTTACACTGCTCCGTGGCAGTGGTATTGTCTGGTATTGTATACCACACCCCTCTGGTCACGTTGACAGCATAGATATTACAGCGGTCATACTGCCCATCTTCACCAGTAGGAAATATCAAGGAGTAGTTGAGGGAACCAGTTTTGTTGGAATAATCATCCCAACCTGGGACAAAACACCTAAAAAATATAATAAGTAATTCAATAGTTTTGTCATTCAAAATAAAATGACTGATTAAGGTACTATAGCCTGAAAGCCATTTCAGGTGCAATAGATAGGGTTTGGATGGTGCAATATGTATTATGCATTTTCTGTAAGGAGATCAGAGGGCAACCTATATCCATCTATATATTGCCAAAATCCAAATTTCGTCTATTTATAGTATATGGAACACAATGGTAAATGTTGATTTATCAACTTTTAAACAGTTTCCTCACTGAAGAAAGACTTACAAGTTTCTGTATAAAACTACAATATTTCATCACAGCTGGAAAGTTGTTAACAGTTTATACAGGTGCATGTACAGTAATCCTTCATATTAAAATAACATCATGCCTGGGGTTAATCTACACATGATAAGATATCATTGTCCAGGTGTATTCAAACTCTCCTTTGTCTCCAAACCAAAACTGGACAATGTTCACATCTAACAGCTGCATGAAGAAGGAATAAAGACCACTATCTTTCCCGCTATGTTCACATTAGTAAACTAAAAATTTTTCCAACTTCTCTTAAATATAATATATTTTGGCTACATATAATTTGAATTCTTTTCAGTTTATCGCTGGTATTGTGAAAAATTAGTTATCTGAATAAAACAAAAATATATCTCCTGAGATCCAGCCCACTTGTATTTATTTGATTACAAATGTATTCATACCAATAAATTAATCAGATCAGACGAATGAGCATATGGTACAAAAGACAATAAATCTAGCATTTATTGTCAAATAAAAGTTAATTATATTTAATCAAAGGTTCTGAAAAAGAAAAATAGCTAAGATAATCCAAANCCGTAATGCAATTCTTGGAGTAAAAGAAATAATGACTCTACCATCATTTGTGGATCTTGAAATGGTGTCTTCCAAATTCCTTAAGGACAAAAATAATATCTTCAATCTCCTCTAATCTATCAAAGCATTCAAAACTAACAATTTTAAAAACCTTCAGGAGTTTACAGGTGCTAAAACTGAACCTTACATCTGAGAGTAAAATCCACTTCAGGGCGCATTTTTACAGGCCAGTTATGGCCATTATGGTTGAACATTCATGGTAATACTTTTTTGATTGCTGTGATAGAGCAGTGTTTCATATCAAATGAAGCTGCCACATACTTTTATATCTGATCATCATAAGTAATTAACTTACTACTTTTATATAGGCAGGCACATTCAATCTTACAGTATGCACCAAGGCATGCTGCCTGTTATCTTTACATATTTATTTACATAGAGAGAGTCATTTATAGTGTCTGTATTTAACTAGTCTGAATTTGGCTACACCACCAGTCAGACCTGGGATAAAGTTACAAAGTATAGACTGGATCAGATACTTGATTTTCAGAAATGGTGTGTTCAGCATCTGTAAGCAATATGAGGTCCATGCATACATTTGCACAATTTGCTACAGCTTGATAATGGTGATGAGGGTTGTGGTGATATTACTGAAGATAATATTTAAGTAAAAATAAACATGTCCAAATGATCCAGTTTATTAACCCTGACCATTAATACATCCTAGTTAGAGTCTAGCACTTCATTACCTGAGAGAAAACAGACGTCTTGTACTGTGACGTGTCATAGACCCATTGGTTACACTGCTCTGTGGCAGTGGTATTGTCTGGTATTGTATACCACACCCCTCTGGTCACGTTGACAGCATAGATATTACAGCGGTCATACTGCCCATCTTCACCAGTAGGAAATATCAAGGAGTAGTTGAGGGAACCAGTCTTGTTGGAATAATCATCCCAACCTGGGACAAAACACCTAAAAAATATAATAAGTAATTCAATAGTTTTGTCACTCAAAATAAAATGACTGATTAAGGTACTGTAGCCTGAAAGCCATTTCAGGTGCAATAGATAGGGTTTGGATGGTGCAATATGTATTATGCATTTTCTGTAAGGAGATCAGAGGGCAACCTATATCCATCTATATATTGCCAAAATCCAAATTTCGTCTATTTATAGTAGATGGAACACAATGGTAAATGTTGATTTATCAACTTTTAAACAGTTTCCTCACTGAAGAAAGACTTACAAGTTTCTGTATAAAACTACAATATTTCATCACAGCTGGAAAGTTGTTAACAGTTTATACAGGTGCATGTACAGTAATCCTTCATATTAAAATAACATCATGCCTGGGGTTAATCTACACATGATAAGATATCATTGTCCAGGTGCATTCAAACTCTCCTTTGTCTCCAAACCAAAACTGGACAATGTTCACATCTAACAGCTGCATGAAGAAGGAATAAAGACCACTATCTTTCCTGCTATGTTCACATTAGTAAACTAAAAATTTTTCCAACTTCTCTTAAATATAATATATTTTGGCTACATATAATTTGAATTCTTTTCAGTTTATCGCTGGTATTGTGAAAAATTAGTTATCTGAATAAAACAAAAATATATCTCCTGAGATCCAGCCCACTTGTATTTATTTGATTACAAATGTATTCATACCAATAAATTAATCAGATCAGACGAATGAGCATATGGTACAAAAGACAATAAATCTAGCATTTATTGTCAAATAAAAGTTAATTTTATTTAATCAAAGGTTCTGAAAAAGAAAAATAGCTAAGATAATCCACAAAACAAAAAAACAGGAATAATATTGTGCCTTCTATAAAGAAATTGCACTAAAGTCATTTCTATTCAGTAAGCTGTCATGTCTCAAACAAGTTGTTTAAGCCCCCTTTACACTGGACAGCATCCTTTCTGTGCCCCATAGTATGGCCCATTTAAGAGTAAAAAATAAAAAAAAAATTTACAGGCCGCTAACATGTCGACCACTGAGCATTCACTCTGCAACCAAAGCCATGCTTGTGCCTCCTTTCTACAACCACAGCGATGCCAGTTTCATGGTCACACAAAGGACAGAGAAAGGATGATGTCCAGTGTAAAGGGGGTTTTAATGATGTTGCAGACAGTCTTGCTTTCCTCACCAGTAAATTACAAATTGAACACTCCATAAGCACACCACTCCATTATTCTAAAAAGGAACAGTAATGATGTTGCAATTTTCAATTTTCTTCTTTAAACAAATTGGCTTTTGCAGCAATGCACCATATTTTTCAAGGAAAATATGTCTTCATTTACTACTTAAGTAGATTTCATGTGTTAATATTACATTGAGTGTAGAAATGTTTCTGTCTTCATAATTACTGTAAGGGCTAGTATTTGGTTATTTTTCATAGAAAATCTGTTTTTCTTTACTATTTTATTAGAGTTCATATGTAAATATTGTTTGGTGATCCCCTGTCGGTGAATAGCTACAAATTTATGTTTTTCTACAACTTCTACCCAACATGAAATAAAACTAGTATTGTATAACATAATAGCAGAAATGAAGAGTTTCGTCTTACCCATACAGATACATTCAAAATTAGATACACTGAACATGTACAACAAATACAATGTTATCGATTTCTTACTGTAAATAATGTAAGCAGGCTGATAATGCTTAATAAAAGATGGAAAACAGACTGCTGGGCTTTACTAGTCATTAGAATACAAGCCTTCATCTCATAGCTAATCACAATGGAATTGCTTCCTACAAAACTGGCTAAATAGATTACCTAGCATGTTAAAATTTCCTTAAACTAAATAGAGTAAGCAGGGGAGTAAGGGGGGGTATAAACTGGAATATATGAAAAGCTGCATGGTGTGGAATCAATAGCTATGGCTTGCTAAAGGCAATGAATAATCAGTGTGTTCCTAACTAACAGAGGGCTTTTAGTGCATCTCTTGGTCAATGCTTCATAAAAGGCTCAATATTTGGGAGAGGTCATAAACAGCAATCAAAATAACCTTTTATTGCTAAGTTTGAAAGAACCCCCTTTTTGCCAGGAAAAGGTCCCCTCTGGGTAAAATTTTATCTAGGTACATGAAGGTTTCATGGTAAAAGGTCTACTTTTTCAGAAAAAGAACCCTTCTTTTGAAATTGCTGTCTATGGGCCTGAAGTTCACCAGCAGTATGTAATTATAAAGAACCTTACTTATCAGGTTGACCATGTGCTACAGTCACTATTTTTTAAATAGTACTTAAAAGTACAGTTATGCATTGGCACAAACTTCTTGTATGTGCATTAATCACCTAGAGCCTCTTTCTATGCTAATTCTTCCTTATGGAAAACAATGATAGAACATGTGTAACAGAATGTGACGGGATTTTGTTGAACTGTCATTATTTCCACTTCTAAAAGAGATTCACTACATTGTATGCCCAACGTTTGATACTCAATACTGTCTTTATGTAATCCAATCCCTTTCTGGGACCTTAGTAAGTCCACTGGCTTGACCTCATCCAATGCTTTACTCCTCTTAAAAAATATCAATATATACCCAAGCACCTTTGGCTTTATCAGGTAGAACCCAAAACTAATGCCATTTCAAATTCCAAAGAACTCCAAACAGCACTAACCATAGTTGACAAGAATCTTTCAGATCATGCTGGTCGACTCATGTTAACAAAACCTCATTATATGAGGAAATGAAAGACTTATGTATAAAATCCCCGATTTTCAAAGTTCAAAGTAAACAATCCCTTTATTCATCAATCATTTACTTAAACCAGTGGGAAAACAAAATAATCAGATGATTTTTATCAAGAAAAATCACCATGTGCCTTTTTTTTCTGAAATTAAGTACCCAGTACAAGTTTATTCCTTCAAAACATTTGTTTTATTTCTTGGTATTTACAAAACAGTGTTTTTAACCAGATTCTTAAACTGTACAGAGATTGTTTTACTTTTGATACTTTGAAGCTTTAAGAACAGTAATGAACTCAAAAAGCTAAACTGTAGTGCTGCTGGTAACTAATATATATATATATATATTTTATATATATATATATATATATATATTACTTTCAGTCATGAAAAAAAAAGTAAACACAGGAGACTGTATCTTAATGAACATGCAGGTGTTGTCAGAATGCAATTTAAACTATTGGGATATATGTATTATATATTTCAGTTGAAAAGCTGAAACCATTTCAAAAATGTGGTGAAATATTTAAAATGACTGAGGCCTTTCTATTGTGGTAGAACAGTGTTGTAGCCATTTTAAATACAGTACCCCATACAGAGTTGAAATTTAAAAAAATGGCATGTCAGGTGGCATCAATAAAAATACACATCTAGAAGTGCATCACACATCAGTGATTACACAAGTGCCAAGTTAAGTGGACTCTGGCAGTGCAAGGCATGGTATGGAGTTCATAAATGATGTATGGCATGTCCAGGTTAAGCATGCTGTTAATTACTTTTCATTAATTATGTGTTTATGTGGTACTGGCAAAATGCCTAAAATTATTGAACTACTACTCCTTTCAGCACATCTACAGTACTTACATTAAATTATGGAAAGTAAATTAATTTAATTCAAATATTTTATGCATTAAATATCAGCTAAAACAGGCATACTATAAACAAAAATAAATAAAAAAATCTTAGAAAAATTGGACATTAACATTTTAGATAAGAAAAAGCAATACCTATACTCCTGGCTGGCAGCAAGGAAAGTCATGGCCAATGCGTGCATGCCAGTCACCCATATTGGCAAGCATAGCAGAAAAAGCTGTATCTTCTGAAACTTCCCAAAGTCACCCAGGTATGGAATAATGTCCTCAAACCTCATGGTGGTCTTCTAAGAGAGAAAATCAAGAAAGAAGCTGGTGCCCTATGAATCTGAAAGAAAAAAAAAATGAAACTATCAAATAACTGTGAAATCTTAATAAAACCTTTGATTAGGGAAAAATTGCAAAATGTTTGTGTGATAGTAACGGTATCACTCTTCTGGTAAATGTGTAATGTTAAACATTTAAAAAAGATTGGTCTTTGCAGGCGTTTTTACCCAGAGCAACCTGCACAGTTCTACCAGAGCGAAGCAGATAGTGTTCCAGTCAGGTACAGTCTGGCACACAGCTGAGTGGCAACCGGTCTAACCAACCTAGTCTATTCATCAAGACGCTCCCAGACAGATACTTCTAGAATAACAACTGGATGTATTTTTCTACCTAATGATATCAGACTAATGCCATGCGTCCATACTCACATGCAGAAGAATCAATTTAGCACAACAGAGCAGCAAATCCAACAGTATACTGTCCAATTAAGGACGTCATCCGAATCAATACACCTGGCTTCAGCTGAAGATTTCACAAAGCTTTTGTCAATCCTCTAAATATGTAATTTTCTGCTACCGACTTACTGTCTAACCTCATGTATATTATGAATAAGAACAATTTCTGATGATAATATTCATGACTTACATAAAATTTTCTACCATTCACCAAAAATGTACTGGCATGTCAAAATAATTCATCATGCTACATGTTTAAACTACAAGCTTGCAGACATGCCAGGCAGACTATTCAGCCAAAATATCTCACTGAGTTCAAAAAATCCCTAAATCACATCTCCACTTGTAGAAATAAATGTCCTATTTCAAAATAGCTAACAACTCAGACTGAACTTTACAAACCTTGCGCTGCTTTCAAAACACTTTATAAAACTAGAGACTAGTGCTTAAAACTTATATTAGTATACAACATGTTCTGTAAATCTACCAAACAGATATGCAGAACATTGACATAATATAAGCTGTGATCTTAAAAGTTCTCTAACTTAATCCTTTCCTTGACAGATACAAATTTACAAAGTGAACACATTGACAAGGAGACATCATGAGCTCACACAAGATAAACTTGCTTAAGAAGTTATTAGGCTTTGAACTTTTGAGTGTGTTAAGTATAAAATGGTGTTCCTTCTCAGGAGGGCAAAGAGGGTATTAGAGCTCCTTGACTAAGAAAGCCAGATTAATCCACAATAAAAGCAATTAATTTCTATATTAATTATTAAGTTGAAAGTGGCAGTTTATATAAAAAAAAGAAGAACAGGAACATTTATAATAATAGGATAAGTCCAGGGCTATATGAATCAGTACAATCTGCTCAATATTCTCTATGAAGAGTGATTTTTAAAATTTTTCCTTGCTTTCTAATCTCAATAGTTTCTCTACAGATACACTAGGTGTGCCGAGAGCAGTGTTCTATTGATGAATATTGGCCTGGTTGTTGTCAAATACCTTCTATCTCTGGGTCAGTAAATATTACACAAACTTTGCTGACATGCTTCCCTCATTCAGTTACTCCTCCTTGCCAATCAGGTAATGTCTGGTCCTGATATAAGCTACTTTTATTAAGGGACTGTTCACAATGACTTTTGTTGACCTAGCTAATACACACTCTCTGAATGCAATCAGAATAACATACCAGCACACCTTGCATTGAGATTACACCAGTACATTGGAAACAAGAGGAAGCATGTTAGTCTATTAATCTGATTGCAATCAGCAAAAATCCCCATGGAGTTAGGGTGCATTAGCTAGGTCGACAATGTTCATTGTGAACAGTCCTTAACATATCCTGATATATATATGTAGCTCACTTGGGACAGCAGTTTGCACATAATGAGTTGAAGCAATGCCCATTAAAGCAAGTCCCCATTGTACGATTTGTTTTATCCAACATCTGTGTTATTACTGACTGTCATGCAAATACTTTCATTAGAAAACACAAAACCACTCACAATTAAACTCTTTCTTTGAAACAACATTCTAATGCATGTTTATTAATTTTATTAACATGAAAAATCCTATTGACATCACACACAATACTTAACAGTAACTATAATTGACTTACGCATGTTAAGTTACTTGATCATGACAAAATGTAGATTTTAAAGAATGTTCACAGCTCTGTTGGCTGATAGCGAAATGACTGAGAGAATACAAACCTAGTCAGCAGAATTAAAATTTGACTGTTGCTGTTGTGTAGCAGATTCCATAAAAACCTCAGACTTATATAATCTCATGCAGAACATAACTAATTTGTCAAATACACAGTAAAAATGTTCCTCAATATTAACATTCTTTCTTTAAATGCTTTTTATCATATGTGATTTTCCACATTCACAATGACTGCAAACCTGCAATGGTTACTGCTCTGTGGAGCTTGGTGACTACAAGGAACAGTCCACTGTGACATCTGTCAGGTTTAAAGATTAGATTAATTGATACTTTAACAATCAATGAAAAAATATTTGTATCAAAAGTCAGTTTAGAAACCTAGATATTGGGTATGAAATTTCTTGTAAATACCTTTTCTAACACAAGAAAAAGTGCTTAGAACTATCTTATTTCTTATTATCATTTTTCAATGTCAAGATAGCAAGCTAGTTCTCAGGGGAAAATGCAATATTAATCTAGTTTGACAGCCACTGGATATATACATATTGCCCCCTCTACAGCCTGACCCATCCTCAAGAGGCTGTCTGACGATCATTAACTACCCACTTAATAATTGCATCCAGTTACCACAGAAGAAAATCAATAATGGAGTGGAAATTCTTTGTAGTCCTTACAACTGGTAGGGTGCCCTGAGCATTTTAATAATGATCTCAACATAATTCATGTCATGGAGATATATTGAACTGGCATGTTACACAAAGACACACAGCCCAAATATGAGAGAGAAACTGTAAAAATCAACATTCCCAAATATCTTACACTGTAACTTAGTAATTACACAAATTTTTCCCCCAAACTTAGAAATTATTTCCCTGTTTAAAGCAGATTTTAAACCAGATCTTTTCCTCATCACCCACCTTCTTAACCTGATTCCCGAACACGTGCTGTAAATCTGATGCTGATTCTAGTACAGCTTGTTTATTTAAACCTGTAGAAGGTATAGGTTCAACGAAGCTCAAAATCACTGGACTATTATGAAGGACAACAGTAAAAGCCAGATTGTAATGGGCATAACTATTGAATACACATCACATGCAAATGCCATAGTTTGGAAGCAGCATGTGTAACGAGCAAAAATCAGAATACAATGGACAAGTCTCTAAAGTAAATTGCAAGAAAACAGTGCATTTCTATTCTTGGTCATAAATAACACTCCCACAAAATCATACCAAAGACAAATATTTTCATAAAAGTCGCCAAAAACAAGTCATTTGACCATATATTCTAAGGAAAATTAAATTCAAGTAACAGTCAATATGATATCTTTAGAGTTTATATAATAGGTCAGACAGCCAAAATGTAGTAATTTGATAGGTACTTCTTTTGAGCAAAAAAAGTTCTAAAATTGCCAAATTTTAAACAGTCCTTTATGAACTGTTGTATGACAAAAAAGCAGAATTTATTAGAATTTTCCCCTGCAATTTAAATTATATTATCCAGTGACTGCATAAAAGTTTTTATATGGAAAATGTCATTAAAAACTGTAAATGGTATGATTGCAAAAATATTTAGGAGAAAACTGCCATATAAAAGTAATACAAAAATTGGGGTTCATACAGTGAAAAATGTTTTTCCAGGATTTTTCAGGTGCATTTTAATTTACAATACAGGGAAAATGTTGTTACTAAATTCTGCTAGATGTCAGTCTTGTAGACTGCAAACAGACAGATGGACCAATGGTTAAACAAAACTGCTTTCCCTTCTCCTTTGCCGATTTCCTCAAGCTATTTGATTTTATGACAAATGATATCTTACTTGAAGCTCCTGCATTTTGTGCAAACTTGTCAGCTGACAAATGCATTAAATTGAAAAAAGAGGGGTGGGGCAGAGTGGAAATAAATATATAAAAAAACAATATAAAAATAAATTTCAATTGAAGACTTATCTTATGTAGTTTCCATTTTGGTTGCAGTCCAAGCTGCCAGAGCAGGTGATGCCAAATTATCATTCAGCACTTATTACTCAGGTGTTACTATCTCAGCCTGATATGTGAATAAATTTTGTTTTTGCAGGGACCACCAAAACAGTAGTTATAGTTATAGTGATTAATCTTGAATCTGTCCTAGCCATCAGACCACATAGAGAGAACTCTTAGAGAGATTGTTACAAAAAAAAAAAAAGACTTACTTTGAATGTCGGAATGGATTTTGGCAAGTATAGGAAAGAAAAATCCTTTTTTTCCAAAATGAACAGTTGCTATTCCTTTAAATGAATATAAAACTTGCCTTCTTGTCTCACCCAGATCGCTAATGATATCAAAATTTCCTTTACGTCTTGCTCAAAATGCTAACACTTTACCTGTATTCTAAACATTTTTCTTAATGTTGGGTTGTGTATTTTCATAAAATTTGTAAGCAGTCTGGCTGTCTTTGAAAATATCGGCTGTCCGGTGTACAAGCAGCCATCATTTTGATGGCTGTACAGTTCGCTGGAAAAAGCCTTGACATGCTTCCTTGTGTGCACACATGGCTCCACTGGCATCAGCCGATGAAACTTGTACTGATCTGTTTTAGCATTTTAAGCAATGACTATCCAATATAAATTTAACCCATTAAGAACCCCGCACACGGTGAGCAATTGGCGCAAGCCACTTGCGCTGCGCCAGATGCTCGCCCTCCTCAGCTCCCCGCAAACGCTGCACTCTTTGCTCAGTGCCTCCCGGTCTGCCCCTATCAGACGCACTGTGAACTGTGGGATCATGTGATTAAGGAAACATTACATATTAGTTTTATTTCTGAAAGTAATGGAAAATGGACCCCACACACACTGAGCCATTTGCCTCAAGAGGCCAAAAATATCAAACAAAGGGATATTTTGCTCAGCTACGCGAGAGGCAAAAATCTCACTAAAATACCCCCGCAAACGGTGAGAAAACAGCGCAGCACAAGTGGCGCACCAATTGCTCACCGTGTGCAGGGTGCTTTACATACTGTCAACAGAACTGGCGAGCTTCACATAGTTTTGGCAACTGATACACCTAATTTGAGACACATATTGCAAAACAGTTGAATATGACATTTTATAATCATAAAATTCCAAGGGTTTTCCAGGAATTTAAAGGGCCTGTGTGAGCCCTGATATCATACAAAACAAAAATAATGGTATGATGGCATAAGTACCTAAGAAAAAAACTGTCATATATGAATAATATGTAAATGATCCTTTCATTGACATACAAACAAGAAGTTGACTAGATTTACAGTACAAGGTTAAAATCAAGCAAAACTTAAATAATTTGGTGTTAAGAGAGGGGGGGGGGAGGGAAATGAAAATTATCAATAGGAAAAATAAAAATGAATTTCAGAAAGTTTTAGCAAAGTTTTGTGGAAGCCAAAGGAAAACTACTGCCCTCAGATGTTCTTGCTTCCATAAATTATTCATTCATTGCTACAGAATTTTGATTGTCCATACTATACCTTTAGCACAAGTAATAAGCATCCTTTTTTGAGCTAATTTTTTTTTTCTGTATAATACCTTGTACCTTGATCAGAACAGAATTGTTATTCCCCATTTGAACTTTGTTGCCATTCACATTAGTAAAAAAAGTGGATTGCAGTCAGCTAAAATATGATTGCATGACCAAAATGAAAGACTTAATGACCCAAATGAAAGACTTTTTTCCAAACTATTTCTCTCATCACATGAAATACAGGACTAATCTAGTAGGAGACAAATTCTACCCAAAAGAACAGTGCCTGGCACCTTCTTGACCAAAAATAAATATGCATGTACCCTGGCCGTGTTCTCCGATCTATCCAGACAACTCACATTCCAAATAGCTATTATATTATAGCCTCAAAAATTTTCATTAAGTTTGCAATGCCCCCCCCCCCCAAATATTTTTTAATGGAATAAAGTAAACTGGAAACAACACTTTGTATCTGCATTGCATTAATCACATTTATACTATTTGTCCTGATTGTAAAAAAGCACCTTGCTCTTGATTTACTTCTATGCACCTTCTGTTTTTTATTTTCTTCTCAAAAGTGTACATTTTTTTAGTTTAGTGATGAACTGTTCACCTTGATGTATCAACAATATATACTGTCCACTTACACACGTAAATCTCATCACCATCAAGCCACCAGGTGTGCAAATAAACTTTAAAAGGGTTCGTGTTTACTTAACTGAACAAGGTGGTACCAATTAAGCATTTTGAATGAGAGAGAGAGAGAGAGAGAGAGAGAGAGAGGGAGAGAGAATGAGAATAAAAACAAAATTATTTACAGGCACACTATTAATAAAATGTCCAGCACCGATCTTTCAAGCTCAGTTTAAGTTTTCAAACAGGACAAACTCTTGCTGGTAGACACATGCCTGCACAAGACCAATACCCCATTTCTTCACAATATTTGTTATATGCAGCCTTTCTCAGATTTGCCCCCAGGTATAAAAATTTCAATCTATGCTGAATCACAAAGGTACACATCTCAGGTAATCTTAATAGAATTTTGAGTACCACTAACTTTTGCAACTATGTTTTAGCATATTACTACTTCTGTGAATAATAATGCAGACTTGGGTATTTTTCTATCCACAAACAAACAGCAGTGATGAGTTCTTTTTTCCCCATTTCTGAAATCTGTCAAAGGTTGCTATAACAAAGTCACGGTGCACTGATAATTTTCTTAATTTCTGAACATAACAATAGAAGGTTAATATTCCATGCAGAGAAAACATATTTCACAATTAGTCTTTGTGTGAAATCAATACTCCTATGCTTGCAGTCTAAACTAACCTAAGCAGGAGAAACATCACCTACATCAAATGTCCTCAGCTTGATATAAAACAATGGCAATATTTACCTGTAGAGAACTGCTGTGTTGCTACTGAATTTCTTTCCAGATCCAGAGCAGTTTCTGTGGCCTAACACGGCAATTCCCACCACACGCTACACTTCTTCCACTAAAAGCTCTGCTGCTCCCTTTTCCTCTACCACAGCTCCACTTCTGTAAGCAATTATGTGTAGATTTCTATAGGGTATTTCAGGAGATCAATCAATAAAATAGTACCACATGTGAGGTGCCTTTGACCTTAAAAAATCCTTCCACTGTTGTGTTCACTAAATAACAAAACGCCAATGAAAATGCTGCCTTGTTTTCTTAACAACTTTATATTGACAATGATACCATGTAGCGAATCTCTTGAACTGATAACACATTTAAGAGCCTGACATTATAAAATATGTTATAAAGTTTCTTTTTTTTTTTCAGTCACATAATCATGTCATACTCACACTGGTGAGGGCAGACTGGCTGGTCCAGGTTTACTTCTGCTCTTGAAGCATTAAGTCATATTAGGTATCTCTAAGCTTGGTGTTTTCTTATATATGTCATCAGTATAAAAATGTCTAAAATACAAATATGGCTGTATTTAATAACACTCTTGCTATGCGTGGCTGTCAACCCCCATTGTATCTCAAACCTAGTTTATATAATTCAATCCCCTGGTCATGCTGGCATATAAAAATGTGAAGTGTGACTAAAATATGTAAAAGGTCTTTTTTGTACTAAGTACTCTTTTTACTTAGGGGAAGAGCACATTGATATACATATATTCCTTTTATACCCATGACCAAATGAAGAACTGTGCCAGAGCAAACCCATCAGTTTCATAAGCTATATAATAAGGGTCATGTCAGCATATAAAACCTAACCCAATCAATGTAAAAAAGTTTTAATGAAGTGAAAAAAATAAAATCTGAGTTAATTTTGACAAGGATAGTTGTTACAGTACTAAAAATTTAATTGGTAAAGAAAAATTGCACATACAGACAATTGACAAAACATAACAAGAAAGTGCTAATAGCTATAGGCTCTGAAATACAACCATGTTAACCTGAGAATGACATTATCAAACAATTGCACAGGGGAGCCTTGAGACACTAGCTAACTTGCCTAATTATACTTGCAAATATGGCAACAATAACAGCACTGCAAACTGCAATGCAGGGCTGGGCCTGACACGGAATGAACAATATGGAGGTAACCAAACATTCATAAAATGTTTTCCCTATGATATATTACACTGCTGTTGGTCCAGGTAAACCTTAATACATGAAAAGAGAAGAATAAATTACAATCATCAAAATTTTTTAATTTAATCTCATAGATCTTCATTCCAACCTACAGCACAATTTCAGACAAACAGTGCACTATCTTTACAGATTGATTACATTACTGAATTAATTACTTAAGATATTAAGTATATTGGTTGAATGCAAACTGTATCCACAAACTTATCTGGCATAATTGAGATTGTTAAGGAAGGTGGTATTGTGTGGGGCTAGTTGGTGGGAAGGAGACGAGATTCTTCCAAACGTAAGGGAGAAGAAGTTATTGATTGATTTTGTATTGCATTTATAATTTGCAAAAGGCCCTGTGTATCATGAAAATCTGACACCCCTAAAAGGTGACTCTCCAGTCAGATTTTCATCATGAAAATCTGTCTCCCTCCATAAAACCTCATAAATCTTATTTTATTTGAGTATATGACTTTATACTATAACAGTAAGGTTGCTGTGAAAATAATGGATAAAAAAAAAACCTAATAAGTACTGGGTACTCTTGCCACACTGCAAGGTGTACAGCATGAACTTCTCATTTTTTCATGCAATTAATGCACAAGGTAAAATGTCTGTTACCATTCCAGTATATGACGGCCAATTTCCTAACAGTTATCCCCTTTGTATGATGATTAGTGAGTAACTGACCATGGCTCTATGTGGTGCCAATGATAATGAATATGCAATGCCTTTTGTAGCAGACCTGTAGCAATCAAGTTCAAAAGGGGGAGGGGTCTTCTGTTGAAAAGAAGGGGATCTTACTCCCCCCTTAGTTCAGGCCTCATAAATGATAAATGTCATTTGTGACCTAAAACAACAAACTAGGGACTTTTATTACTGAATTAATAGCTTGGTGCTACAGTATCACGTTCTGATTGTATCAATGACTCAAGAGCATCACATTCCTGACTTTAAACAATTTGTAAGGATTTGACTGGCTTTCACCCAGGCCTTGCAATCTACAGTCTTTACACATAGTGCCTCAAGTGAGGTGCCTTTGACCTTTAAATACTGCCTCAACTGTGTCATAATTCATGGGTTCTTTTCTCGATACCGCAAACTACAATTTTCAGAGTGATGGAAGACACAAGGAACTACATGTTACAGCTTTCAGAGATTTCACTGCGAAAAAGAGTATTTTTTTCTAATGGCTCTCCATTATTTGTGAAAGGGATAAGCTTTTTAACATCTGTTGCAAGACCCACCCAGTAAAGAGACTCGGGCATTACTGACAGAATTTGAAGGATGGAAATGATATTCTTTGCGCACACAATGCTTGGACTACATGAAATATGTGATGTGGAAAATACTTATAAGCCCATAGTTTACATAGCTATGACCAAAGAACAGTTGACAAGTAGGGCAAAAGTAAAAACTCCTTCAACAAACGTTTACAACAACTTGCATTTTTTTTCTATTTTCTAGGAATTATCTCATTAAAAAATAAATTAAATAAAAAAAAAAGCTTCAAAATGGATCAATGTGATGTATTTTAATAATCTACTATTCATACTAAGGTTCAATACAGGAGTAATGAGCTTTTGATAATCTCCAACACATAAGGAAAGTAACCCATAGCAGGTGAGGGAGCTTGTGGTATGAAGTTAGCAACATGATGCTTGGAGTCTTAATTATACAATCTGAACATGAAATCACAGTTCTAAGTCATTAATCTGCCACTTAAAGTTAGTAATTCTTAGCTCCAAGTCACAAATGGCAATTTCATTTATAGTGCCTGTAATTGACCCAATTTAAAAAAAAATGCCATAGAACCTAGTTCAAATTTTCATCCAGAGTGGACCTTTTCCAGTCTAGGTGGTTGACTGGTCTAGGTGGTTGACATTTTTCTTTTAAGGAATCAATTGAGCTTGGATGGTTTCAGGCACTGAATGATATAAAAGGGTTGCAATTGCAGTAAAAACTTTCAAATGGTGCAAGAGTTAGTGGAAGCAACAAACAGCGAGATATAAAATTTAGAAGTAAATGTTTCACCATGCAACTCTCGTTGGAAAATATGTGCACTTTCACTCTCAAACCTGCAATTAATTGATGGGAAAAAAATGGCCCAGAAAAGGTAGCCATGCAGTTATGCCATTAATTTCACACAATGCTCTTTAATTCGCCACGTAAGGTCACAATAAGGTCACCAAAATCATTACAAAAAGAAATTCAGATGGATTGTTTATATTTAATTACAGAATGTGAATTTTTTACACAATTGCAATTACTTATGCATCTATTGGTAACTTATGTAGGTACTTATTCAAGTATTTCTGAGAAGTTCTGCAAAAGAGGGAACAAACATTTGTACTCATGCACGTTGCAAGTTGGCTTCAGAAGAGTATGCAAGTTGTGGAGATTAAAGGTAAGAAATAAATTTGAGAGCTCCTGTTGGTGTGCAAACTGGTCTGCATTTTACATTTTTTGGAGCCTTTGCTTTCATGCATCACATGCACACATCAAAATCGTCAAAAGAAGTACTTATACATGAATTTCGTGAATGAATGGAGAAGTGCATTGCAGGTAGTAAAACAAAACAAAACCCAAAACTTAAAGTCCCTTACTCGTGTGGAGGGCAACAGTTAAATTAAATAGATTAAAGCAAATACTTAAGCACCCAATTTATCAAGAGATTTCAGACTACCCAGTCACTAGCATTGTAAAGCTTAAACTTACTAAATGACTTCAATCTCAATTTTCAAATAAAGCATTCATTTTAAGAAAGTAAAAAAAGAAGACGAAAAAAAATGCATTTCCTGAATTTATCAAGAACGTCAGCAAAAAAGTGAATAGTCTGAACTGCGGCAGTTTAGATATCACCTATCTATACAAAACAGTAACTGAACACCTGCGTAGCTGACTGATTCTGCACACACCTGTGAATTCTTGTGGTCTGTATTACAAATCAATCCCGCGGAAGATATGAACAACGGCTCGATAGGTGGCGATATTGACGATTTTCAAGGTGCGGAGTGATACAAAAAAATAGTGCAATTATTGTAAGCTTAAATTTCCTAATAAAGGGAAAAAATGTGCAAATTTTAGAATAATATCTTGAGAAAATGTGTGTTTTAATTGTATATTATTTAAGATGAGGAAAATATCTAAGCTGGCGCGATGCTGTTTGAGCCAAATATGTCACCTTGACAACGGCGGATGTAAATAGAGCCGAACAGACAGACCAACACAGACTGATATATTGAAGGTTCAACATACAGCTATGTCTGAGGTATGGTATGTTTTTCAATATATTGAGTACTAGTGATAAGAATTTGTCTTAATTTTAAATTAACTATCTTAATGTCTTAAAATTTTTCATACAAAGGAACAATTATTTCGATGTGAAGCGAGAGGCAACAATTTTTCCTGTTATTTCATTGCTGTTAGTGTTAGAGTCAGTGCTACTGCTCCAGTACTAGCTAGTAGTGCTACGTATGGTAACTCTCAGCACTAGGGCTAGGTTGTAAATTTAATTCTCAAGAGAAGTGATTGTTCAACTTTTTGTACATGACTTTGCAGTAAACTTGTCATACATGTATTTGTGAAAAACTTGATATCCTGACTCTGGAATATCACTTACCAGTAAAAACCCCAGCCTTAGAAATAATAATAATAATAATAATAATAATAATAATAATAATATATAAAAATCCTAGCCCTGACCATGGGTATGATCTACCAAACTTGTCCCTGTAATGTTTTTCATCTTGAGGACTGCTCCATTCCCTGCACATTGATGAAAAGTCAGTGACTGATATATGTTTTAAGAAAGTGTGACTCGATCATAAAAATATAACCAAATTAAGTTTGCCTTTTACCATCAAAGTGGTTTTCCTTCTGTCTCATACATGCTTAGATTATATGCAAATGAGTCAATGAGTGTTACAGACCGATATATGCAGACTAAAATAAGAAAGAAATTGCTACTTTTTTCTAATTTCTGCTGTCAAAAATCCATTAATTTGTATTAAATAATGTCAGTATGTGGATTTGTTTCATTGATGGTTTGTTATTAAGTAAGGACAGTGATTTTTGATAATTTTATGAGAACATTCTTATTTTCATCATTTTAGATCATTAGTGATCTATTACAGGTATATATATATTTTTTATTTGCTTAGGAAAAGAAAGAGGCCCCAAAAGACAAGGGAGGGGAGAAGGTGTCCATTGATGACAGTGCTTTTGAAGCACTGGAAAAGGACTTCCAAGAGGTAGGTAGCCCAAATGTAAACATATCAAAAATCATATAATTTTGAAAGACATGTATCAATCATATAATTTTGAATATCATGTATCAAACACATAAACATTGATCATGTTTGAAAGACACTGCATATTTTATCTTTAGGTTCTCCAAGAGTTAATGGGAGATAAAAGTTTAGACAAATTCAAAACTGAATATGAAAAGCTTCACAAAGCTTTGAAGAAGTCCCATGAAAGTGAGAAGCGTTTGATGCAGAAATGTCGAGAGTTGAATGCAGAAATAGTTGCCAATGCTGCCAAAGTGTCCACTGCTTTGAAGCTGTCCCAGGAAGACCAAGCAACCATTGCATCATTGAGAAAGGTACAGATGAAGTCCTTTGACTATTTGTATTACAAATCCCTAAATTATATAACCAAAACAAAAAAACTGTTTAAATGTATGAGAAAAATTAAGTTAAATGTGAACATATACCAGATATAACACAGATATTCAGATAATGTTGGATTTGTTTAAATATCTGCTTTTTTTTCATATTGTAGGAGATAGAAAAAGCTTGGAAGATGGTAGACTCTGCACACGAAAAAGAACAAAGAGCGAGAGAAACAATACAGTCATTAAAATTGGAAATAGAAAATTTAAGTAAACTTGTTGAGCAGGGTGCTGGTCTTACTGTTGGACAGGAACACAGGTAGGGGTTTATCCCATAATGAGTTGACTGAAATGGCTTCTTTTTCATTCATTCATTCATTTAATACACAGAAAGAAATTATTAAGAAAATATACTTCATGTGCATTTAATTTAGGGATTTCATATACCTACAGGTTTATAAAATAAGTGTAAAGCAACTATGATCAGGGGTTTCCAAGGTGAACTTTGGGGGTCCATTTGCTTTTGTGCTTAAATGACTCCTACTTCCCAGTGATATACAGTGACTTAGTACTGACCACCATGTATTATTTCAAACTAACTGCTTCATGTTTCTTTCCTTTTATCTTTCAGTGTAAATGAACTCCTAAAAATTAAGGAAGAGTTGACCAAGGAAAGGGATGACTTGTTGTCTGAAATTGTCAAAGTTAGAGAACAACTGGCACAAGCGTCAAATGAACAACAGAAACTGGAGGCAGACAAAGAAGACTGTAACATGAAAATAACTGAGGTATTGGTGAACCACAATTAAAACTTTCAAAAATCCAAATGCATAAATTATCAAGTTAAATCAATTTCTGTAAAAATAAAAATAAAAAACATTATGTTATGGAAATAGTTTTTCATACTACAAGTTATGTTTAAATATTGAGAATATGCAATGATATGCTATTATTTCTTTTAAGCTTCAACAAGACATTCAAGTTCGCAACAATGAGGCTCAACGTGAAACACGTAAAAAGGACAAAATTGAGCGTGAGCTGAAACAGGCTCGAGCTGATCTTGATGCCAAGGCCTCAGAAATAAAAACCAGCCAGGCTCAATTGGAGAGGTATAAGCAAGATGTCACTAAGTTGGAGGCACAACTTAAAGAGCAGAGGGTGAGTTCTTTTATAACTCAGGTATTCTTGATATGGAACGATAATGTCAAACTTAGAGAACATGATATTGATATTAAAAAATGCTAGCATGACCCATGTATTTTTTTAAAATTAGTTTCTGTTACAAATGATCTATAGCTTATCATGGCTTCCCTCAATGTCTTTTTATTTTATATCAGATTATGAATGAAAGAATCACCAAAGATTCAGACATCCTGAATGCCAGGTTCCAGAAGTTGCAGCAGGACTATGAGGCTCAACTCATCAGTGCTGACCAATTGGCCTCAGAAAACCAGACCAAAGTTTCTGACCTGAAGGTATGTACTTAATATATCAAGATTTTTTTGGGAAAATATTCTAGGTAAAGTTATTTTTTCTGGATTAGCTGTAAAGGGATAAAAGTAAATGCATAGTAGTAACCTGAAACCAAAATGTTAGTTTTATCATTTTAAAAATATTAATTCTTCATTGTTATTTTATGGTTAAAAATACAAAATAGTATGATTACATGTATATACATACAAGTAGGTCATTTTCACATGATATGTATTTAATTAGATAAACTTTATGATAGTATCAGTCCAATGATTTAATTTTATTGATAATACAGTTATTAATTTTTTTCTCATATTATTAATTTAGCAAAAAGAAGATGAGGTCAATGCACTGAAGGCTGAAGCTAGTCGACTGAACAAGATGCGTGAAACTATTCAGCGTAAACTGCGTAATGTTGAAGACTCAAAGGGAGAAGTTGAAGGGCAGAAGGAAACCCTCAAATCTCAAATTGTTGGCCTAGAAAGAGGTTAGATAACTTTGCAAACTAACATAAGTAAGAATAATAATAATGATCTTGACCTGAATTGCAATAAAACAGATTAAGGTATTGTGGCCAATCTGGCCAAGGGCATAACCTGGTATTACAATAACAGACTCAAAACTAATATTGCTCCCATTTATTTAATTAATTTATTTATTTATTTATTTTTTGTGCATTACAGAATTGGAAGCTTTGAAGAAACAGTCAGAAGCAGACAGAAAGGCTATTGATGACCTGGTGCGAGAAAGAGATATCTTGAACAAAAATATGTTGAAGGCAGCTGCAGCAACCCAAAAGCAGCATAACTTAGTCAAACTGCATGAACAGTCCAAGAAGAACCTTGAACAGGAGATCCAAAATTATAAAGAGGAAGCTCAGAAGCAGCGAAAGATCATTTACCAGTTGGAAAAGGAGAGAGATCGCTACATCAACGAAGCGAGTGACCTGACTCAAAAGGTACAACAACTTGAGCAATTTCTTTTCTAATTGAGCAATGTTTCAGATTTTAATTTTATAGTATAAATTAAGCCATCAAAACAAGGGTTTTTGTATTTTTGATAAATGACTTACAGGTAACAGAAACATTAAAATATAAGTGTTTCTCAATGGGATTTGTTCTATTTCATGCAGGTTTTGCAACACATGGAAGATGTCAAAGTGAGGGAGATGCAGATTTTTGACTACAAAAAGAAAATTGCCGAGGCAGAAACCAAGCTTAAACAGCAGCAGAACTTGTATGAAGCAGTACGCAGTGACAGAAATCTGTACAGCAAGAATTTGATAGAGTCACAGGTATTAAACAGTTTAAGGCAATTCAGAGAGTCAGAACTTTTCAAAAATGTTATGTTGAGTTTCATCAGTATAGATGTAGAAGTAATGCAGAACTTGTGGCACAGATGTCTTGAGATCAAAGCCTTTTTCTTACAAGTATACATTGTGTGCTGAGGTAAACATTTTACATGCAAATCTCATGCTTCTTCCTTTAGAAAAATGATTCCTTTTCTCTTGTCTTATAAAAAAGGATGAAATCACGGAAATGAAGCGCAAGTTGAAGATCATGAACCACCAGATTGACCAGCTTAAGGAGGAGATCTCTGCCAAGGAGGCAGCCCTCATCAAAGAACACATGGACCACCAGAGAGTGGAGAAAGAGAAAGAAGCCCTGAAAGCAGAACTGCAGAAGATGAAGCAACAGGCTGCAGAAAATAAGGCTGTGATTGAGTCTCAAGACCAAGAACAGAGAAAGCTTCTCAAAATTATTGCAGAATCTGATGGTGAACGTGTCAGACAGAAGAAGGAATTGGACCAGGTAACTGATTGCTGCGACTCTGTATTTATAGTGTTTATGTTGAATCCACAGTAACAGGTGCTGAATACAAACAGACTCTGTAAAGATCATCATGCTGTTTTAGATATGGCATCAAATGTTTTTATATGTATAACAAAAGGTGTTTATGACAAAAACTGACTGATGATTTAAATTAAATTATAATCTAGAAGTTATTTATGTAAATGTAATAATAATAATATATTTATTCTATTTCTAGGTTATAAGTGAGCGAGATATTCTTGGCACACAGCTGGTCCGCAGAAATGACGAGTTGGCTCTCCTGTATGAGAAAATTAAGATCCAGCAATCAACTTTGAACAAGGGAGAGATTCAGTATAATCAGCGCTTGGAAGATATCAGAGTCCTTAAGTTGGAGATCAAGAAGCTGAGGAGAGAGAAGTCCATCCTTCAAAAGAGTGTTGCCAATGTTGATGATCTGAGGTATGTAAAATTCTATATGAGGCAGTTAATTGTTTGCAGGTTATTGTTGAATTTTTGGTCATGTAAAGGTTTCAAGGATTTGCTGTTAAAAAGTACATTTCTCTCTTGTAAGGAATGTTTGATCATGGCAAATTGGATGAAAAAAATATTTAATTAATCGTTATTAATCAAATCAATCATTCTAGTAAATAACTGCTATCATTCTGACCATATGTTTTGTACATATTTAATCACTGTTTTTCTTTGAACTACAGACGTGAAGTATACCACATCCAACGTGAACTTCTTCGTGAGCGTACTCGTTGCAAGGCCCTGGAGGAGGAACTGGAGAACCCTATGAATATTCACAGATGGAGGAAACTAGAGGTGAGTTTCTCCTTCAAAGCTGGCAAACAGATGTTACAACTATCAAGGACACTCACATTATTGAATTCTGTAGTTAGCTTAAACTGTTTGAATAGATGTTTAACATTTATATCCTAACTATTACTTATAGCATAAGTTCTAACCATTCTTTACTAAAACTGTTTAACATTTCTATTTAACCCATACTTTCATCATTGTGCCTTCTTTATACATATCATTTAAACTCTTGTTATTTATGATTTTATTTGCAAGCTTAAACAATTTAACTTTGATATTTTAGGGCAGTGATCCCAGCACTTACGAAATGATCCAGAAAATCCAGACTCTCCAAAAGCGCTTGATTGCCAAGACAGAAGAGGTAGTGGAGAAAGAGCTGCTAATCCAAGAGAAAGAGAAGTTGTATGTGGAACTGAAGCACATTCTTGCTAGACAGCCAGGCCCAGAAGTAGCAGAACAGTTACAAATATACCAGCAAACTCTGAAGGAAAAGACCAAACAGATGAAGGTGTGTTTAATAATATTTGTTGGAGACTTGAAAATGCTCATTTAGATGTTTATCTATCACATATTTCTCAGGAACAGAGTTATTTGTCTCAATGCTATATGGATGATATTCTGAATATTATTTAGTTTCTTTAAATGAAATGTGTATGATGTTATTGGCTTTCAAGAGAAAGGGCATGTAGGATTCTGTTGTTTTAAATTGGCACATACAGCTACAATGCCATACCTTTGTTTTCAGGGTATGTCATCGGAGCTGAACATGTATGAGTCACAAGTGAATGAATACAAATATGAAATAGAGCGCTTAGCCAGAGAACTGCAGGAAGTCAAGAAGAAATATTATATGCAGAAAAGAAAAGAGCAGCAAGCAAAGTAAGTAAAAGGGGAGAATTACTTTTGATCATAGACATCCCCAAGTTAGATCAATAAATTACAAATAGCTTTGTCATATTTTATAGAATGAAAAATAACAAATAAATAAATAATTTATTAAAACAAAGAACAGCTGTGCATCACAGATTTTGGATATTTGTGTAATTTTTCTTTTGGTTATGATGGCCAATATTTTAATTTGATTTTCCTTTTTATAGGGAACGTGAAAGAGCCATAGCTCAAGCTGGGCAGCCAGTGATCCAACCACAGAGGACAGATGCACCGAGATTTACTGGAGGTGGATTTAGTCTCAAGCAGACAGCCAAAACTTATGGATAGAGATATATCAAATAAATGATCTTTCAAGATGATTTTAAAACTAGATTATGAATTGAACTGTAAAGAAAATACTAGATGAGACTGTAAAGAATGGCATTCCTATCAACACTTCTGGATAATATATGCTGCCAGTGATGAAAAATCAATTCAAGGCATTTAACCAGGGTAGCTTCTTTATTTTTTTAACCATCCAGTATCTTATGCTTACCTTTGTTTTTACATCTAAATTGAAATGTATCATATTATATGTATGGTATCTGTGATCTTCTGGAATAAAAGCTTCATTCTTAACTTTCATTCCGTACAGGATTAAAGCTCAAATAATTAGCATTCAGATCAGGAATAATCCAGAAAAGCTTAAAGAGCAGCCTTCTGCACTGCACGATGTGTTCAACTTAAACACTTGCAAGGATCCCTCCCAGGTTGAGCTTTTTTGCAATTAAAGTGAATCTCAGAACTGCAACAATTTCTTAGAAAGCATTTGTACAAAAGTGACGCTAAAAGCTGTTATGACTGTACTTTTACAGAACTTTCAAGAAAATGACTGGAAATGTATGCCCGGATAAATTTTGTCAGCTTTTATTTGGTGTTGCTGACCTCCACCTCCAAATTTGACTTCATTTTATGAAAAATCAAAATAGTTTGGAATATCTCAGGTGATGGCAGGAACAGAAGTAATCTTACGCTGATCATGCTTTTAACTAACAGCCATGTTGCAGCAGAGATGCAGAACAGCAACATCAGATAGTAAAAGATAAATGACATTTTAAAACAATTTTATTGAAGGGCAGAATGACCATATTTAATAAGGTCAAATTAAAAAATTGACATTTGAAGCTCCCTTTCAAACTCAAAATTCTACAAGTATTTGCACCAAACTTACATTTTTCAATTTTACTTGCTACTCTCATTAACTGGACATATCAAATTCACAATCATCAAACGCTTGCTTCTCGTTTGATACCTTGCCAATTCAATATTTCTTTACATTTCTTATTGGCTAATATAAAGGATAACGATATCTTTAAAACTCAGAAAAAAAAGGCAGTAACTTATCACCATAGTTTGGAATAATATTCGATATACAGTAATCAACATACAAAACAATGAATATCATTTTTTTTGTGTCAGAGCAAAAACCGCTAGACACATTTTAAAAATATAGAAAAATACTTCAACACTTGCTCACTGTAAAAGTGTTCTTAAATAGAACCAGTCTTTAAAGCCAAGCTCTTTAAGCTCCACTTCATGACAAGTGACTAAGACACACTGAGTTGTCACTTCGGGTATCATGACAAGTACAATATACGTTCAAATGTATTCTTTTCAATAAAGCAAAGTAATGGTCCCAATTTTGGACTCGCTTCATAGTGAGGTAACATTTTATAATTAACCTTCCATTTCAAGTACGAGGAAACTATGTCAACCTTTGTAATCAGTACACTGAAGTGCTGCTTGATGTACTTTTACTGTCTAGAATACACTTGTGCTAGTTTCATCAATGCTGTTGTACAGCCACAGAACTGTGTCATTTGACATTAAAATTGATAAAAATCAAACTCAAATTTTTGCTTAAAGAACTTTGACCAGCTGGATGTGCTGGGTCCTGCATAACCAAATTGGAATAAGAGGTACAAAGGAATTAAAATTTCACAATTTACTGATGCTGATGTGAGTTCCGTATGGCTGTACAACAACAGACTTGCTATTCATTACATCTACTACTTTTCATTTGGTTGGCCACGCCATGGGAACAAAAAAGTACATCATATTAACAAGATGTTTTTCATTGACCAATATGATACCATTGTCTTAAATGTCCATTATATATAAATATTCTATTCAAGCATGAACCGAAGATGCAAATTCTGTCATCAAATACCCCAGATCTACTCTCCTTTTCCCATTTCTTTTTTGAATTAGACTATATTTTGTACACATAACACAAAAGGAGCATTATCAAAACCACCCTACTTTGTCACAACAGGAGCACATAAAATTGGCTCTTAAAAAATATACACTGGCTTTGGTTGCATTGGCCTTTCAAAGTATAATCCACTCCAAAGCTGATATGATTCAAAACTAAAATTGGTACTCCCTGACTGGCAGTAACAATGTTTCAGACTGCACAGAGATGAAAAATCGTGAAATCACGAAGATATCTTTACAAATCTTTTGGTTTCTACTGTCATGAGGACCGATCCTTGATCCTATTCAAAGGAGAGTGGTTGAATCATAAAACACAAGAACAATGCTCAAATCCTCTTTCTTGCTCTCAGCCTTGAGCTTCCCACAAATATCAAAATACTTTTTTTCAGAAACAGTTTTGGGATTTTTGTTATTTTTATGGCATTTTGACATCTCTTTTAAGTCTTTTTTTTTTTCAGTGCAAGCTTGGTGCCATGTACACTATCACATCTGGCTTCTCTATGTTCCAGCCCCTATCTATCTGTGGACATACTTCTGGGGATAAACACTGGAGCATTTGGATTCAACAGGCTCTGGAAAGTCTGAAAAATATAAAAACATGTCTCAAAAACAAAATTTTCATCTGTCCTGATTTTTGAAATTATTATCAAAAATATCATCAACTGCCACAAAATGCCAGTAAACAGATCAGAATGTTTTAAAAACAAAAAAATTATACTTTTATAGAATAAAGTATGTTTCCACTATATAATATATATACAAATAAATAAATAAATAAATACAGTGTCATAAAAACAAAAGAAATACTCACAATGACTGGTAGCTCTGGCTTATCCAAATTCAGAGCCTGTACATTCTCTGCTAATTGTTGCTCTTCCTGAGCTTGTTCATTGTTTTTCTCCAGGAGACGATTTTCTTCTTCTGCAATCATCTCTTCGAAACAACACTCTATGAATTGCTCTTCCCAAAATTCTTCTTCACACTAAAGAAAAGATATGTACATAAAACATAAATTGATTGTTAAAATCTTTTTAACTCTTTTAAATACATAAATATAATAAACCTCCTTTTAAACAAGAGGTCAAGAGATTTACAAAACAATGATGAATACCTACAAATATTTGACGTTCCAACTTTATATGTTTGTTAGCATATATCCTCTTGAGAAACCTACATCTAGCATCCAATGGAATATTGACCACAATCACATAACTTAAAATTGCATAATAACATACCTTTCTATCAAACTCTTCAAGCTCTTCACCCATCCATACATATTCTGAGAAGTCCACTTCAGATCTGCTTTGTGTTGCTGTTGTTGTACTCATGTTTGTTTTTGGTCCAATTGCATCAACAGGTAATTTCATCACTTGGTATCTGTAATAGATAGAGTAAAAAATCCCCACCTATTTCTTGGGAAAAGATTCATTTGATAAATAATATAAATAATACTTATATGGTTAGTTCCTTTAAAATTAAAAAGATTTACAGCATTAATAAGTATGATAAGAAGTTATTTCTTTTTTCAAAATTAATAAGTTTCTCTTTGAAATCTTTGCAGTGGAAAATGTGTGTTGTATCTTTCTGCCCTTATGTCATTGGGCAGTAAAAAAAAATTTTGCGATTTTGCACGCATTAACTTTACCATCAAATTTTGTCAGTTAAAGGTTGAAAATGCTTTTTAATGAATTCTAAGTAACCCTCACTATCTTAGGTGGATTACTTTGGCCAATTTATGTCATCGGCATTAAGCAATTTGAGCAAAGAAGATATATACGTATACGCTAAACAAGCTGGGTCACGTAAACAATATTTCATTTTCAACCTTTGCATTTTCTTTGGTATTTGCTATTGCATCAGATTTAAAAATATGATTATTCCGTAAGCACATTCTTTATAATGTCAACTTTCATTTCTTTAACACGGAAACCAATCTGACACTTTAAAAATACCCAGACGCGATATTTACCTGCCAACTTTGCCAATATTTCTCTGCGAAAATGTCCACAGCTCTTTGTTATCAAGCAAGTGCCCGTATGAATTCTACTTTCATCCGCGATAAAATATTCCCTGTTTTTTCTATCCTAAATAAAATTTTAAGGCATAGAATATTGCACTTTACTAACTGTTCCAGCTATCCACTCTAAAATTTGAATCACACTACACTTAAATCCACATACATAATGGCAGTCTTCGTCTAAATAAAAAAAAGCGTATGAATATTAAATTTGGTTGAGCGTCTCACATAGGAATAAGGTGGTTTGTTTTGATGAATATCTCCTCTACAGCATTCACAGCTACTATAGCACACCCGCGGTTTGGTTGCATTGGAAGGAACGAGATTAAAAACAGATCCGTCGAGCTGGTCCTAGGCTAGGTGAATTCAGATAGCAGGGCGGCATTGGGCCAACGTCGGCCCAACGTATTACACCCCATTTCCATAGATTAGATCGACCTACTTTAGATCGACCTAACTCCCTGGGGTTCACGCTAAATAGCTGTCAGCCGGGCGGACACGAAAGTTAATTACCCCCTTACAGCTTGTAGTAGGCGGGACGGACATTTAAGTCGGATTATCTGAAAGTAATCTAGTGAGACTCCCCGTGGGAATAGATCGATCTAAAATCTATGGGAATCTATCACGTTGGTTGTACTACCAATATTGGCCAAACGTTGGCAAGCCAATGCCAACCAAATGCCAACCGTGCCAACGTTGGCCTAACGTCTTCTTGCTATCTGGGAACTTACCATCTGCCTAAATAGGAACCTTTTTTTTATTCCCAGTAACGCGCGTATATATTAAAAAAAAAAAGATAAACGTTTGAGGATAAATAATAACAGCTTTTTGTTCCCTTTTATTTGATTTTATCGTTATAACAGTTTCATGCAGTGCTACTAGTGTATACGTTTTTAAATGTCTGCTCCCATACTTGACAGCACGTGCATGTCCATGTATATAAAGGGTATAATTATACAAATGGCACCATGTATATCACAAAATAATACTGGTGCTTGCCTACAAAACATATCTCCATACAGTCACATTTACCTTGGATTCTTTGACTATATCTATCTATATACATGCCTCAGTCACAAAAAGAGATCATATATGTACATGTAATTACTCACTTGCAGTTAATAAGAGCTAGGGTCCCATGGGGGAAGGGGTATAGTGATCACAGTTCATGGTGAAAAAAAAACAAAAAAAAAAAAAAAAAAAAAAAAAAACGATGCCTTCCAAAACATACTAAAACAATTTTTTTTATAAAATATAAAATAATATGGACTGCCATGCAAATACAAATTGCACAGCTACAAACTGGCATTATAATAATACAAACAGTCTTTAGAAAAACGTTTCTTTTATTTTGTAACAGACAACATGTAAAAGACGTCTATTTGATCAATTTGAACTTAGATCTATTTTTAAAGAAGAAATAATTTTTAGCCTTTTGTAGCAACAGGAAAGACCGCTTAATAAAAACAGGAAGACATATATTTAAAATATCATTGAATAAAAAAATGTCCATTCAAAAATTCAGTTAAAGAAAATGATTTAAAGCAATTGTGTCATGTATGAAAGCTTGATCTAACTTCCAGCATCTGGGAGCCTTTCATCTTCAAGGTCCATTTATGACATCAGATTCTACAATAAAAAGACCTAAACCTAAAATTCAGGCAAGCTTTTCCTACGTATGTTTGATGATTAAGTTTTTAAAACATGATTTTAGCTTCTTTTCATAGCACAAATGGTATTACATGCAAAATTAAAGACTACCATTGTGCAAACAATTTGTATTTCGGTAAGTTAATTCTTCAGTTAACTCCTCTTCTCTACTACTTCTATACACACAATTTTCACATACTCATTTACTTTTGTTGATTAAGTCTGCTGGTTTGAAATAGGTTATTAACATCAATATTGCAAAATACAATACCTCATGCATGATGTCAAACATAACATTATTCATATATTCAAGAAGAATGAGATTGAAGATACACACATTCATTAGAAAAATAGAATATGGGATGTCTTCATTTATGTAGTACAACAATACTTCTACTCCTTTCATGAATGATCAGTGTCTTCTGTACATTTTAGGGACCATTCCCAGACCCTATCATGCTAACTCTAAATCGATCTATCTCCAAGGGGATTCTTGCTAAATTGTAATCAACATGGGTGGCTTACGTGTCTGTCATGCCTACTGAAGCTGCTAAGGGGCATTAATTTTCTTTTAGCAGCTTCAGTAGTCGTGCCAGACATCTAAGTCGCTAAGGCTGAAAGCAATTTAGCGAGAAACCCCGTGGAGATGGAGCGATCCTGTTAGATCGATCTAGGCATGGGAACTGAGCCTAAGATATTATTTGATAGTAATTGCAAATCCTCTTTTTTACTACTTTTCACTGTTCGTGATAAATCCATTTCCATTGGTAAGAGGCTCTGGTTCCCGCACCTTGATGGTTCCATCTTGCATTCCAAAGTATGCTTTATTTGCCATGTTGATAAATAGCCCAGTTTCCACAATACCTAAATATAAAATAGATACAAGATAGCATTATCACCACCAATTTTTAATTATTCTTTTAATGTAAAATGTTTACCGAAAAAATGTAACTACCATACAGTGTAAGTTCCATGGGAGTTTTAGGGCCCACACAGAATCAGCCAATGTGTAAAAAATGATAACTCACCAAAAATGCATTACTTCTAGAAAAAATAACTCAATCAAGCTAGTATTCTGTCTCAAGATGTATTTTAGTCCTACGAATTATTTCTATATAAGTTTGAGAAAAATAAGAAATATGACAGTGCACAAAATTATGTTTTTATCAATTTTGATGCAAATATTACATTATGCTTGACAGTATAATCACCACCAATTATTATTACCAATTATTTTCTAAATGTGAATAGCATAAGGTTTCAGGCCCATGAGATTTCAAAAAGTGAAAATGCCAAAATGTGAAAAATGCAATATTAAAATATGCATAAATTCAAGAAAAATAATCCAAAAAGGCTGGTTTTCCACCTTAAGTTGCACTTCACTCTTTAGCATAATTTTTGTAAGTTTGAAAATAAAGACTAACAATACAGGTGTTAGCAATACCTTAGGGCAGTGGGAAGATAGTGGCCATAGTTTAAATTTGATTATAACTGTTAAAAGTATAGTTTGAAGGCATTTCGTAGCCTTCGGCAATTTCCATAAAGCTTCAGCATGTGTGACAGGTATCATATATTGTCAATAACACTATACATCAGATAGCAGGATTTTCTGGCCGCGTAGTAATGCTGCCAAACAGGATAAAGTGGATTCGATTCCCACTCAGTCCGGTTTTTTTCTTCTATTATTTTTTTAAATGATTATTGTTATAAATATATATCATTTACGGTTCAGTGATTGATGTGACGGCTATCAGCTAGTTGTTTATAATTATTCATTAATTTTATTTATGACAAGCAACACATTATACAGATTCTATTCCAAAAAATATTTGAGAGGTGAAATCTGCCTGTAAGGGTTCAATTACACTTTACTAAGTTAGTCACACAGAATTTTGGTACTGTATCAATAACCATGTTAAAAAGTGCTTTAAAAGTCCATAATATCTGGCAATAATATTACCTGGAATCATTAGCAATTCTGTGTTCACTTTTTTCCAGTCATGGTCTCCACTTTCAAATTTCCAGTCTATGATGAAATTGCCATTATCTGTTATCAAGGGCCCCTGAATTTGTATGAAAATAGAAATGTAGTTCTGGATGACTTATACAGTATGCACTTCTGAATTGAATTCATAAATAATGTTTGACTCTCAATATAAATGAGAAAAATAACCTAAATATCTTAAAACCTCTTAAACTATGAAGAATTATAAACATTACAATTATAGTCCTTAACCTATGTACTTACAGCTTTAGCCCTGGCCATTCTAAGCTCTAGAGAACCTCCATACAGTGTTTTAATTTTCCTCATAATAGGCTTGTATGCCATAGGGATAACTTCAATAGGGATCCCTCTTGTATAGTGTTCTCCCAAGACTTGAGAATCTTTCCTAAGGGGTGAAAACAAAAGTTACCTTTAACATTTTTTAAAAATATTTTGTTCTATATTCTAGGTAAATAAAAAATGGAGTAAAACTAAAAATAAACCATCTGTTTGCATCTTGTCTAAAACAGAAGAATATATTCAATTACTGACCTCGGGTGAGGTTATCTTAGGGATATGTTTGATCTTTTGAAAAAAAAAAGCTTTGGAGATTGCTTCATATGCCCAATTTAAAAAAATGCTATGAGCAGTGACTCAGTGTGTAGCTTACGGCTATAAGTACTTTATGTGACTATGTGCTCATCAGTGAGTGCCACAATTTGTAATCATGTAACAACACCCTATATTACATTTTATGTGACATGCAATTAAATACTGGTTATGAATTCACATACACATGTATAGACATGTATCATGAAATGGAAGATACAAGGCATTTACCTGAAGTCTGCAATGACAATAAACTTCTTTGAACATGATGCAACGATTTTTTCTTGTGTAAGGCATCCTCCTCCTCCTTTGATTAGATTAAATCTGGAATCTACTTCATCTGCCCCATCAAGAGCCACATCCAACTGGAAATAACACAAGACCAGTTACTTAATATATAATTCTCAAAAGCCGTCTGGTACAAATGTTTTATGGCACAATTCCATTACACTTATGAAGTAGATAATAGGTCAAATATTTAGTAATAAAATGAACTCAGGAAATAACTCTATTCATAGAAGATAGTTTTGATAATATGTTAGACATTATGAAATAAATTCAAATGAGACCATGCTGTAGAATCATCAAAAGACAAAACAAACCTCTGGATTTCTCTCCAAGTCACTGAGTGTCAGACCATTATCTAAAATTAACTGTCTGGCCTAAATTATAGAAAATACATCACATGAACATGTATTTATAAAACTAGATGTTAAACATGTGGGGAAAATACAACTTAAAACATATCTTTGACAAAGATGTAATGCAAAGTTTGTATGAACAACAAAAAGTTTTTATCATAATTTTCACAAGCCTACAAACCACAAAGGGGGGGGGGGGGCAGGGAGAAGGGTATTAAGGCCCTTAAAGCTTTTGAAAAATTAAAAAATTGATGTTCCAATTGTTGCCAATGGTCATCATTGTTAGATTTTCACTTTGTACTCTCTGCATGGAGGCCTGGCAAAGTCTACTATTTATAATAATGATAAAAATGGATGACCCCTCATAATATTTGATAATCAACATTTTATAGCTTCACACCCTTTATTTAATATGCTTAATATGAAAAAAATATTATGAGAATTATCAAAAAAATTTTATAGTTACTATAATGGAAGAAGAGGAAGAAATTATTTGCTTGGTTCAAGAAAAGGTTGGTGTTGGTGGTGAGAGCAGGAGTTACCCTGTGTTGCATTTGGTATAAATTAAATGTAAATGGCCCAAAAAGAATAATAAGTGTTACCTGAAATGAGGTTGGAATGCAAACCAATTTCAGTTTTTCTTCTTTTACTTTCTGAGCTGTAAAAAACATTTGTTACAGTTAATCTTCATCTGTTGAGCACTATAAATAGCTACAAAGTAGTTGATTTAGCTTGTATGAGTCTATAATTTTAATGATTAATGGATGAAAAAAAAGCATCTGACAAAGTTACAAGTGGAACATTATGGACATACAGACAAGGCTAGAGAACATGTAGTAATATGTATACTCAGCCATGGCTTCACATTAAATTAATGCACCATTATGCCTGTAGATTATGACTTGCAAGAAGGCTGACTAAAAAGGCAATTCATACATAAAAGGACTATTGTTAAAAAGATACAGTACTCTTTCTTTTCATTCTAAAATTCCCACAAAAATACCAAGTTCTACAAGGTTTTCAACTTAACTAAAATATATCAATCGACAAATTTTGTTTGAAACGAAGTTAAATGAATAGCAGCCCACATGCTTAATCTACATAGCAACTATCAATATACTAGTGCTTGTTGCATTTTCTTATCATGTAGGTCATTCTTCTCAATAAGATAAAAATTCAGTACACTTTGTATATGGGCTTATTCACCTTTGCATGATAATTATTTTGAAGCATAGGATATTTAGCAAAAATTTTGTGAAGATTTCTGTACACTACAGTCAGAATGAATGCTTATTCAGCATAGCATTAGATGGGGTTTTCATTCTGTGATTACTATGCTTATGGAGCCTTCTATGAAATTGAATTCACAACTTCACAACTTGTTGTCAACGAAATGTCAATGAGTTTATAAAAAAATTTACCTATTCGTTCTGCTGCATATACTATTGTTGATCCTGAGCCTATTCCTATTACTTGGTTATCCTGAAAAATGGATGTTATCAAATTATAAAATTCAGATATACATATCTATTATAAACAAACCTGCATATCTTCATGTATATTATTCAAAATATTGACATAGAACTCACCCTTACTCTACCTGCTTCTAATTTTGAATAAACATAATTTCATGCAGTCTTCTTCAGTTGTATAAGCTACATGTTTAAAGAAAGGACATCAAATAACAACCATGAATCCAAACAAAAAAAATCTTTTGGTTAGTATTATGTGATTATTCAATTTCCGATATTGTGTACATAAATAACAGGAAGCCACAAAATAAACATAAAATGTCACAGTCATGTTCCTCTGTACAAAAGCAATCCTTTAAGGATTGGCCATGCACTTGATGCCACTATTCAGACCTATCCAAACATGACAATGGCCCTCCAGTCACCCTCATGGTTCTCCTGAAAGAATTGGTACTCCCAGACAGGCAGTTTGCATGTGCCCTAAAATGATTTGTCTTTATTGGATAAAATAGTTTGAAATGTGACAGAAGTATCTAAGACCCATTCAGATTCAGATATTGTACCAGCTGGGTTAATCCAACTCTGTGGGAGTTTCTTGCTAAAGTGCAATCAATCTAATCGGCTTAATTGACTGTCACACCTCCTTGAGCAGCTAGGGGGTAATTAACTTCTGTGTGCGCTCAGTTGAATTACCCCTAAGCTGCTCGGAGATTGCATTTTTGCAAGAATCCCTGCAGTTGGATCGGCCCAGCTGGTATGATGTCTGAATTTGAATTTCCTAAGATTGCCTTAATACTACTAAAATAGGTAGTTCACAAAAGGTGCTACTAACTGACTGTGATGACAGCTTTGCAAGTATTCCTTATTTAGTAATGCCTCATCACAGTGTAAAAAATACATTAAATAAATTTTAGAAAAACTGACATTATTTATTTCTCTCAAAAGATACCTTTGCTATCCAATATTTGAGAGAAACACTCATGAGCCTTTAAAAAACCTCTGAACCAGATTTTATTGCCTATCTTGACGAATCTCAGGAACCATTAGAATTGAATTTAAAAAGCGGAATTCCATATTTCCATGGAAAAAGCTCATGTTTGGAGAAATCAGATTATGCCAGAGTATCATGTATACAAAACAGGATCCAGTTGAGAAAGAGGAGGAACTATATGATTCAAACATTTTTTCCACATTAAACACAATATATGTATAACACCCCATTTCCATAGATTAGATCAACCTACTTTAGATCGACCTAACTCCCTGGGGGTTCACGCTAAATAGCTGTCAGCCAGGCGGACACGAAAGTTAATTACCCCCTTACAGCTTTTAGTAGGCGGGACGGACATTTAAGTCAGATTATCTGAAAGTAATCTAGTGAGACTTCCCGCGGGGATAGAGCGATCTAAAATCTATGGGAATAGAGCCTAAGTAACAATACACTTACGAGCAAACATCTGGATTTGTTGTTTTACTATTGTCATAGGAATGAAGCACAACAGCCTGTTCAGTGTGGATAATTTGAATAATATTTTTAGGTCAGTTAGACAGTGAGATATACTTCAAAAGTGCTCCCTGCATGTTAAAGTGTTTCTGACACCACAAAAAGCAAGGTACTGATATGTGGACCAGACAAGCATGAGATGCATTAAACATACTAATGTATTATCTGCCAACATGCCATCTTTACAATAATCACACAGTAAGTAATGCTGAATCACAACCTTGAGGAGAATTTTCTTTTTTAGGCTAGCATCCCAGATGCAAATATCTGTAGTATCTCAATGCCAAGTACCCTAAACATTCATAATTTTTCAGGAGTTCTTGATATAGATCACATGTGAAAAAATTGGCAATTGTACATCATGTATGTCCCAAAAGTTATGCTTATATAACTCTTTCTTGAAAATGAATGGCTTATGCTATAGAAAAGATAATAAGGTACATCTGAAGAAAATTTTGATATGTTTTAATGATACTCTGTAAGACCGATTCTTCATCTTCACACTTTCTGTAACTGAGCACAAATGGCGGGATTGATGGATGCCAGGATTTGGTAGGATTGATTAACAAGACCCAACATTGCGGTGAACAGATTTTCTCTTAAATTTCAAGAAATATGCAACTCATAAGCTTAAGGTTAGATATGAGGAGAAAAATCAAAAGCTTATGAAAAAATGTTGTTTGAATTTTTTATCACCATCCTTTCATTGATATCTTTCAGGTTCATGCACAATAAAAATATACAGTATCTGCAAAACATTTATCAGAGTGCTACAAATGTATGCATGTACTGTACTCCCTGGTCATTTGAACAAGTAAACTTCTAGATGAGCCAGTCAGTGATCTGTACATGTACGTCCTAAGTTGTACAATGTACAAACCGTCAAAGATGTTCAGTCCAGTACTGTAATACGTAATAAGCAGGCACAGTACATGTACTACACGCAGTATAATGTCAATGTACATAGGCATTGTACATTGTATTAAATTTTGTGCTGTCTTACCTGTATGTTTTCGTCTACAGCTATGTAAGCTGCAGACTTCTTTCCAAGTTTAATACTGTCCATTTCGGTGCTAAAATATTTAAAAGAACACCCTTTTATATTATGTAGGGTTATAAGACTGCTTCCTCGTGTAAGAACTGCACGCCACATGAAATCGCATTTGTTTTGTTCAACTTCAATGACCAACCTTCACCTTGACACACTTTGGGAGGTGTGACCATGACACATCACACTCGAAAGAGATACGAAAGCAAAATTACTACATATTTCCATCCTTTTAAGTGAAATGATACAGTTATATAAGATTTAATAAAGCATCATACATCATTTACAACATGTTTTTAAATAAAATAACTGATAATATATTTCAGTGAATGTTTATATGATTAAAATAATTATATCTTAAACTAATACGATGGGGTACGTCATTGAAAGTTTGAGCTAATCTTAGCCAATCCCAAGTGTTCATTTGCGTATGTAGTACGCATTTACATATCTGTCGGTAAACAATCTTTTCGTTTGTGGACATCTCAAAGCTCACCATGACGAAATAGAAATGTTGGAACCAGATTTTGGATCCCTGATGGAGGGAGAGCCGGGATGTGAGTATCCAATTACTGGCACGTTCAAGAAATACTGGTACATGTAATTATGCCTGAGTACTATTACTAATGCAATGGTATTTGACCACATAACCATCGTCATCATGTAAAACGAGATGTACAGTAACTCCTTGCTTACAGTGAACCCTCCCTCATGATAGCACAGAAAACCGATGAAAATTAGGTAGGCTAAAACTGTATTAAGACAGTTTCAAAATTAGCCCTGTAGCATTACTTTGGAATGGCTATTGACTGCACAACACTTTTTTCAGTGATGCCCCATGGGACATGGAATTTAGTGCCTTCTCCCTCCCGTTTTCTTCATGGTATATCTCATGTGGGCAACAGTGTTTCCTCCTGGTTAGAGAGCGGAAGACAACTGACATCACGTGCACAAGAACTTGTAGCACCAGGAATATTAGCATCAGAACCTATGCAGAACACTTTAGGTATCAGTGTCATAAAAGCATTTCTTTACCTAGCACACATGAAAAGCTATGAATTTGGTTTTAAATTAAAAATCTTAATCATAATCATAGTTAGTNTGGATGAAAAACAAGCATCTGACAAAGTTACAAGTGGAACATTATGGACATACAGACAAGGCTAGAGAACACGTAGTAATTTACTCAGCCATGGCTTCACATTAAATTAATGCACCATTATGCCTGTAGATCATGACTTGCAAGGAGGCTGACTAAAAAGGCAATTCATACATAAAAGGACTATTGTTAAAAAGATACAGTACTCTTTCTTTTCATTCTAAAATTCCCACAAAAATACCAAGTTTACAAGGTTTTCAACTTAACTAAAATATATCAATCGACAAATTTTGTTTGAAACGAAGTTAAATGAATAGCAGCCCACATGCTTAATCTACATAGCAACTATCAATATACTAGTGCTTGTTGCATTTTCTTATCATGTAGGTCATTCTTCTCAATAAGATAAAAATTCAGTACACTTTGTATATGGGCTTATTCACCTTTGCATGATAATTATTTTGAAGCATAGGATATTTAGCAAAAATTTTGTGAAGATTTCTGTACACTACAGTCAGAATGAATGCTTATTCAGCATAGCATTAGATGGGGTTTTCATTCTGTGATTACTATGCTTATGGAGCCTTCTATGAAATTGAATTCACAACTTCACAACTTGTTGTCAACGAAATGTCAATGAGTTTATAAAAAAAATTACCTATTCGTTCTGCTGCATATACTATTGTTGATCCTGAGCCTATTCCTATTACTTGGTTATCCTGAAAAATGGATGTTATCAAATTATAAAATTCAGATATACATATCTATTATAAACAAACCTGCATATCTTCATGTATATTATTCAAAATATTGACATAGAACTCACCCTTACTCTACCTGCTTCTAATTTTGAATAAACATAATTTCATGCAGTCTTCTTCAGTTGTATAAGCTACATGTTTAAAGAAAGGACATCAAATAACAACCATGAATCCAAACAAAAAAAAATCTTTTGGTTAGTATTATGTGATTATTCAATTTCCGATATTGTGTACATAAATAACAGGAAGCCACAAAATAAACATAAAATGTCACAGTCATGTTCCTCTGTACAAAAGCAATCCTTTAAGGATTGGCCATGCACTTGATGCCACTATTCAGACCTATCCAAACATGACAAAGGCCCTCCAGTCACCCTCATGGTTCTCCTGAAAGAATTGGTACTCCCAGACAGGCAGTTTGCATGTGCCCTAAAATGATTTGTCTTTATTGGATAAAATACTTTAAAATAGTTGACAGAAGTATCTAAGACCCGTTCAGATTCAGATATTGTACCAGCTGGGTTAATCCAACTCTGTGGGAGTTTCTCGCTAAAGTGCAATCAATCTAATCGGCTTAATTGACTGTCACACCTCCTTGAGCAGCTAGGGGGTAATTAACTTCTGTGTGCGACATTATTTATTTCTCTCAAAAGATACCTTTGCTATCCAATATTTGAGAGAAACACTCATGAGCCTTTAAAAAACCTCTGAACCAGATTTTATTGCCTATCTTGACGAATCTCAGGAACCATTAGAATTGAATTTAAAAAGCAGAATTCCATATTTCCATGGAAAAAGCTCATGTTTGGAGAAATCAGATTATGCCAGAGTATCATGTATACAAAACAGGATCCAGATGAGAAAGAGGAGGAACTATATGATTCAAACATTTTTTCCACATTAAACACAATATATGTATAACACCCCATTTCCATAGATTAGATCGACCTACTTTAGATCGACCTAACTCCCCGGGAGTTCACGCTAAATAGCTGTCAGCCGGGCGGACATGAAAGTTAATTACCCCCTTACAGCTTGTAATAGGCGGGACTGACATTAAAGTCGGATTATCTGAAAGTAATCTAGTGAGACTCCCCGCGGGGATAGATCGATCTAAAATCTATGGGAATAGAGCCTAAGTATAACAATACACTTACGAGCAAACATCTGGATTTGTTGTTTTACTATTGTCATAGGAATGAAGCACAACAGCCTGTTCAGTGTGGATAATTTAAATAATATTTTTAGGTCAGTTAGACAGTGAGATATACTTCAAAAGTGCTCCCTGCATGTTAAAGAGTTTCTGACACCACACAAAAAGCAAGGTACTGATATGTGGACCAGACAAGCATGTGATGCATTAAACATACTAATGTATTATCTGCCAACATGCGATCTTTACAATAATCACACAGTAAGTAATGCTGAATCACAACCTTGAGGAGAATTTTCTTTTTGGGCTAGCATCCCAGATGCAAATATCTGTAGTATCTCAATGCCAAGTACCCTAAACACTCATAATTTTTCAGGAGTTCTTGATATAGATCACATGTGAAAAAATTGGCAATTGTACATCATGTATGTCCCAAAAGTTATGCTTGAAAATGAATGGCTTATGCTATAGAAAAGATAATAAGTTACATCTGAAGAAAATTTTGATATGTTTTAATGATACTCTGTAAGACCGATTCTTCATCTTCACACTTTCTGTAACTGAGCACAAATGGCGGGATTGATGGATGCCAGGATTTGGTAGGATTGATTAACAAGACCCAACATTGCGGTGAACAGATTTTCTCTTAAATTTCAAGAAATATGCAACTCATAAGCTTAAGGTTAGATATGAGGAGAAAAATAAAAAGCTTATGAAAAAATGTTGTTTGAATTTGTTATCACCATCCTTTCATTGATATCTTTCAGGTTCATGCACAATAAAAATATATCTGAAAAACATTTATCAGAGTGCTACAAATATACCAGTATGCATGTACAGTACTGTACTCCCTGGTCATTTGAACAAGTGAACTTCTAGATGAGCCAGTCAGTGATCTGTACATGTACGTCCTAAGTTGTACAATGTACAAACCGTCTAAGATGTTCAGTCCAGTACTGTAATACGTAATAAGCACGCACAGTACATGTACTACACGCAGTATGATGTCAACGTACATACTAACATAGACATTGTACATGTACATTGTATTAAATTTTGTGTTGTCTTACCTGTATGTTTTCGTCTACAGCTATGTAAGCTGCAGACTTCTTTCCAAGTTTAATACTGTCCATTTCGGTGCTAAAATATTTAAAAGAACACCCTTTTATATTATGTAGGGTTATAAGACTGCTTCCTCGTGTAAGAACTGCACGCCACATGAAATCGCATTTGTTTTGTTCAACTTCAATGACCAACCTTCACCTTGACACACTTTGGGAGGTGTGACCATGACACATCACACTAGAAAGAGATACGAAAGCAAAATTACTACAAATTTCCATCCTTTTAAGTGAAATGATACAGTTATATAAGATTTACTAAAGCATCATACAGCATTTACAACATGTTTTTTAATAAAATAACTGATAATATATTTCAGTGAATGTTTATATGATTAAAATAATTATATCTTAAACTAATACGATGGGGTACGTCATTGAAAGTTTGAGCTAATCTTAGCCAATCCCAAGTGTTCATTTGCGTATGTAGTACGCATTTACATATCTGTCAGTAAACAATCTTTTCGTTTGTGGACATCTCAAAGCTCACCATGACGAAATAGAAATGTTGGAACCAGATTTTGGATCCCTGATGGAGGGAGAGCCGGGATGTGAGTATCCAATTACTGGCACGTTCAAGAAATACTGGTACATGTAATTATGCCTGAGTACTATTACTAATGCAATGGTATTTGACCACATAACCATCGTCATCATGTAAAACGAGATGTACAGTAACTCCTTGCTTACAGTGAACCCTCCCTCATGATAGCACAGAAAACCGATGAAAATTAGGTAGGCTAATACTGTATTAAGACAGTTTCAAAATTAGCCCTGTAGCATTACTTTGGGATGGCTATTGACTACTCAACACTTTTTTCAGTGATGCCCCATGGGACATGGAATTTAGTGCCTTCTCCCTCCCGTTTTCTTCATGGTATATCTCATGTGGGCAACAGTGTTTCCTCCTGGTTAGAGAGCGGAAGACAACTGACATCACGTGCACAAGAACTTGTAGCACCAGGAATATTAGCATCAGAACCTATGCAGAACACTTTAGGTATCAGTGTCATAAAAGCATTTCTTTACCTAGCACACATGAAAAGCTATGAATTTGGTTTTAAATTAAAAATCTTAATCATAATCATAGTTAATATTGATGATCATTTGATAGTCCAAAAAATTCTGTGAAAATATTAGAAAACATCTTTACACCTTTAATCTAAGTTAATATTGAAATCATTTGATAATCCAAACAATTTTCTGAAAATATTTGAAAATCTTTACACCTTTAATCTTACCAATGACATGACATGCAAACGATTTTTATCAATAAATACATAAAGCAGTACTGTTTTTGAATAATAACTTTTTTTTTTATTTGATGAAGATTTTAATTATCAACCATTTGTTACTCCTTATATTACAGTTCAAGTAATGCATTAATTATTATTATTTCAAGGCGTTCCTTATTTTCCGAGTGCTGGTAACGAGTTGGCCAGGCCAGATGAAGGGGGTCTCCATAATGTTCCCCATCCTGGTGTGCTAGAGAATATAGCCACAGCATTCCAGAGACAAGAGGTGATCAACAGGGTGCATTCACAACTGGGCACTGTCAACTACCTTGTCAATGTTGCAAACTACATGAAGCACAAACATGTAGAGGTAATTTAAATTTCTAGAAATGGAAAATAATTTTTTTGTTTTGTTTTTATATTTATATGATATAAAGCTTCTGAATTTAATGTTTATGAGAAAATTGAATTGTGTTACACATAATTGACTTTTCTAAACTGAAACACATTCTTGCTTTGCACTGCCAAACATGACTAGATCTACATTGGATGCTTCTATCACACTAACTTGGTATGATCACAATCAATCTTCAGTATCAATACATGTGTCAAAAGTGTTTGAACCTAACACTCACCAGTACACCCAGTATCTTTCCTAAGTGTGCTGTAAGTTTTTCTTCTTTGCAGCAAGCAGTGGTGGAAGGTCATAGGCAGTTACATAGGTTATGTGATAATGTTCAGAGACAGGCAGTTGTCATTGGTGAGTAAAAATTATTTATTTATTTATTTATTTATTAGTATTTCAGCATTATCAAATTATATTACTTACTCCTTCTACTTGCCCTACCATTTCATTGAAACGTTATACGAATATGATATATAGAAATGAAATGAAAGAAAAATAATAAAATAGATAAAAACAAGATGAAGATGGGATCTGTTAAAAAGTTGCTCTCAGACATCTCTTAGTCAGTCTGTTATCCAAAGTTATCACAGATAATTTGATTAGTGGAGCTAGGGCCATGTAATTTGGAAGTCTCTCATGGGACTATTTTCAAGATTACTCTGGTCACAAGTTTGACATTGATCAAAACACGGAAAAAGTTTCGTGGCAAACCTTGATGGATGCATTAACTTTTATGCTGTTTGTGCCATATAATATAAGTATCTTTTTTGGCAAAGCTAATTATTATTACCTACTTGTTTGCAGATGATTTGAATAATTCTGTGCAAAGTTTGAGTGTGGAAGTTGATCTTCAGAGGCAAGTATCTGACAGATTGTCTACTTCCCTGGATGCCCAGCAAGCTCTGTTGGATGCCAGTATCTTAGAAAACAGGGAAGCAATAGAGAAACAAAACAGTGTCCTTGCAAAACAGCAAGAAATGGTCAACGTAAGTGAACACAAACTATGATACCTTGTGAACAAATGGAACATAAATGCATTTGTCTGTAAAAGGAAACAAATTACTCTTTACAACACTTAAAAAGGCATGATTTGGGGAATATATAAAGATTTTTAAATCTAAAAAGAACAGTGCATTAATGGCCTTTGAATTTTATAATATATTTATGCATACTTTAGTTATTTTTCTCAATTATTGTGTATGTAATTAGCATATAAGCCACAAGACAGTCAGACTGGTAATAGTAGACATTTTAACGAGTCCAGTAAAATTCTTTTGGTCTTGACATGATGAATTTTAGGAACATAGTAAAATGCTCATATTGTAAATTATTAAGTAGATTTTTTTCAGATGGTTTATAAAAGACTGAAATTAAAATATAATAATTTGTTATATTCTATTTGTTAAATTTAATATTTACCAGACAGTGTTAAGTGGGGCAGTATTAATTTATTACAGCTAATGTAGTATTCACTATGACTGTCATTTCAGAATTTGTTACAACAGAGACTGCGTCATGATTTTTATGTGGATAGCGTGCTGGTTGGGTTTTGTGCATATGTTTGCAATACATTTCTAGTGAAGTTCCCTCTCAAAATTGCTTTAACAGTGATTCCTGTTAACAGAAGAACGAAAAAGTGGTAAGGTCTTTTGTTACAAAATGGTACTCATGAATATTTTGTCTGTTATAAGAAAAAATAAAATAGTAGTTAAAAGTATTTTACTGCTGTAAATTATTCTGTAACCTTAGCCTCATTTCTACATCTTCATTTCGATTTGTTAAGTTTGTTACTTCAGTCATAGCTAGCTATTTTCAGAGAGAATCATATCTTTTTTACAGGCTTGATGGTTTCACAAGACTAATGCTGGTGCTTTCATTGATCAAAATTCTTAAAACTTGGAGTATTAAATGTGGACTTCACAATAGGTACATAATGATATCCAAATATACATGAGAAAATTTTACATGAATTTTTAATTTTTAAAAAATAATAAAATAAAATAATAAACATATCACAAATAGCCAGTAAATCATTCCATCTGTATTGTGTCCCATGTGGAGTTTTATTAGTGCTTATTGAAGGTATTTTTAACAATGTATAAATAGTTTAGCATCAATAAACACTAAGATGATTGCAAATATATATACTGTGTCTTCACAAATGTTATCCAGTTGTAAAAACAGTAAAGTATTTTTTGAGTGATTATTGTTTTTAATTTTTGCAGTGTTGGAGGTCTGACACCGTACATGAGGAAAGCACTCCAGCTGTTAGTGAGTAGTCTTCAAAACCATAGAGAGGGACTTGTTGCTAGATTTAAAAGGAAAACAAATTCTCCTAATAAAAGACCTGCCACTTCTACAACTTTGGATTTGTGCTGATCTTTTTTTTTTTTTTTTTCAAACTCGTGAGGCAAAATGAAAGTAATGCAGTTAGAGACAATTTAAATGTTCATAGGTCAGCAGTTATCAAATTATGTCACGCAGCCACACTGTAAAGTCAGGCAGTGCTATGCAAGTATCTATATAGTAATAAGTCCCTGAATCATACACTGCTACCCTAGTAACATTTGGCAGTATTGTTGAAAGTGAAAATTTTGATACAAAGACAATTAAAAGATTTCAAGAGGGCTTCTTAAAAGTGATGCAACATCCAAGTGGGTACTGTACAGGTTCACTATACAGGACAGTATTGTTGTGCTCACATCAGGGAACCAAACATTTTCAAAAGTATTTTTGCAATGTAGCTGAGGGTAATCTAAATATTTGTGCCGCAGAATTATTTATCCAAAATAACACATATCCCAGATAACAGGCAGTGCTTTCTGCAGATTTGTTACAATAATTTTGATAATGTTACACATTGTAATTTTTTATTTCACATTAAAGTTTTATAACAGTTAACAATACAATTGACATTATTCCATTTTCCAATTATAAATAATAAAAATAATATTTACTTTGAAATTTCTGCTTTGTATTTTGAATTTTTCATTTAATACTTTTAGAATCAACTATTAATTCTCTGTATCTATACTCCCTATGAAGAGTAGAAATAAATGAAATGAAGCAAGGAGAAAAATGAGATAAAAATTCTTTACAAACAGGCCAGGGTTGAACATATAATTTTAACTGCAAGCTGGGGAGTAGCACCAACTATCATGCTTTGAAATTTGCCAGTTAATGTATCAACACTAAACTTCCCCCAAAAGGTCTGTCAATTAAGTCCCAAAACTATTCCAAAGTAACGGTCCTTTAGATTGCACATTTAACACTTTTATAAAGTATATAAACCATGCATGTTACTGCCCATCCGTGCAATCAAAGAGAATCAATGCTGTCCTCCAGAGATCAAGCACATCATTAGGCAAAACAAGGCAGTGTTTCACATTCACATGTTTATATTAGTTACAGGAAACTTATCCCATTTAGAATTTATAAACATAATATAAATTGAGCTTATTTAGTTCTTTTCAATTCATTTCCAATTTTCCTGCTTTTAACTGTTGGTGTTTAAATATACTGAGAAAAAACCATTTGATGGAGAGAAAAACTATCATGATACATTAAACATTCCATACCTATTAAGTATATTTTGGCCTGTGCGTCTTCACAATGTTTATCCTTCAAGCTCAAAAGAATCACCTAATAATATATGTTAAATTTAACAAGGAAATCTTGTTTAAAAATAGTAACATACTGCAAACAACCAGCAAAATGAAATATAATGCATATCTGACAACAGCAATTTCTACAGTATATGCTGGCATTTGTTATGCATGCAACTGACAATAGCTGCCCTTTTATAAGTCACAACAACTATTTATAGATTTGAGACCTTACTGACATCTGTAACAGCATACTGGGCAGCAGTGGCACACTGTAGAGCACTTTTCCCACACACATTAACAAAAAAATCACCCTTTCCTGTTAAAACAGGTGCGGTTTTCTATAATTGTTCCTATTCCATTTAATACAGTTAAAGAGCCTGCAGCCATAACAGACTCCACACAGCTTCCACAACAAGGTATAATGGCCAATGTTACATAAACCATATTACTATACAGAAATACTCCTTGGTTAATACTTCATCCAGAATGAAAGTAAACCATACACATTGCTATGATAGAAATGCTTTGATATATGTATTTTTCGTTCTTGAATATGCAAACACCATATGTTTTCACTACTACATCTTTAACATTTCTATGATTAAAGCTTGACAGTGTACAATTACCAATGACATTTTATTTTTGAACACACTTTCTCTAATAGGGCTGCAGTGCTGCCAATATAAAGAACCTTCCAAGGCAGTACAATATCTAATACCAGCTATGGTAAAAGTTGAACCATTAAATTGAAACTTATTTCACCTACCACATAATGCAAGTTTGAAAAGATCTGCTAATTGTTTAATGCAAGATCTTATACCTTCTCTTGATATATATATAACCTAATAAATAGTTTTATGGTATTCAGCACGTCCCGAATGAATAAGACTTTTAAGATATGTTGTACAACAATTATACTATTTCCTTTTTTTTTCCACAGAACAGTCCAGCAACAAACTGGGTCGACATAAATCCTCTCTGTCAAAACTCAGAAATAACTTCGCATTACAAAGTGCACTGAGATTAACTAAGGAATGACATGATATAGGTCTAAGAATATGCATTTTTAAGGGCCTCAATCTGTTCAGTGTGTCCAGCTGGCCACCAAGTCAGCATAAGGAGACCCTGTCTGCCCTACTGCTTGGAAAGTGGACTGGAATGCTCTCCGCTGTCCTTCCTCTGACAACTGGTCATAGAAGTCCAGTGCTGCAGTATGGAACAACTGGCAGTCTGCCTCCTCCAGCTTACCCATTCTACTCTCAACATGACGGAAACTTTAACATGTTAAGGAAAATTGGTGATAAATTTGCTGATAAATTATTTTTACTATTTGTATATCTACTGCAAAATCTGAGGTTTTTGTACGTAAGTCAAAGTTTGGCAAGTCACAAATAACTTAATAATGTTTGATCACATTAATATGTAGGACTTGGAGAACATTCATTTTAACTATAACAACTTGATGCAATTCTTTGTAATAGTTGTTCATGCATTACATTATAAGTAAAACTAAATTAAAAAAAAAATTAATAAATTTACAATAAATTAACAAAACTGTTTATTTTTTACACAATGACAAGGATACAGTGCCCGAAGCCATTGGTTGGTGGAGGCACTGATGAAGAAGCAGGTCAGACTCCAGATTGCCATAGCAATGGGGGTGCGCTGTGTGAAGTTGGACAAAGACAGCATCACCCAATCCTGTACAAGACTTTGCTGTTTCTTTTTATGTAGGGCTGCAAACACCTGAACACAAATAGGAAGGAAGAAATTATAATAATAATACACAATGTATAAATTACAATATTCTCTTGTTTAATAATGAGAAAAACACCTTTTTTTCTTACTGATCAGGAGATAGTAAGTTTTAGATGTAACTGATACAACTGATCTTGGGGGAATATATGAGGCTGGTATCTACACATATCAGAAAAGTTGCCAACTGTATCTTAAAAGTTGAAAACTTTTAAGCATTTGGGCAGTTTTGCATCTTTTGACAATTCTAAAAGAAAGTTTTCAACTTTGTCAGCTAAACTGTCGACAATCATCCAGTGTTGTCAATATGCTAGTTCTCAAAATGGGAAGGTGTATTGTTCATATGTTCCTAGCTATAGAAAAATGCCCCTAAAAAATGAAATACAAAAGAAAAATACACTCACACATGCATTTGCTGTTCCTAGAGTGATCTTCTGGAAATGGCAGTCTCAATAAAGGAGAAACTATGAGAGAAGAATATTCGAGTTCCTGCATTACCTACCTCAAATACCACTCTTGCCATAAGCTGTGGGTGAGGCTGCTGACTAGACAGAAATTCTCCTATTACTTTATTCATGATGTCTTGAGGAGGGAAGAAGTCGGTCAAGAAAGATGGAAGGATCTGTGTCAGGACTTGTGCTTCAAATGGGAATCCTTTCCTTATCCTAAAATAGTTTGAAGGTATCCCATAAATCTTTAAAACACTTTTGTCTTATAGGGCATTGATCTATTATTTAGCTCATGCAGTTCCCAATGGTGCACAGGAAAACTTGGGCCATATTTAGCATGTACGAAATTGATAAGTCAACATATTTAAAGCCTTTATTAAATCAAAATCATAGAAAAATCAACACCATTATTCCATTTCTTAAGCATACAACAATCGACACAAAAATAAGACTTTATTGCTGTATGCTTAAGAGTTATAACAGCAGCAAAAATACCTGTCAAACAGCACAGTCACTCTCTCCATGGCAACAATCAAAGACTCCGGATCTTGTGGAATAGGAACCTCTGCAGGCAGCTCGATGAAAAATGTTGTCTCACTGTGAACTGAAGGTGTGTACTGGTCTCCTTGTTTGCCTAGAAAATTAACATTTCTTGTTATGAAAACTTTTGGGAGCTATAGCAAAAACAACAGACAATGGAAACAAATACAGTGAATGCAGCTGTTCAGGAGAGGATAAAATTAAGGTAAACGTAGCTATAAATTGTGACACTAAAATAAAATACACATTTTAGCAGAGGCAGATGATAGCCATCTTCTGGGTCTTCCAGACAGTCAGAATATTTCAAGTTTTCATTGTCGGGTATCTATTTTTTTCTCTCAGAAGATGATCAAAAATGGAAGATGGATCAACAAAGATAACTTGGAAGACTGTCAGAAAATTTCTCTGGATCTACCCATTTTAGGAGTAAAAACAACCAAATGCAATGTTTCATAATTTTCGTACCTGCATACATACAAGTCAACATGAGGCCCAGTGCTGCCAGTGCTCTCTGCGGACTGGGAAGACATAACCTTAAAACAAAAAAGAAAACAAATCTCATGAAATTTTAATTACCCATTAGTGACACTGAGTGAAAGAAACACCAAGTTCAGGAATGAAAATCACATTCATTTCCTGATACAGGACAAAAAAAGTTGACAAATTTACCTAACAACTTGCTCATAATAAAATAACCAAATGACCATTGGTAATCAACTATAGCTGGTGATTAAAAATTTTAATACATGGGAATATAAAGAACAAACTTCTAAATTTTTAAAATCCTCTAATGTACTTGTTTCAGTTCAGTGTCCTTTCCACTGCCGATTAGTTATACAGTATGCCTAGTCTTCCCTTACCTGTCAACTGCCAGTTTGATAAGTGACTCTGTGTCCTGCCCGCTGATAACATTTGCCAACACCAGTCTCTCTAGACCACGGAGGATAACCAAATAGACGGCAAATGGACACACATCTTCACCAGAAGTGGCCAGAGATACTGCAACCTGGACACAATTGTTTATATCGTATCATAATAATGTATGTTTCCTATTTTTAATACAATTGTAATCAGACCTGATCTATTGGAAATTTGTTGAGACAATTACAAATTCACTTTCACCATTCTCTCGATAATCAATACAATAAACTTGATATTTAATCATATCTAAACATCTTTCATAATGAAACACTGAGCACCGTCATTCTCAGTCTCCTCTTTATTACAATTCAATGAAACCAGAAGATATTAAAACTGTACCAAACATTAAAATAAAATTAGACTCAGAAACATAGTAAGTTATCAAGTTTAGTTTTGGTAAGATAGATACACCACCTGTAGCACCCTGGATGCAAACTCTGTATCTTTGATCTCTTCCTGGAAATTTTCAATTAAAAAGAAAGCTGTGGACCACATCACAAGAAGATGCTGCTGACAGTGGACTGTCATCCTGGAATCCAAAGTTTATAGTGGATCAACTGTACATGACCTTATCTTACCTCAAGACTGAATTCTGTTAGTGTGCACTGAACACATTGGTCATAAATTAAATAAAATGATAAGAAATAAATTTCTGAGAGTCAGATTTTAATAATCAACCAATGCCTTAAAATTGATGAAATATCAGCAACTTGGCTATAAAGAACTTACACATTCATAACAACTGTAAATGAAAAATTATCTTCTGAGTTGCAACTATTGGCCTTATTCAAATGTTGGTACTCACAATCCAATAATCTCCATTTGTTTGACCAAGTACTCCATGATATCAGGAATGATGCCTCGGCTCAGGTCATTGATGCCAGTCTCCAGAATGTACAGGCAGCCATGAAGGGCTGCTATACGCGATGGAATGTGGGGACTTTTCAAAGTGGACTCCACAACTTTCTCAACTTTCTCTGCCTCCTGACCAGTCTGGTGAGAAACAATAAAGACAATACAATATATCAAAAAATGTGCTAATGCCTTTTCTACCTTTATTACTTCAGCTTAGATAAATGCTGTGGAAGGACATTTTTACAACTTGATAAGAAATGAGAGAGGTGCACAGGACGCCAAATGCCCTATTAATATCTCAAACAATGGGATCTTACCACCCCTGTGATGGCTGCAGCCTTACATATCCCCACCACCAGGTACTGCACTGTCACTTCATCTTCCTGGGGGTGGCACTTAAACACATCCATCAGGGTGTCCAGCATCCACTCAAACTGCTGTCTCTCAGTGAACAGGTCAGATATAGCAACAACCTGATAAAATCACAGAAAAAATGTTTGCATTAATAATTGTGTGGTATAAATAATTTTTTCATTTAAAAACTTTCATAATCTCAATAATATTTTCCTTTTTAATCCTATGACCTTTCAAATTAACAAAAAAAAGTATCGTGATTAAGCTTTCCCAAATACAGCAAAATAATTGTTTCAGCAGTTTTGGGTTTCAGGATTCTTCTCAATTCCATGCAGCTGCATACTTACTGACTTCACGGTCTGGTTTATCAACATAAGAGGTGTTCTAGGGGTCACTCCAGGAGTTAGCCACTGTCCATACAAGTCCACAAGGAATTGAACACAGGAATGGAGGTCAAGACCACTATGGCTGGAGGAACGTCCTCTGGTTGTCATGGCAACAGACAGTTCCTGGTCATCTTCACTACTACCAGATTCACTAAAGTTCAGCATCCCAACAACAGACCAGATGGATTCAATGCAAAACTGCAAATGAAAAATGCAATAAAATCAATAAGAATTTTAAATGCACATTTCTTTCTCTTTCTCATCCACAAACACACAGATTTCCCCCTCGGCAAGTATCCTAAATACTTTATTTCAAAAATGTTTGTGCTAAGTCCTGTAGCATTTTGCACTTATGAACAATAATAAGAAGTAAACAAAAAACCCTTTCATTCATAAACATTACAGCTCTGGGGATATGAAGTCCAATTAAGTCTGAAGAGTTAAATGTTAGCATCACATTCAGAAGTCTAACAAGAGACCCAAACATCTCTATCAATAGATCCTAGGAACTGTATTTTATATTCCCACCATATTACCTGCCCCATAGTAAATGCTTCAAGTCCCAATTCTCTCTCCAGGTTACAACCAAAGAGATCTCTTTCCTGACCAGATAAGGAAGTATGACCTCTGAACCTGAAAACAAAGTTTACAGCAGTCTTAAGCAATGATTGCCTACTTCAAAGACACAAGAATGTTTACTTTCATGAAATCCTAAATCAAAAAGAAACAGGTAAATAAGGGAAAAACTCACTTGGTTTAATAGATATAGGCACACTTCAACTGAGAGCAACTTACTTTAGTAAGCACAGATGGCGGAGATCCCTCTCAATAATCGATCGCAGCAGCAGCAACCTCTTACCACACCTTAATATAAAAAAGCAGTTACGTAACATTCAAATCTAGATAATTTTTTAAAAATATACACATCATTAATGATTAAAACAAACTAGGACTTCACCCAAATTGAATGAGTGAAATTCCCATTTTTTTTCAGACATTGCCTCAAAGAAATCTCACTAGTTTCAATGTGGCAGTAACTAGTTCTAAATTTAGTACATAAGATGATGGAAACCAAGTGGTGTATAGAAGCAAAAATACCTTGTATGCATAAATGCCAATGGTTTGTCTCTAGGCTGGTTTTCATGAACTCCATTGCAAGGATTGCCAGGGTCTGGAGTGAGAGTAGATTGCAGTAGGAGAGCAGTAATACACCGCACAGCTAACACAATGCATTGGGTTCTATCCACCTCTTCCTCTGGAGAGACTGGATGCTGCTCTTCCTCCAGTAAAGCTGGGTTCAGTACGCCTAGTAAACACATCCATGTCTCCTCAAACTGCTGCCGACTTGTCCAGCCTAAAAAGTATAGGAAATATGTTTTATAAATATGAATACATTAAAAATATAGACTGCATGAGATAAATTGTTGTGATCTGACCGCATGCTTGTATATATCTATTTTTCAGATGTATAATGAAGTTTTTAAAAACATTACATGACAAAGCTTAAAGCAACAAACCAAATCCTCTTTATTTCAAATTAGCACCCTTGTAAACATTACAATGTATGCATCAAAGAGGCATAACTTACCAACAACATTCACCCTGAAGATGAACTCTCTCAGGACATCTTTTTCCTGCAAGAAGTCTAGAGGCAGTGGAGGAAGCTTGGTCTTGGTCTCTCCACCAGGGGCAGGCATCCAACCTAGTTTCCACACCAGAGGGGGTGTGCGAGCATAACTATTGACCAGAGGCAGCCTGGCTAAACCTGTACATGGAATATCATAAATCAAAAATCTATCATAAATCAAAAAACTTCACAAGTATAGGAAATATGTTTTTTAAATACATTATAAATACATTAGCTTGATCTCCATAGCCTAACAAAAGCAAAGTCTGGACCAATTTTCTTACTTAATATCATAAAATCCATAATTCTAAATACTGAAAGCACCTCAAATTTTACATAAGTATTTAGAACTTTTTTTCTTAAATGTTAACCAATCTGACAGATGTGAATACATACTGACAACAATGTTCCTTAACAAGCCAGACACATAAGGTGACAGCTGTCCCTGTGCATGGCGAGGCCGGAGATGTGTGCGAAGACAGTGGAGAAGCTCAGATATCTGATCACATGAACGGATAATGTGGTGGAAACCTGATATGAAGAAATAATTTAGGAGTTTACAGAACGATAGACATTTGAACAGCATTTTGTATTGTCTGCAATATAAGAATCTTATCCAGCTGTTCAGAGTATTTTGCATTAATTCTACTTTAATCTATCTCAAAACATTAAGAACCACATGGAGTATAAAATCACTTAACTGTAGAACTATAAATTCATCTGATGGTAGGAAAAAAAGTACAAAAAATTATACTTATCTCTTCCTTCTTTAAACATACATTCTTCTGGTTGAATGCAACATAAGACCTTATGTACAAGTGGTTAAAAATATAAATATTCATTGCAAATGTACAAAAAGTGAAGGAAATACATCACTTAATTACCATTGTATCTGTGTCTAGGAGTAGAGTCCTCTGTATTTTCATGGTTGGGGAGGGTGGCAAGCTGCTCTCCAGGGATAACTACCACTATAATACAATAGATATAACCAGTAACAGTAAAGCAGACATCCCTATTGTCATATTAAAATTGACAGTTTCGAAAACTCAGCTTATAATACAATTTAAAATCTTTACAAGTTTAAACGTTGCAGGCTAGAGCCTATATTCAAGAATGAAATTTTAAAAAAAGAACATATAAACACACTAAAGTCATCAAGCAAACAGTCAAACGTCTTAAAATGCCAACAATAGTTTTTTTCAAAAGTTCTTTCCCACTCTTTTCAATCTTCTCACTTCCTACTCACTTGAGACAAGCAGCTGATGCACTGCTCTGACTACAGAACACACCCAGGTCACATGCTCTGTGGAACCAATCACAGTGAAGCTTTGTTGATTCTGCAGAACTGCACAGAAACACCGCAAGGAAGTTTCCAGGTGTCCAGAGGCTGGGATCTGGTCTTGATTAAGAAGCCAATGAACGATCTGTCAGGGGAAAGTCAAAGAAATTGATTATACCCTAATGATATATGCAATACCGAAAATTCAAATTAAAGAATAGAACTTTGGGGTCTTTATCAGCTATAACAGGTACAGAGGGGCATGGAAATTCAAAATACATATNACTATTCCCCGTCGTTCTTTCCCTCCAGAATGGCCGCTGGACGAGTGTTACGGAGCAAATATGACGTCACTGTAATCGGTTAATAATCATTTTTGTAAGCAGTGCTGGGACATTTGTGTAGTGAGGTCTTGAGAAATAAATTATTGCAATTATGAAAAGGAACATTCTATTCATCAATGAAAGGCAAAACAATGTATGCAGAGATAAATTCTAGAAATGAAAATTCACAGATAATGATAAAGAGTGTTAAAAGAGCAACAGCTCAAAACAACAATATCATTTACCTCCATGTTAAGAACAGCAAACCTGGCCACATCTCTCACTGACTCTTCAGGAATCTGAGGTTTCCATGGCAGCAATCTCAAGGTTTTTATGTACTCCACCAGAGCTGCAGTCAGATGATTGACATTCTCTAGCCACGCAGTGTCTGTGAAAAAGTCCTCCATTTTCTCTAGGAAGCTGTCCTCTTGCGATGTTTGCTTCTCACTGTAGGATAATACTTGGTGTGGGACAGGTAACATGTTGATGATGTTATTTATATGCCTGAGGAGAGTTAATTGTGATGCCTGCAATACTGGGTGCAGAGAATCGCTGTCTTCTGTGCTCTCAGTTAGCTGGAGATTTTTCATGTTTTGCAAAGTGTTCTTTCTTCCAATAGATATGCACTGCTCAAGAATCCCCAAATGGAAATCCTGTATAGAAAGTTAACTCAAGTATTCATCAAAAATTCATTTGTAAAAAAAAATCCTAGCTCACTTCAATTGCCATTTTGCATGATAAATTATAAGAGTAACTATTTAAGGGAGCTGCCAATTCATTTCTCTGAACCAACCTTTCATTTTCAGTAAGAAATTCCTACCTTAGTCATCATCACAGTTAAAATATCAGAGTAGTCCAGATGCTGCAAGAAAGACGCACAGTTTTCTGTCCTGGCATCTACACTGAAGCACTCAGCTTTAACCATCTGTAGATAGTTCTCCTAAAATTATCATGAAAAGACAACCATGAGGAGGAGCAAAAGATTATAAGTAAGAAGTAATCTTTTTTTCTCAGTTCAAGTTATTTTCACATTTTTAATAGCTGTACTAAGTCAAAGCCCATATTTTTCTTGGCCTGATTTGGATAGAGCAGTGAAGGGGTGAGATGTGAAGAATGCAGAGACCTTGGTAAGAGACATCCTGGTTGTAAGTTAAGGAAGTTAATGTTACACAATCCAGTTTTGTAAGTATGCCTACCTTGGTAAAGGAGACATTCTTGTTGTAACTTAAGGAAGTTAATGTTACACAATCCAGTTTTGTAAGTATGCCTACCTTGGCAAAGGAGACATTCTTGTTGTAACTTAAGGGAGTTAATGTTACACAAGCCAGTTTTGTAAGTATGCCTACCTTGGTGAGAGACATCCTGGTTGTAGGTTATGGAAGTTAATGTAACATAATCTAGTGTTGTAAGTATGCCTACCTTGGTAAGAGACATCCTGGTTGTTGTTCCACTCTGCAGAGGATGTGAGAGCTGGAGTTCTGGTGGAGGTGACTGGTGAGGTGACAACACTGAACGCAGCTTCATCAACAGGGATGACAGCCGTCCATGCCTGATAAACAACATTTAGTTTCAAATTTATGTATACCATCATCTGACTTCACAACAAAAGCCTGACTGAGTAGTTACAACCGTATAATAACGTCAGAGAATAACCACTCTGAGATTGATTATAAAGGAATTTGAAATTTTCAGTTATGATGAGTCTCCCTCAATTGTTCCCTTTGAAATCTGGCTGTTTGGTGAAGTCAGTCAGACTACACTAGGCTTAAGATATGGTCTAGAATAAGTCACAACCCTTAAAATGCCTTGAAAGTGGTCACCTACCTTCTAGTCAGCCCAGCAGTTTGCATGAACTGGAGCAGTTTGTCCAGGTCTTCCAATGGTAGTTGGTTACTACACTCCTGGAAAAAGACAACAATGTTAACTACACCATCTTAAAATTCAGTTTAAGTTTTCATCAGTGTAATTTTCAAAATTGGAATCTTGAACAGAAGACCCAAACTTAAATTTTTATATAAAGGCAACCTTCAAAGATTCATATATGCCTATAATATTTTCAATATAATTTATAGAAAAAACAATTTCCATCACCAATCAAATACATAATAATCAAAAGGAAAAATAAAACGAGTCTATCTCCTCATATCCTGATTTATCCCTATTGTCTTTAATCTAAAAGATAGGACTACACATTTACCTGCACACTGTCTGCCAGTAAGAGCTCCACTCTTCTACAAGCCAAGGCGTCACACATCCTGGCACCAGCCACATGATATGTGTGCAGGAACTTGTCTATGAGAAGGGTAAGCAGGGCTCCACTTTGACTTAGGTGAATAGCTTCTAAACATTGGAGAGTCTTCTTTACTACACTAGGCTGTAAAAATAATCATGTAATAACAGACTTTAAGTTAATAATCTAAGTCTATTATATTCATCTTATAATTTTTACAAACATTTTGAATTAAAAATGAGGAATCATCACGGTCTGTTACCAAAAGTATATCATTAATAGTTATAATATCTACACATAAATTTCATAGTATAAAGTAAGTTTAGTCTATGTAATAACAGAAATCATTACCTTTGCCAAATTGTCGCATCTTGAGTGTATGGCCTGTACAAATAACCCACTGGCTGCAGAGTTTCTGTGAACTGCACTGGATTTGAAAATGAAAAAAACTTGAGGCACTGCAAACATGGTTAAACATAATACCAACAAACCACAACATACAACAGCTGTGAAAGAACACTGAAGTTAGAATTTGGGCAATAAGATACTGTTGTGGAGATGTGGATAGTGTCCATGAGCATAGTCAGGTCTTTGAGAGTCAGAAATGGAGCAGATTTTGGATAACAAATGGTGGTAAGAGAAAAAAAGAGATATATTTATAGTTTTGACCCTTGAAATTTCTAGACTTGTGAATGCCCTCATTGATTAAAATAATTTTGTCTAGATTTGTTTCAGTTTGGACAATCAGTTTCTTCACACCTTACCAATAAAAAATCAAGTATTACCTGATAAAATCCTGCACTGGTGGCTCATGTGAAAGCTCTATCAAGTCACTCACATGGTTTATTATCACCCATGTCATATGTTCTGCATCATTCAGGTTTTCACACTAAAAATGATGAATATTAGTACAGAATTGAAATTGGTTTTTCATAATCATTAACTGATCACCATTAAAATGCCTTTTAACTAAGTTAAAATAATATTGCACTTGACAAATTAAAATAATCTTTCAACTGAGATAATCTGAAAGCTAATTCAAAAGAACTTAAAATGCTTACCACATAATCACAGAATAACACTAGTCCACCCCTTCTCACTATCTCCATATTGCTGCACCTGGACACAGACAGAAAGTTTTCTGGGATATTGGAATAATGTCTTCTGAAAAATGTTAATAGGATTTTTGACTTCAAATAGTTTAAAAGCTCACTGATGCTCTACAATGATAGAATTTTATTGTTCTCATGATTTTAAATTTCATCTTATCCTGAATTTTGTTGACATATACTCCAAACCTAGGTAAGCTTTGACTTTGAAAATGTAAGGCATTTTAGGACAATACATCTCTCTTCAACTTAGTTGTTCTATAGGGCAGAGGGATAAATTATTTAAGTTTCAATACTGTAAAAGCAACAATAAAACTAGAGGATCAGAGAGGCGATACCGCCTCCGAATATTGTACCACCAGCTGGAGCAAGCGCATTCGTATAGACCCCCACATACACAAAATAAGGGACATAGCCACCAGTTTTGTGCTTGACAAGCTGTAAAAATGCAATCAACAAGAATTTTTAAACTATTGCAAAAAATATATATGGTACAATCAAATTTAAGTTCTTCGTAAGGTAGGTCAAGGGTCAATTTCAAGGTCACAGTAAATTGCCAGTATATGACTTCCTATTCAAGTTCAAGAGTAACTATGGACCTATCTCTGTCAAGTTTGAAGTTAAAAGAGAAAGAAATTAGCAGAGTTCAGTTCATGATAAAAAGTAGGTCAAAGGTCAATTTCAAGGTCACATTTAGATTGCCAGTATATGACTTCCTATTCAAGTTCAATAGTAACTATGGACCTATCTCTGCCAGTTTTGGAGATAAAAGGGAAGCAAAATTTGCAAAGTTCAGTTCATGGTGAAAAGTAGGTCAAAGGTCAATTTTAAGGTCACATTTAGATTGCCAGTATATGACTTCCTATTCAAGTTCAATAGTAACTATGGACCTATCTCTGCCAGTTTTGGAGATAAAAGGGAAGCAAAATTTGCAAAGTTCAGTTCATGGTGAAAAGTAGGTCAAAGGTCAATTTTAAGGTCACATTTAGATTGCCAGTATATGACTTCCTATTCAAGTTCAATAGTAACTATGGACCTATCTCTGCCAGTTTTGGAGATAAAAGGGAAGCAAAATTTGCAAAGTTCAGTTCATGGTGAAAAGTAGGTCAAAGGTCAATTTTAAGGTCACATTTAGATTGCCAGTATATGACTTCCTATTCAAGTTCAATAGTAACTATGGACCTATCTCTGCCAGTTTTGGAGATAAAAGGGAAGCAAAATTTGCAAAGTTCAGTTCATGGTGAAAAGTAGGTCAAAGGTCAATTTTAAGGTCACATTTAGATTGCCAGTATATGACTTCCTATTCAAGTTCAATAGTAACTATGGACCTATCTCTGCCAGTTTTGGAGATAAAAGGGAAGCAAAATTTGCAAAGTTCAGTTCATGGTGAAAAGTAGGTCAAAGGTCAATTTCAAGGTCATAGTAAGATTGCCAGTATATGACTTCCTATTCAACTTCAATAGTAACTATGGACCTATCTCTGCCAGTTTTGGAGATATAAGGGACTAAATGTTATAATTTTGGAGTTACCATAATGTGCCTTAAATTTCGTACAGAAAAAATTAATTAAAATAAAGAAAATGTCATTTTGGTCAAAATTCTTGAAATAGGAGGTGCTCTGAAGTTTCAGAAGTTCAAATTTGATGAAATAATGTCATTTTTGAACACAAGTTGTCTGCTTTGCCAAGCCTTATGTTTTATTTTTCCAGAGTTCAAAATTTATTATCCATTACCGTACTGCACATTTTGCTTTTACCACCAATATGTACTTTTTGATACAGCGTAACTCGAAAACCGTATGGAATACAAAAAAACCGAGACCACCTCCAGTGTTGGGCTTTACATGCTCTACAAAATGCAAAAAAGAATGGGTCTCTAGCATTAACGGTTCCCGAATTAGAGACAGTTTTCAGTTTCGGTATCTTATGGCCGCTACTCCCGTGAAAATGCACCGATTGACCCCAAATTCATGGAGATGAAAGATGACCTGAAGGGTAACACTTTCCAATAATATTATTGGTTAAGTCTGTGTGGTGTCTGAATAACAGGGCAAAAAAAATTTTTTTCGTAAAAAATTTCATTTTTTTGAAAATTTTGGCCCATTTGACCTTGAAGTAAAGGTCAAAGGTCAAATCCAAGGGTATATTTGAAATCTACACATATGACTTTTGGAAAGCCGTCTATAGAAATTTTTCCCATAACTCCTTCCGTAGGGTAGATAATTAGCATTTAATTTTGCCATTTTTAGACAAGGGTGCATTGCAATGAGTGCCACACCCAGACCCCAATACCGACAAAGCCCAAATTTTACGTGGAACGAGTTGAGATTATAGGTGACCTAAATCCATGAGATGGGTACGGGGGCCCTTACCGTCTAGGAGGAGAAGCGGTAACGGTAGCCGTCCGGCGGAGCCGGCGGAGCCAACGGAGCCGGCGGAACGATCCGGACGGGACCGAAACCATGTGTACCGCCAGCGCTAACGCTGGTGGTACAATAAAAAAGTTCATTGATTGAAAAAGAGTTTGCAAAATGGTCAAATATGATTTCAGAAAACAAACAACGCCATCAAGAAAAAAGCTCCATGTGGTTAATACAGACTCATAACACACACTAGAAAACTTACGCTGGACTAGACAGCACATATTTCCTGGGTGTCTGCATGATGTCACTCCACCAGTGCTGTTCCTCATAGTTCAGTAAGATCAACACATTACTCCACTGCAGGGTCAGGGTAGGATGTATACTGGACATCTCCTTGAATGCCTTGTTCAGCTCCTGGACACTGTAGAAGTAATCAGGAACCTGCTGCTTGATCAGGGACATAGCAGATGTCGCAACCTTTCTGAACTGACCTGAAATTATTAGCCACAATATCCAGGTTAAAAATGAAATAAACATTAAACTTTATGAAGGGCATAGTATTTCAATAAGACCTTTCAAGCATGTATTATTTAACAGTTAGAACAACCACAGTAATATGTTCCCCAGTCAAATCGTTTCAAAAATTACTTCTAACCATTTACAATGAATGAAATTTAAAAGAATGTCACAGATGTTAAGTAAACCATTAATATGTACAAACAACTTAACGTGTACCTGACTGGAACATGTGAGTGACATAGAGCAGAAAGTGGGCTAGTTGTTGACACAGATACAAGCTGGTGCTGTTACTGTCCACCAGTGTGGTACAGCTGCAGGCCACCTGCTGACCAACCACACCAACCACCTGCAACAGAAACCTGGAAAGAGAAAACACATAATGCTTTTTACTACATTGTGGTTTTTACAGCATTAAAACTTCAAGTTTCATACCAATGCAACACCTTAGTGATATTGATACATCAGCTATACAGTAGACAATACATCTTTCATTAAGATTTACATCAAACCACTATTCCAGGGACTTCTTAACTAAGAATCAATATCTTTTCAGTCACCTAGCAAATGTTTCTTCTGGGGTCATCCCATCCTGCTGTCTTGCAGCCTTATTTTCCCACTGCCCACAGGTGGCCGTGTCAGTGTAGATGTTGATCCTCAGACTGAGTTCCTGCAGTCTAGACAACACCACATCTTCCTTGGACTGGGAAATAAGAACACGCAGCACAGACAGAACCAGGCACAGCCACTTGGACAGGCTACTGGAACAACTCTGCAACCAGATAGCATGGGAAGACAATGAGAACTAGTCAAATACCACAGCACATTAAATCATTTCAGTAAATACTATCCATGTAACATATATATTAATTATGAGCAGTTTTTCTTTGTGCATTATCCCAGTACTGACCACATCATAGGGAGGTGCAAACAGAGACCGAAGCAGGATGTCCACTGGTCTGAAGACACTGGGAGCAACAGAGTCAAACAGTCTGTGGAGAACATCCAAGGCTGGCTGGCTGTCTAGGTTGATCTGAGACAATTAATCATAAATGTTAACATTCTGGGTTGGCTAAGTGTAAGTTAACACTATGAAGCATGCAACTAAATTTAGATTTTGGACTTGAATACTTTAAAAATGAAATCAAATTTTACATACATCTACCTTTGTTCAAAAGGTGATCATAAAAGAGACAATAGAAATCAATCTGCAAATAAAATAGTATGAGAAAAAATGATCTGATACCTTTTGGTACAAAAAAAAAATTATTATTGAATTTATTTGGTGAACAAAAGAGGGGGTTTCCACTTATTATTTTACCAGAGGGCAATATGGTGGTGAAAGAATCATGTGAAATGTTCCAAACAGACTGTTTAGCTTAATAAATTTACTCATAATTTTTTTAACAAAAACATATTAAATCATCTTTGTCTCATACTTCCAAATGATGTACAAGAACATTCTAGTCTTAATAAAACTATGTTTTTGAGTAAAAGACTAATCTCCATACCTGCTGTTTAGCAAGTAATGGTAGCACCATATCTGTGACTTGTCTGGACAAGCGTTTCCATTTCTCTTCATTCTCTTTATGACACTGATGAAGTACAACTATCAACAGTTCAAGCACCTGAAAACACATCAACAACAAATGGAATCAAAGTACGAAGTAAGGGAAAGAAAATGTTTTCAAAAGCATTTCATCAAACAACAAAACATAGTCTCAATTTTCAGACACTGGTGCCATTGCTGCATTAGTACACAAATGTGACCTTTCCACCCTGGTAAAATCTGTCAGAAGATGGCTACAACTCTGCAACTGAAAACTAAAAGCTTTAACTAAAAACTAATAACTTATGTAAAATTAACATTTTCATTATCACTGACATATTGTGTCTGTAATTGAATTGAATAAAACGTGTGGTTCATTTGAAGGAATCTACTTCTTGTACTCAATTCACCCACTTCCTGTTGGAACCACAGTATGTATTGTAATTGTAATAACCATCACTTATAAAACTAGTTCATTTATAAATACTTTCAATATTTTCACACTGCATTATTAATATACGTAAAATAACAATTCAACAAGAAAAAACATATCAATATAAAAGGTATCTAGTTCCCCATTCAGTTCTTCCCCACCCCTTACCTGATAGTAGTGGATAAGCCTTAACAACATGGACACAACCACCTCTCTCTGTGTGTCAACATCTTTACTAGTGTCTGCTTTGTTTGTTCTTAACACAAATAAGTCATACACTATGGGCTGAAGGGCTGGAATAGCTGGAAGTACAACAATGTGGGTGCTTCATACACATATAATTAACATTTGTCATGTAACTTTATCTGCTGCCTTTCTGTTAGCTACTAAGCTTTAAAAACAAAAACATCTTTTCTGTAATAATGGTCTCCATTTAAAAAACTGACTCTATGGTTTTTAAAGAAACATTTCGGCATACTTGTGTCAATGTGGCAAGGAGTCTCATCATTTCCTTCACATTATAAATATTGCTGATTCTATTTCTTTTTGACATCTGCAATGTCCATGTGGTACATTGTCTTATTCTTACCGTGAGTGACTGGTGGCTGACCACTGGCCATTATCCCATCACATAGCTGGATGATCTTAGGCATGCCAATGATGGTCTTGGAGTGGTAACGCTCATAAGACAGGAGCACCAGGAAGTTGAAGATGTGAGGGATAAGAAGCTCAGAGCCACTAATATCAATATAACAATCTTAATGTGAATATGAGGAATTAAATAAATGTAATAATTGAAAAATTGTGTCTTAGAAGTTATAGCAGAGAAATTTGTGCCAAATGTATTTGCGCTCTCCTATTTAATAAACCAATATTTATTTAAATAAAAACATAGAATGCATATGCAGTGACTTCTTAGAGTGCATTTCAATCCATATGTTCAACTCCTAAATGCAAGAAAATCTGACATAAAAAAAGCTGTTTCTGAACATCTCTTACCTGATCTGCCCTTCTTCAACATATTCAAACTGTTTTATGACAAATCCAATAAAAATCTGCATTGAAAAAAAAAACAGAGCTGAAGCTTCATGCAAATGTATGCTACCGACAAAACACTGAAAGTCATTTACAAGATCTGTAATAAATCAAAATCAATAATACTAATCTTTAAAAAAATGAAAATTCTCTATCCTAATGTTTTATCAAATTAATATTCAACAACCTGTTAACAATTTTGACACACACACGCACGCACGCATGCACACGCACACGCACACACACACACACACACACACACACACACACAAAGAGATTCACCCTAAAAAACAAGATAATTTTTCCACAGAATTTGATAATATTTGAGGGCACCAACCTGGTCAGAGTCCAGCAGGCAGTAGTTGACCCTAAGCTGGACCAGTTGAGCCAGCAGATCAAGCACCTGCTGCTGTAGTCCCAGGGAGGTGGTCACTGTGTACTGCTTCAGAGACTTAATCACCAGGGCCTCAAACAGACGGATGTAGGCTGCTATGGCATTCTGCAAATATTCATGTGTGCTTAGCTCTAAGCTCTAATAATTTTTCAAATATTGGGATATTTTGATGCTGAGAAATATGCACTCCTTTTTCAGTAAAACTTTCTGCATTACAGTAAATATACCAAAATATCAAATTTAAATAAATGTTCATAATGTTATGATATGAATCTAAAATTTGTTACTGTGATGAAGAGACATAAAAATTATTAGTACCCAATATATTAGTTTAACATACCTTGTCTGTCTTGCTTCCAGGTTTTAAAATGGCAGGAATTTTTCTCTCTGATCTCTTCTTCAGCCAACCCAATAAGCTGTAAAAAAAATAAAATAAAATGCAACAGATGAAATTGTACCACAATGACTTCGATTCCACACACATTTTGAATTGGTGGATTTCCATTTCCATCACATAAATATTCCCTTTATTCACCGAATAGCAACACAATTTCCGTTATATGTGAATTTCAATTTATCTATCAATGGCTGAATAAACTCTTATTACATCTTAGCTAGTTAGTATAATTTAACAAAACCAACAGGTAAAATACATCAGACAAGTTTACATTCAAACAAAACAAGAAATAATGCTCGATTTCATAAGAAGATTGGCAGAGGTCCAACCAACCTGGAGCTGTCCTCCTCCTCAGCTTTGGGTGCAGTCTTGAAGGCAGTGGCAGCCAGTGACTGTGTGAAGTGTGTGTATGGTGTGGTGAGACAGCTGTGGTACAGGCCAGGCTGCATGCCACCAGCCAGGCGGGACATCCTACTAGGCTTGTGTCCCAGGCTGTTGGCATACCCACTGTCCCACTGGCTGGACAAGTTAGTACCAAACAGGGACTTCAACAGCTTCAAAGACAAAGGCATGGTGCACTGTTTCAAAATGTATCTGCTAATATGAAAGTTCAACAATTTAGATGTATTTTAATTTTGTAGCAGCCTAAAGCTTAGCAATACTGAATTCTTATTTTCTTGAATGGTCAGAATAAACCGACAAAAATCTACTATCATCTACTAGAAACAATACAAACCTTTCCCATATATGTATAAAACTGAAATTTATAATTCTTGATAAAACAGATACACAATACACAATTTTTCCTTTTACCTGCTGTACACATAAAACTGTGGACTTGGCCTCCAGTCCAAATGTAGTCTTCAGAAATCCCAGCAACTCATCTGTATATTTTCCAACCTCCTGAAGAGTAGCAATCTCCAACAACTGAGATAGCACGTCTAGGGTTGTCTTTAACAGGGAGCAAAATTTATCTGTACTTCCCAGATCTAGTGTGGACTGATAGTTAGAGTGAGCTCCTTTCAGAACTTCGTAGAATTTCACATACTGAGGAAGGTTATAGAATACCCCTATGCCTTCCTTTTTGCTCTTTTCTTTGTCACCATCCTTTTCTTTCTCTGTGGAAAAATATAACTGACAGTAAGAGTCAATATTCCCAGTGGTATACCCAATATAGATTTATACCAAAAAGAGGATTTTCCATAATTTAAATTTTACCTTAATAAAGCAGCATACAATTTTTCTTGTGTTGAACAATACATAAATCAAATATCTTTCCAGCTCATGATTTTTAGTTCTTAAAATATCACGATTTTCAATATTCATTATATGTAGCTGATGACATAAAATATATATATATATGTATAAACAATAATAAGAATAATATATACAAATTAGTAATGACACATGTGGTTCACATTCCTCTCCTAGTATACTTGTCATACCTTTGCCTGGAGTCTTTTGTGAGCTCTTGGTGTCAGAAGCTGCCACTGGGTTCCCTGGGGTAAGCAAGTCATCTTTCAACTTGCTCTTTCTTTTCATGGGACTTAGGGAAGGTGCATTCGGGAGAGAAGGTAAAGTAGGACGTGTCTGTGGGGGCCCTGGAACCTGGCCATCAATGATGTGGGTAAAGATATTCAGTAACCTATAAAAAGATCAAAATTAAAACTTCACATAAACACTTAACACTGGGCAAAAATGTATAAAGAAAAAATGGTCCATATCAAAAACTTTAACCAAATTAATTTCATTTAGTCATCATCAATATAAGGTAAATAAAAACTTCCAACTTTTATTATTAATAACTACATTTTTTTATTTAAAACAAATACAAATATTGTGTCTAAAATTATATCTAAAAAGTTACTTTTAAATTAGCAATTAGAAATTATAAGTGTCCTCATCACCTGGCAACATGAGCTAGTAACTGTTCCACCAGAGGGAGCAGCTGTCTGTCCTGCAGAGCTGACCATCTAGTGTCGTCTGCTGTAGCATTTGTGGGTGACCCTTTCTGCTCATTTTTCAGGCATTTGAAAGAGGCCCCTGAAAATCAACAAATATCAGTATTATATACACTAGCAATTAAAGTATTGGTAATGCAGAATAACAAGCAACATATAAGCAGAAGGCAGTTATAATTATTTCTATGAAATAATCTAATAAGATTAATTTGCATGCCACTTTATATCTACTATGTCAGAAGCATTAAGAGAGCTTTTGTGAAACCAAATATACATTCTTTAAATTCACAAATACGTGATAAATGCAATGACTACTTCTCTTCAATTACATTCATTATTACCTGCAAAGAGGTTTCCTGCCAGCTGCAAGGCATCTTGATGAGCAGCAATGTCCAGTGCTGCCACAGATGAGGTCAGTAATGAGAGTACAATGGACAGTGGTCCACAGCCAGAGCTGGTCAGCTCATCTACTGAAATACTACAGTATAAAGAAATTTACTTGTTGTTACCAAATTACAACATTACCATGTATTTACAATATCTAGTACCTATGTAAGAAGATATCAAAACCTAATTTTTCCCTTAAGAACTTTTATTTTTCCTTTGACATAAATTTCAACAGAAAGTGTTTGACTGTAAACCTCTAAATACACAGACAAATTAAGCTAACAGCAAAGGGTTACAACATCAAAACTAAATCCCTGGGGTCCTTCATCACAAGGATAAAGAAATCAATGTATAACCATTTACCTGGAAGTACTAGATGGTCTACTGCTGGCAGATCTTTTATGAGGTTTCCCACCATAATCTTTAGCATTGTGTGAGGTACTATATGTACACCCCCACCCATCAGCATACTGGGTTACCCTGTAAGCCTCTGACAGTTCACACAGAGCATGGCAGCACCCATACTAAAATGATAATTTTTTTTAATGCAAATAATTTCTTGTCTAAATTTGTCCAAGGTGAAATTTGTGTTACTCTTCTTCTCAGAGCTGGTTACATTTGTTTCACTCATTCTATATAACCAAGTTGAAAAAACATTTAAAGGTACACAGAGTGAAATATTTTGAGCCTGACTAGATAACGTCATAGTGATCAACAGAAAAAAAACTTGCTTCCTTCTACTAATAATAATCAGAAAAATTATTTCATCAACTCACTGTTAAATATTTTGAAGATGACTTTGTCAAGACCCTGGTGAGTAATGCCAAAACTCTAGATAAACTTCCTTCTGTGGCTTCACTGTATCCTCTATAGGGATTGAAATGGTAAGGTTCCACTAGTCCATGCAGTAAAGGCTGGGGATCCTGAGACCACTCATGTAAAACAGGATCCAAGAAAGCATCAGTGAACTCCTTGGATTTGGCAATTACTGGGTCTTGTTGGGGGTGATCCACAGGGAAGAATAAATTGGGAACTAATCTAAAGGAAATATTGTAAGTCATCATTCAAAGGACATTTATTATTTTTTATTTGCTTAACATCACTGTGATCTTGAACCTGGATAATGTTTCAGAAACTTAGAGCAAATGTCCACTCTGAACTTCAAGTGAATAGGACTCGGGGTTTTTTTTTTCTTTTAATATCTAATTTCACTGCATCTTGTTAATGAATTGACATCTTTTACCTTTCACTTGCAATGTATGCCTCATGTTCCTTAACATATGCTGTTGTTATAACTCTAATTACTTAGTACTAGATATTCTTGTTATCTCTCTAACAGTTCTCATTTTAAATTCATTAGATAACAGTTCAAAATGCAACTAACTTGACAAGTGCTGTAGCAGCAGCAGTCCTCACTCTTGTGTCTTCATCTGCCAGCAGATATAATACCACATCTTCCAGGACACGCTGCTGGAGGTTCAGACTCTGAAACATGCAATGCCATTCATATTACATAGAATTCTATGGTCTATACCAAATCTTACTGTCCACTCTTTTTTTTTTTGGGGGGGGGGAGGGGGGACATCTAGCCATTGTAATCAGTAATCACACTCTTTCAGTCCAGCGCAAATGAAGAAATTCACATTTCACTATCTCTTTTCCACAGAAAAAAACAACAAAACCTTTAATTAATCCTAAAAGGTTTCTTTTTATTGAATAAGAGTACATTCCTCACTCAACTTACTCCAATAAAATGATGTCCATCTTTGCCAACCTCCATACATGTATTCTCTAAGAAAGAAACTACTTTGAAGTCAATCTCTGAGAGAAGATCCAACAACTCAACCTGGAGAAGACACAAGAGGATGGTGAGAAATGCACTTAGGTTTGCTAGAATCATACAAACAATGTTCGTAATATGCAATTATTTGACATCAAAACCACTCCTTTTTCTTGAAGTAAAAATCTTTAGCAATTAAACATTCAATCCAAATAAAATAAGTAACATTTCTAAAAACAGTTTTTTTTAGTTTGCAAAATACAAGAATACATAAGAGGAAAAAAAATCTAATACTGTACTAAGGAAATACTAACACAACAATCTGTAATAGTGATCAGTACCACCCATCTTTAACTGGAAAATGTGTGGCACCATCGGATCATTGTGTTATTATGTTCTAAGTCCAGTGTTAGATTCAAAATGTCCTCTCATGAGATATCACTCTACTGGATGAATCAGAACATTCACTCCATCATTTATATTTTACCTTTACCAGCCAATAGGGATTTGACTTTAATTGTAGTACTTTGATCAAAGTCTTGAGGCCCAGCTCACAGTCAATGCTGTTTAGCACACTACTCAGGCACAGCTTGGTAGCCATTATGGCCAGTCTTGCTGCAACTGCAGAGTCATCCTCAAGGATCACAATCAATGTGTTCAACAGGCCTGACAAGGTGACAAAATCTGGGCCTGGAAATTCAAATTACATTTTACCTGACAATCATGATTGCTTTTTTCAAATTGCTTATTAGCTGTTTTTACTAAGATTGAAATCCAATGTCTATTATTTAACAAACACTTAAAATTAAAAAAGATTATATCACTTTTTTTAGTGTAAAAACATCTTTGTTCATCTTGCAGACATCAACTTAGGCTTTATCCAGTCAATCTTTATTCTAAAATACTCCTAAAAAAGATCTGTTAACAACGATATATATATATATATATAATATATATATATATATGTGGCTATTCAATTACAGTTCAAGGCATGGGGGAGGGGGTATGTGTGTGTGTGTGTGTGGGGGGGGGGGGGGAATCAAAGAAAAAAAAAAAAAACGCTCCATGAAAGAAGTTTCATGTTTCAAATTCCAATGTGAATTTTTACTAACCAGTCAAGTTACAGTGGTGATCAATCCAAAACTTACCATATTTTAATACAAAACCATTTTTCAATACAGTATAAAGCTGGCTAAAGTCACTAAGAAGTCCCTTATTGAGTACTTTCCAACAAAATGATCCCCAATGTCCCACAAAGATCTGTTTTACTAACCTTGCTCTTCTGTCTGATACTGTTTCACTACTACATCGAACCTGCCTCCTGCTTGCTTTAACACTGCCTGTATAAAACTTCCTATCAGCACAGCAGTGGTGCCCTTAAGTTGGTGATCATGATGATTGGCATAAAGTAAAATGTCATGTAAATTTTGGCTGCTTTCTAGAAAAGATAAATAAGCAGTCTTTAATTCACAACTATCCAGTGTATTGAATGTGTAAAAGAATATTTTCCTAAAATGCCATCCTTCACATAAAGCATTGCCAAGTTCAGCAACAACTTGTTTAAAAACATCTATTCCATAGAACATGTAAAAGATAACTTATATAGAAATACTTAATTATTCTTACCATCATTTACATGAAGTTTAAGGAAGAGAATCCTAGGGTAGGCTGCCAAAACATTGCTCAAACATGCTAAGGCCTGTGCTTTTATACTAACTCTCACCACCCTGTCTGGGAATATCATCTCAGGGTAACCAGTCAACAAAAATTTACTGCACAGCAATCTAGCACAATAGGTAATGGGAGCTTCATCTAAACTAATGAAGTCACCAATGTTCCCAGTTTTAACAGGACAAGAATTCTGTTGTTGTGTTGTAACTTGCTGAGGCTCATCTTCATCAATGTCAACATTGGCATTCAGCCTATCCTCAGTGGATGATCTCTCCAGGTTAGGCTTATGTGAAGGACTAGGTCTGATTTCTAATAAAGTATCCATACTGCTGCTCTGTGAGCTAGCTGGATCTTCTGCTATGTTGCCAATGTCAAGGTTTGAATATGCTTCATCAACAGTACCATCCACTTCTTCTTCATCCTCATCAAGTTGAACATCCACAATAGCTTCCTCGCCTGTGCCCTGTGCCTCCCCTTCTGCCGTAACATCGCGCGAGGTCAGTTCATCTTCTGCCAGGTCAGCCATGATAGGCTCAGAGCTGTGTCCTGACAAAGCAGTGCTGGATTCAGAACCCTCAGATTCTTCATCTAAATTAGTGTCTTCTTGTGCAGAAGATACTGCCAAATCAACTAAAATTTAAATGGGAAAGTTTTAAAAATCCTGAAAAACTTTTTGTCTAATGTTTGAATTATGCATTTTTCTTCTACTTGTCTACAAGAAAAATAAAAGGTTTTAATTATAAATAACTATAGAACATATGATCTTACTTCTGGAAAACAGTTTTAAATTCTCAGTCACATCACGTCAACACATTAGGTGAGTGTGAAAACTACACGTGAAACAAAAAATGTATGAGTCAATATGAAAAGACAGTGGTCTCAAAAACATATAATTGTATAACTTATTTTGGGGTTTGAGCTCCATGCCCAGTAGAATGATAGTAGGAAAGATTTAAGAAATTGTCAGTAACACCAAAAACAAATTATTTGACTGTGCCAATATATCTTGCCAATAATCAGGTTTTTGCCCCTGACAAAAAGGTGGCATGCAATTATGAGCTCAGAAGTACTAACGTTCAGATGATGGTCTCCCCAACTGCTCATCCTGGTAAATGGTTGATTGTGTTATTGTGCCAGGTGTGACAAGTATGTGTAGTAACTGTGGTGGAGGGAAGCGCAGCATCTGGTGCAATGTCTCCAGTGCAGCAGTGTTCACATTGTGGTCAGGATGGTCAGTGTAGAACAACAGCAGCTCATAGATCTGAAATGGAACACAGAGAATCAATATGTCTAATGACTCATTTAGAAGTAGTGTTGGTCATTCTATGAAAGAAAACTTACAACTTAGAGATCTAGAAACCTCTTTTTTATTGTTCATTTCAGACTTTTCTTTTAAAATAAAAGCTACTAATTGATCCTACAATTTTCTTCATTGCTTATAAACTTCAATTAACTACCATTCACAAAACTTACAAAAACAGACTACAAATACAATGAATTGGCATGCGTACAATCTATACTTTTTACATCCAAACTGCCTCAAACTTTCATGCGTAAATCTCGTTCTTAGTTCAAAGGAAATTGTTGACAAATTTTCCCTCATTGCAAATAAAACCTACAGCTATGTCTCACATATATAAAAAACTTATATATATACCTGCAATATCTGATGTGTACTTATTTGTGCATCATCTTCCCTTTTAGTCTTTCCAAAGCTTCCCTTGAGACTAAGGTCTCTGTCTGCCTGCCTGCCTAAATGTGGCAGGAGATGCCTCAAGCCCAGTAACACACCTAAGATAGCATGTGTGGGAGCATCAGCACACACTGGAACCAGCTGACCTAAAATGACACCCAGACTCAATCAATGTCTTCACTGTGCATTATTTGATGCTTAATGCTTTTATGAAGCATTACATTCTAACAATGAATAGCGTACAAATACAAGGAGTACAACAGTCATAAGTTTCTTATTACAGTCTGGATGTGTGCATTATCGTAAAAAGTTTATTTGAATCTTCAATAATTCCATACCTGTATTTTCCCTAATCCTTTTTTTCTTAATCTACACTAACCTATAAGCATGCCCAACATCCATGCAATGAAATGTGTTGGTTTCCGTCCATGCTGACAGATCAGGGTGACTGCATTGGCAGCGGTGCGTCTTGTGGGGGCTGAACTGGATTTGAGGTTGGGAATGAAGGCTTTTGCTAGGCTCTGTAGGAAATCAGAATGAAAAAATAATGTCACATGAGAACTTTACTTCAGCTAGTGCTATAAAACAAAATGCTCATGCAAAACAACAAATAAATGTGTATCAATATAAATTAATATTATTTGCCACTAGATATTTCTGGAAGAAACTAATATACAGACATTAATGCCATTTTTATTAATTTTACAACTGAGGTGAACAGCAATATATTCTTTATTTACAACAAAATATAATATGAACATTAAGAGAGATTCCACTGATATATAAGACATACTTTTGTTTCAACATCATTACAGAAAACCATCAAAACAGGAGCCATTTTCTGCATGGCTACATTCAAAGTTTCCTGAACTGCTTCCTCGGGCCTCTTACATATCCTACTTATGCACGGCAACAAGTTTACCACATAGGGTCTGTAACAAACAAATAAAAAAAGAAAAAATATATAATTATATGTAATAAGATTTCCTCTGTGATTTAGACGATTTTCTCAACAATTAAGTAAAATTTTAGAATAATTTTTATATCCACAGTTTAGAAGGTACCAAACAAAATTGCTTCAAAGTGTCTCACAGTGTAAGAAAGTCCACTACCTTAACAAATGCTTTCTACTATCATTTGTGTGGTCAAGCACTGAGGAGCTAAACAGTAAGTTTTGAAAAGCTTACCTGCATTTCTGTGGGCGGATGAGAGAACACAACTCAGCAAATCTCCACAGTGCAGCTCTCAAACTACGAGATGATCCATTCTTTTTTATTTCTTTATATAATTCAACTTGCAGCCGACCTAAGTTTGTGTCTATTAAGTTCTGAAATGTCATTACCAAATATATGAATAGCATAAAAGACCTTTGTTTCTGCACAAGAGTCCAATATATCATGTAAGGCTTCCAACTGAAACAATTATAAAACGTTTTGTAGCTGTTATCATAAAAGATCACTTAATAGCTACAAAACTGCAAATTTCATGCTATCATAATTTACAATAACCATCAGGTGATAGGTGTTACAAATGCTACACATACAATACTAAATATTTTAAATATTCAATTTATCTTTGTACATATTTGGTTAATTTCAACAAGAGTCCATAAACTGTAAAAAGAACATTGTCTTTAAAAAAGAAATATGTTAGTTAAACCCCAATCAACCCACCTTTATAGTTCTGTTTAAGCAGTCATCAGCAACCATTCTTACATCAGACTCTGCATCATCACAGAAAAGTAAGAATGATTCTATTGCAATGCCCAAGAACTTGGGGAACTCTGCCAAAGTGCGCAAACTTGTGGAACAAATGGTTTCAGCCACCACATTACAACTGGTTATTTTATCTTTTTTGCTGACAGGCAACTGCTCCTTGAATTTTCTGTGTGACATTTAGAAAAAATGCATTATAGCAACATTGGTTTCGTTCGCAAAAAAAAGTCAAAATTTTCACTTCTTTTTTATTGTTTTGATAAACAATTCCAAAACACATACATATATATCTCTGATACATCAAGTGAATACACACAGCAATAAAAAATGAGAAAACTGATTTTTAAACCAAAGGAAAATGCAACTGTCGATTTCATTACTTAGTTCAGTGATAACTTCAATCAAACATACTTAGTGGCATCTTCTTTGGTCACTTCTGGCTGAAAAACCCTCAAGGTCTCTAAGGCCTTAACAAGTTTTTCTAAACTGGCCATAGTTTACTTATCAAAAAAGTATCTTTGAACCTATAAGAGATAATAGATTCTATTAATGAACTCAAAAGTATATATATCATAATTTCAATGGCACTATAAAATGTCTAATGAAGACTTTCCAGTTTACTAGAAATAACTATTTGTATAAATTACAGACTGTTAGAACAACAAGCTTCTAAATTTATATAGTAAGCATATTTATGCTACAGCTATCATCAAAGAATTAAGTAGCTATAAAGGTGCCAATTGAAAGCATTACTATATAATGAACCTTTGTTTTGTTTAAGAAGTAAAACTCTCACACTTAAAAATATAAATAAAAATAAATTCTATAATTTGGCAATTACAAACAAAGGAAGTTTAAGACCAAAATCCTCCATGACTCTGAGCCAATCATTTGTTATTTCCCACTAATAACGAAAAAAAAAGACATTAGTAATACCACAAGACTCATAAAATACTTGTTTATAGTTTCATATTTTATACATTGTCACTTTTTATACATGTAGTACAGAGTACACCATAATACATGGAAAGATATTTCACTGAGGGATTTCATGGTTGCCCATATCTTGAAACTGCAATGTGGTAGAAGTATCATAATATCACACAATTAAACAGCACCAAAACCATAAAACCATGAGCAAGAGAGTGAGAGTTTAATCAGAATTGTTATCTTTCAGTCATTTCATGTTTTATTGGAAATCTGGGCCTCAAAGTCAAACATCAATACGTGCTGTGGAGCACGTGATAAAAATACAAAACCTCTGTACACAATTCTCACACTTGACAACTATGCCTTGTGTCTTAATTTTAATAGTAAAACTGACATTTATACGATGACACGCGGAGGATTATAAAAGGAAAACTAAAATGTGTTGAGTATCACAGACAACCTATATCATATCATGTACTCATACCAGGTAAAGTCTTGTCCTTAAGTTAACGCTCAACTTTAACACACCTTCAAACGATACAGGTACTTTCAGGTTGTTTTAAAATAACACCAACTGGTCTAGATCTTTGTAAAATATAATGCCATGACTGGGGACTATTTATAAATAAAGCAAATGGTTTTAATTCAATAACTATCGTACTAGGACAAAAAACTTTGATTGCCTGGGGGAGGGTCACGTGCGGCTCATCGTGCAAAGCAAAACGAGAAAAAACACAGTTTTAAATGGGTGCGACTTTGAAACTTTTCTTCCATTAACTTCCACAATAAATATACTTACAACGATAGTGCATTCTATTGCAATACAGCTTTTTTATGTTCTCTTCCTTTCCGATGAACGATCGTCCCCTCCATGTTAGGTCTCGCGAGAAAATACGTAACTTATGCATGCTGAAGTGGAATACGTATTATTGTTTAGTCTCGAGATATTTATTTTTATTTCTATCGACAATTTTTCAGCTACAGCCCTCTTTGATTGAATTATGTTACATTAAAGAAACATGCTTTTGTTGGTTGAAAGATAGACGGCAACAGGGCGTCATGAAATTTGTACAATCCTTATCAAATACATGTCAACCAGCTCCGTGTCTTTGACCGAAATCTCAAAATGACAGCAAAGGAGTTGACAGTGAAATGGAGTGGGCAAGAATATAAAATAACAGACTTAGACGACAGTGATACTGTTGCTGATTTGAAAAATGCTATTAGCAAAGCTACTGGTGTACTACCAGAGAGACAGAAACTATTGGGTCTCAAGTATAAGGGTAAATTCATTTTGTCAATATACACATACATGTACATCAACACAGTCACTAGCAACAAAATTCATGCGTTAGCACTCCTATTGACGATTCAGAATCGTCAATAGGAGTGCTAACGCATGAATTTTCGTGCTACACAGTCACAAGTAACTTTGTAATTTTTATCACTTGTGTACTGTAAACTACCATCTTCACAATACATGTCCATCATTTATATAAATTTGAAAAATCAGTGCAGTTTCTCTCTCTCTCCCTCTCTCTCTCTCTCTCTCTCTCTCTCTCTCTCTGAAATGAAGTTATGGGTCATGTACTTCAAAAGAATTAATTCAAAAGAGTCAATTTGTGCATTGTCACATATTTACTAGAATTTTGGTGTTCAGGTTCAGATGTGTGGGATTTACTTTACTTATTCATTAATTTTGATAAATAGCATGCTTTTAATTATTATCTAGATACACGTATTGACCAGTATAATTTCTATTTTATTTCAGCTATTTTGCCATAGTTGTTGTTTGTACAAATTATTTTGCAATTGCAGGTAGTGTGCCAGGCGATGATGTACAATTGTCCTCCCTGAAGTTAAAACCAAACACAAAAATTATGATGATGGGCACAAGGGAAGAATCTCTGGTAATGTACATTTGTATTCAATGCAAACTGTAAACAAGATATTGTAATAGTGGCACATAATAGTGACAAGATAAAGAAAACTAAGTCCTTTATCTACAGCATTTAAATTTATCTACTGTGTTGCAGGTTTGAGATGACAATTAAATAAAGTACTCTGTGTGATTCCATCCTCTTTTTTATTTATTTAATAAGAGGCCTGTGTGTACCACCTCAGAAAATAAATAACATTACTATATAAATAAGAATGTTTGTGCAGTTATAAGTCTATAAGTTTTCACAATCAAGAGAACAGAGTGAAAAAATTACATAAGCATCATGTACCAGTAAATGTAATGTTATATCAGTGCTGCAGTTTGAAGATTGTGGGGATCAGTGTGGATCTGCCCTTGGTAATGCAGCAGATGCGGTACCTGAATATCTAACACAATGCAAGGCATATAGGACTAATAATGAATGAGACACTAAGTTAACCATTGTTTCAGTGTCTTGTTTACCACATTTTTACATAGTATTTCAAGAATATGAGAGATGCTCATAAAGCCAGGACCCAGTGTCTCTCTGTAATAAAGGCCTTATAAGATCTTATTTTGGCGATTGACATGCAAAGTGGATTTCACATTTTATTTTATTTATATTTATTTGAAATGGGCATTAGTGTAGACAATCCAGATTGATTTATCCCTCCCCCTTCTCTCTCTCTCCTTTGAATGATTAGAATTGATTTAATTAAACCTTGGGCCCATTTAGCAAACCTATACAATGGGTCTAAGGTGAAATATTTCAGGACATGTATTCAGGTATATTATATATTAATATAAATTCAGGACATAAACATGGATGATGCATATTCTTAATTTATCTATAAACACTTACAACACTATGCTAATAGTTATCAGTGTTAAACCGCATTGTAACCATCTTTCCAGACAGGTAGTTCTTCAAGGCTTAATTGTTTCAGAAGGTCAGCTTTTGCTGCCCTGGTCCTTTGCTGTCCATAGTTTCTGCATACATATATCAGTATTTTGACTACAGGTCATTCTGCCATGGTTTCTTTGGTTATATTTACATAAGTTTGATAGTACCACAATAGTGCATATACATTTGAAAGTCCTTGTGTATATTCTCAGGGGCTTTTGAGAATAGGGGCTATCTATAGGCCTTTGTCTTTGTCACATGTACTAACTACTAGTACTAAGTAAAGGTATTCTTAAACTTAAAATCAGAAGTTTAGATATTCAGGATTTTACCCATTTAGATTGAATGGATTTCGATGGAATTCACTTGGAGGCAACCATGGTCTTAATCAATGGAAGATAGAATCATCATGCATATACAAATGGATTTTGCAGTGTTGGTTATACATGTACTAATAGAACAAAATGTAAACATTTCTTCTGTGTCATCTCTTCAGTTGCTTTTTACTTCACAGATGATATACTGAGGATGGAATTCATTGCAAATTTGTATTGAGTATTTTGTTTTCTAAGGATTTCAGTATGTTTTAAACATTCCAGGTGGATGTTTTGGAACCTCCTGAAGACATACCAAATGTGGTCAATGACTTTGATGTAGGAGAAGAAGAGGAAATTGAAGTCAAAGACAGGTAGATATAATCTTGATATTTGCAGTCCAAAGAAGTTGTAGATACCTTAATAAAATTGTTGTAGAAAGACAATACTCTTTCAGTATTTCTTTGGATCACATGCTTTTACTTTCATTATATATGGGATAGACTTCATCATGTACCAGTAAAATTTTTTAAAAATGTGCCATGGACATGCTGAATTTTGCATTAATATTTGTATTTATCTTGAAAGAGTATTTGAACACAGTAATTTCTTTTCTTTTTCACTTGTGTACAGTATTGCCACATAGATTTATTAAGACAATTTGATACAGTGCATATACATTTGATAGGGAAGAATACCTGAACAAGGTTGAGAAGCGTATTAAATCTTACAAAGTTGAGGTCATAAATGAACCAAGAGAAGGGAAAAAGTTGCTGGTGCTGGATGTGGACTACACACTTTTTGGTATGGCATTTAATATCAAAATTTTGTTTAGTATGGTTTTAAGCAACATCTCAAGTATAATAAACTCTCTTCATAAATCAAGGTAAATCCATAAAAGATTAGTAAATGGAAAGAGAGAATGAAAAAGTGTTAAATCACAGTAGATTGAGAAAGGGGCTTTCAAACAGTATTTTCAGTGGGATTTCTCAGCAGTATTTATAATTGATATTGATAAGCTGAAGCTACAGTTTGTGAGAACATTTTTTGTGTGTGTGAAAATTGTTCCACTTATTTATGTTTGAGTGTTGAATTTTATAAGTCTTAGAGTAAAGTTTTATCTGCAGAGCATTCTTGGCATCATATAGTTACATAGGCCCTGAGACTGCATAAGAGTTTATTTCCAAAATGTGTTTAATGACTGTGCAGTTGGTCCTAAATGTGTTATATTTTAACTGTTGGTGCATACTGCAGAGTTTCATGCACCTCAGTTGGATATCAATAAGAATATGTAGATTCTAGTGTAATTATGCCAATCTTTTAAAAAATTTTGCAGTTGTTTTCACATTTTTAATGATTTTTTCAGTAATAACATTGTTTATTTTTCAGACCATAGATCTGTTGGGGAAACGGGCCGAGATCTCATGAGACCATTCCTTCATGAATTTTTAGCCTCTGCATATGAGGATTATGATATTGTAATATGGTGTAGGTTTATTTTATTTCACTGAGAAGAATGATTAACTATTCTTATTTCTGTACTTATGGCGGTTCAGTGCATTAGGATATAATCCTTTTTTTTTTGCAGAGATAATGCAAAAATAAACATTGTCATGTTATGAGATAATGGTGTCAAATCAAAACTACATTAGGGTGAATTTATTAATTCGAGCTGACAGCATAAGAGCAGTTTTTTGTGGTGAAAATTGTGTTTTTATTTTTATTTCAAACAGATCTCCCTCACCTGAGCAGCTTTTGACACGATTTTAACACTTAATAACAATAATAAATCCTACAATTTGGTGCCAAGGATTTTTTTTTTTTTTTTTTTTTTTTTTTTTGAAAGGATTTTGTCTGATTTATCAGTAAAGAAGCAAAATATTTCCTTTGTTTGATGGAACATCATAATCAGGGGCTCATATCTCATAAGCAAAAAATTCAAAAGAAAACTATCATCATTGATTGTGCTTCACACCCTTGTTGTCACCAATGCAAATTTTCATGATAATTTCACTCTTTGTTACGATGCAAACTGATCAGTATCTTTCAATTTACAAAGTTAAATCGACACTAAACGGAAGTGGAAGAAGCAGAAGTTTGTGAGGTGGTGAATAAAAAAACAAAAAAACGGGATTTTTTTCTCTAAAAGTGTTTAGTTTTATGTAGAGAAGTAATTTACATGAAAGAAATTATTTAGGCTATTTTATTTTAATGTATTGAACCACTTAATTCCATTCATCAGTGTCAGTGTTGAATGTGTTAAATCGTTTTTCTTTTAAACACATAATAAAAATACGCAATTATATTTTAAAGTTTGTATGGAGACTGATAATTATTTCCTTGTCCTGTTGGTTTGATGTGAATTACTCCATCTTTCCCAGAGTCAGTGTTTTGCTGGAAATATTTTTTGTATATCTTAAGTTTTTTTGAAAGCATAGGGAAGTGGAAAAATGTTCTTTTATTTCCTTTCAGCTGCCACAAGTATGAAATGGATTGAGGCTAAAATGCAGGAGCTTGGGTGCAAATCCAATCCTAATTATAAGATTTGTTTTATGTTAGACAGTACTGCCATGATTACAGTTCATACACCAAAATATGGGGTAATAGATGTAAGTCAGATATACAAATTAGTACTAAAACTATTTTATTGTTAGCCATCCAAAATTTAATTATTTAATTATGTTGAATATTTTCCTCTAAATTTACCAGACGTTATTAAGATGAATATTATTAAAAGAAGTGCAATTACATGAATCCAGAAATTATTAAATTTTAGGGCACATTCCCATAGATTTTAGATCAATAAACCCCGTGGGGAATCTCACTAGATTACTGTCAGATAATCCGGCCCATCCCGCCTACTACAAGCTGTAAGGGGGTAATTAACTTTCGTGCCCGCTCGGCTGACAGCTATATAGCGTGAACCCCCAGGGAGTTAGGTCGATCTAGTTGGAGTGATCTAATCTCTGGGAATGGGGTCTTAGTGTGTGTGTGTGTGTATGTGTGTGTGTGTGTGTGTGAGAGAGTGATTAATTGACACCAACAAAGAGAACTTAAATTGATTTTTTTTTAATTTGTTAGTTTCTTGGCAGTATGAAAGATATTTTTATGTGAAGTTAGTCTCCATTTGAGTCCCTGTGACAATTCTTGTGAATTACCTTAATGAGAGAATTAAAAAAAGCTGTATCACTACTACATCAATTACAGGTGAAACCACTAGGTGTGATATGGGGAAAGTATCCTCAGTGGAGTGTGAAAAATACAATCATGATGGATGATATACGCAGAAACTTTATAATGAATCCTCAGTCTGGCCTAAAGGTAAGTTAGCTAACAGTACAAACCTAGATGCTAGCTAGTCTCAGAGCAAGTCACACATGCAATAATTACCATTGCATTCACAAGCCTAAGATTTTGGAGCACAAGTTCACAAATTAATGACTCGAGCCACAAATTACGTATAATGTAAAATTAGTAACCATGCGCATAGTGTTAAATCACACAAAATTTGTCCATTTTCTTTCCCTGTCTCTGGCTGTTTACAAATGGGTTCCTTCTTTTTTAATATGGCAGCAATGGGCTCTTGACAATTTCCAGCTTTGAAGGAATGTACAAAATGGGTAGACAGACAGATTATTAGTTTGTGGGTCCTATCGCCGTGCTTGTGGCTACTAATTTTACCTGGTTGGAGTCATCAATTTGGGCATTTGTGCTCACAAATCTGAAGCTCGAGTTTGCAAACGCATTAACCATTTAAAGCCTGAGTCAGTGTAGTTCTCTTATACGATGTGTAATGTGACTGTGGAGCTAAACAATGAAAAGTATAATGCGCAGACGTGTTATTAAATTTTTCCTATTTTTTCTTTGTAGATAAGGCCTTTCAAACAAGCATTTGTCAACAGGGAAACAGACAAAGAATTACTGAGGTTGTCAAAGTATCTAAAAGATATTGCACAGTTAGACAGTTTTGAAGTTTTAAATCACAGACACTGGGAAAAGTAAGATTTTTCACATAATCATATAATATTACTTTGACCTCGTTATTACCAATTTTGGCACATCTTTTAACATGTATACATGATTAACACAGCTGCCTTGTTAGTACTGTAGCATAGGACCCTTGTATTTTTTTTTTCTAATGTAAAGTTTTAGTGTGGTATTTTAAAGTGTAATGCATAAATCAATTAATAATGCCCTCAATTAAAAACATTTTCACATAAAAATAATTCTCATTTTCACTTCATATTTTCACTGAACTTCTAGGTACAAGCCACCAAAATACAGCAGCTGAAGCACACCAGCCATCTTCCCTGTGTCATGCCTTTGAAAATTGGATGTTCCACAAACCACTGGATAATCCAGACCTCAAGATCTCAACTGTCATGATCATGCAGAGTTATTTTTTAAGAAATTAACCCACCAATTCTAGATAAACAAATTCTATACATTTAGAAAGCTGTATGATTGGCTACCCAGATAAGGCAGTGAAATTTATACTCCTGTCAGTTAGGTTTTAACACACAACATGTTAGAAAATACAATAAGTTGCCAAGCCCAAAAGGAGCTTCTTTTTGCTATTTCACAAGGAGCACATCTTACAGTGTCTGATTGTTATTCCTGTGAACTAAAAGAAAATAACATGTTTAGAACAATGCATTTTTTTTTTTGGCATATGTGCATTTGAAATCAAAGTTTAAAATACCTCTTTTAAGTTACAAAATATTGCAGGTTTAAATGCATGTAACACTAATGGGCTTGACTTGGTCTTAAAGTGCTATTTAAGATCACAAATAGTTTTACATGATCTGAAACCATGAGTAAGACCATTTTTGGACTTACAACCAATCAAGTTGCCTCCCCTTACACATTCTCCTATTGTGAGCAGGTGTCCTCTAATATTGTGAGGGGAGGTATCCCCCATTGTGAGGAGAGGAAACTGCTTGGCCACTTAAGTAGATTTTAGATCATTTTTAATTTAAAAGCAGATTCAGTCCATTTTAAGACTACTGCTGTAATGATTAAGATCGTGTAAGTTCATTTGTGATCTTAAATTGCAATTTAAGACCAATTGAAAAAAAAATTCCACATAGCTTCTTCTCATGGATGCTAAAAAATTAGTCAAAATTTAAAAAAATGTTTGCTTTGTAGGGAACTTAATTGTAATCTAAATGGTTTATTTATTTATTTATTTATTTATTTGTTATTTTTGGTTCCTGCTGGTAGCTAGTATATCCAATGCAAATGAGATATTGAAATAAAATGTTTGTTGATTGCTCATGAAATAATAATAGCATTAAGTTACATCTAATCACTGTATTAAAATATTAAAATCTCAGACACAAAAAGGGAAAAACTTTTGAGAAAATACAACAAGGCTCATTTTCCATCTGATTCTTGTTTATTACTTTAAATGATTCCAAATGATTTGCAAAACAATATTTTGTTTTTCTTCAGATGTTGAGATGCCAAGTCTGCAAAACAAATAAATCTGCAAAAACATGCAACGAAAAATGGCATAATGATCGATTCAAATAAACCAATCCCATTTTTGAAATTGAACCGTTTTTCTCCATCAGATGATATTAGCAAGTTCAAGCCAGTCAGAGCTCCCATTTTCAAGTGTTTTCAATAAACAATAAACAATAAACATTTCAATAAACAGTTGGTGAACAGTTTTTGATATTTATTTTGCTTTTGAGATCTTCAATCATTCATTTACAGGTCAACTGCTAGGCTATTACCAGATGAAAGGAATGCTTGTCCCAAGTTTTAACTACCACATTATTGCACAAAATTTTTTTTTTTTTTTAATGAAATTTTCATTTTTTCACTTTGGCATGTTTAATGTGTTATCACTAACACACACTTACATTATCTTGATGTCCATGTTGCCTATGGAACTTTATTAAAATTTGGTGGTGATTATGCCATTACGTAAACATCATAATTTTGCATCAAATTTGACCAAAACTATATTGTGTGCAAGCATCATTATTGTTTGTGTCTATACATTTGGCAGCTTTTTTGCCTTGTTTATAACTTCAACTATCTAGATCTCCTATTTGACAAGAATGTCTTACTTGTGTTAATTTCCCTCTTGTAGAAATACTCTTCAATTCAAATTGTTACTGTTTTAACAGATAAATATATATCAGGATTACGTCTTCCCAGTTTCCCTTCAGATGTTTTTTTCCTTAGTTAATAATAAGAAATTATATTTTCAAATTTAACTTTTCCTTCCTTCAAAGCAAGGAAGCTAAAGTAGGTGGTGCAATCACTAAATAATTAGGTGTGATTATATCAAAACAGATAATGCTGAACTTTATTAAAAAGGTTACCCCAAAACATACTATGTGTGTCATTTACACATGCATGAAATCATGTTTTCAAATTTGAAAAGTATTTAAGCTAACTTTAAAAATAATTTACCATACAGATCAAAATATTTTAAGAGAAAAATACATTGAGCTTTACATAACAGTCAGGGTTCATACAGCCCTGCACCTTGAATCCAGTTTGTGGCATTGAAAAGTACTTGAAAGTGCTTATTATCCTTGAAAAGGACTTTACTCCATTTTTAACCATGAAAAAGTACTCATATTTGTTCAAGAAATTTGTTAAAGAAATTTTCAAACTTTTTGGGGATCTTCTTGTTCTTAACATGCATGTAGAAAATAATTTGCAGGTCAGAATACCCCTTTTGGGCATCATTTGATTTTATTATTTTCATGTTTCATCATTAATGTGTTAAAATACAGTATCTATGAAATCTTACTTGCCTTTTTTCTTTGGTATGTAGACTAACATATGACAGTACTTTACCCTCATTTGCATTCAATGGTCCTTGAAAAGTACTTCAATAAATGCATCAAATTTATTTCCTTGAAGTCCTTCCATTTGTTCTCAGTTGTTCCTGTATGAACCCTGACAGTTTTAATGCCAATATTAACTTCCAATAAAAATCACATGTCAAAAGATACATGCTTCCTTAAGTGGCACCGACAATTCAAAAATTTCATCTAGCGGGACTGAATTTTTTTTTTTTTTTTTTAACAAACACTTCGTTGAGAGTTGATAAACATGCAATATCGTGGGCAATTGTGACACCCATCATGGGTCCAACTTGAAAGAAGGAAGTATTTGTCAGGGTCACTACTCCCACCTGCTTTCATCTTCAACAGCAGAATCAAAAAGATAACAGCTAGGGGACAATATTTACCCCACTCCCCTTCCACTATTTGACAATCTGGTCTCTTGCCTAGTGAAACTAGAATTACTTTTGTCTCATTCAATCAACTTTCTATTCTGTAATGTGACCACATCAAGCTCTGATTGATAATAGTGAAAATGTTGGAAGTCGTTGTAAACGTTTTAAAATCTGCAACTAAGATTTCATTAGAAAATCCTGTTAAGCTCAATTAATTGTAACTACATCTTCAGTTAGGAAGCAGGTCCCTAGGTAGTGAGAGTTTGTATTTTGATATCAGAACAGCAAATACTACTCACCTGTGTTAACTTGTACAGAAAGTGCTACTTTCACCTAATGCTAATGAACAAAATGTTACAAGCATTCTTCTGTTGTCATACCAACCTAGTCAATTACAAACCAGGACCTTTCATCAGTACAGAAATCTTGTCCAAGCTATTACAAACTATGACCTCAAACACCTCTTACCAACTTCAGGGGAAAACATTTCAAATAAATTCTTTAAAGTTCTGTAGAAAATTGCATCTCCCAGCATGTTGTAGTATTTTAAACAAATGTTTCAATGCAGTATCTGCTACTGATCTGAAATTAGTCCTTGCCAAAAAAACTTTATATAATAATAATAATAATAATAATAATAATAATATTGATGCTCCATTTTTAACATAGAAGTGAATAAAAACACTGCTTGTCACATATCTCAAACATTTTAAATACACTGCACTTGGACAACATTTATGACATTTTTATTCAGCATAAGCTATATTGCACTTAGAAGGTACCACTGTATGTCAGAATGAGTTGCTATTTGAAATAACAACAATAAATGTTTTTTACTGATATAATTACAAATACATGATAAAAGGAAGCATCTGATGGTTAAATGGCATTATAACAGGGAAGCAATTTTTAAAGCTGTGTTGGCTGAACTTAATTGCCATCTTTAAATACACTAAGAAAATACCAAAAAAAAAACAATGCTGAATATGTCCTCAGTACTGTCCTGTGGCCTAAATTCTCATTTTTTAAATACAAATTCTTGATAAAGAACCAGGCCTTTTCACTTTTAAGTTCTATGCTACAATAATACAGTTCTTTGCTACAGTAATTAAGGGAGTTACAGGTTTATGTAATTAAAAAATAAAAGCATGATACATAACAATAACATTTATGTGAACATGAAATCCTCCATAATTTCACACTGATGTCTGAAAGTGTAAGCTTACAAACAATGTCTCATATATACATATATGTAAAATATAGGAACACAGAACATGCGGAATAGTTGTTTTTGGATTTCTATTAAAAAGGGTCATTGATAAGAGATTGGTATCTAAAACATTCCCAGAAAAATTAAGCATACATTTCTTCTCAAATAAACATCTCTTAGAACTCTGTTTGTTTTTAATAGTTCCTGGATACAATTCCTGCACATGTTAAATGCTGAAAAGGAGTGCTTATATTTTCTTGGTTTGCTTACCATTAATTGCTATAACTGTTAACAATAATTACCGTTAACACTAACACATAGCAAATGGGTAAATTACTTTCATGTAGAAAAGTAATTATATATAAAGCACTTAATGACTAACGTAAGTACATTTATTTGAGATCTTCACACATAAAAGGGCTACATAAGCAAATCTATCTTGTAATCAGAGGAGTAAAGGGCTCTGTTTACCCTTTAGCCTCTCTTTGGTTGTGGTATCACTTTGGGACTAACTTAAATTGGCAAGAGGCTAAACTCCACTTTACACCAGGAACAACATTATGTCTAAAAATGCTAAATGCTATGTAAAGCAACATGGTTATCTGAAAACATTTAATGAAAAATCTCAGTCTATTCCCAACTCACGACCAGAATCTAAAGAACATCCCCAGCCACAGGGTGCAAAAGGCACATATGTTCTGCCCCCTTAATAGTCAGTTTATTCAAGGTATAGTGGTTGACCATTCCTGGGATGGTCTCATAGGGCTGACTGAACTGACCAAGGACATAACCTCCATCTTTGCGTGTGATCTTCATATGCATGTATCCACATTTACCTCTGAAAAAAAATTTTTGAGAATGGTAAAATATTTTTATAAAAAAAAGTGGTTATTGAAGAACATATCTATTTTATAAAAAGTTACAAAACTCAAAAATACAAATGATTTCACACAGATAATGATGCCATCATACAGGAAAATTTATGGTTTGTGTTGTGCATAATCTTAGGGCTCATTCCCAATGAAACTACTGTTCCATGTAGAGTAATAGATTAACACTCCCACCCCTGGCATTGAGTAGAATACAGAAAAGCTGGTGATTTTAACAGTATGTTGAGAACAATAGGAGGTATGATAATCTGATTCATTCAGCAAGTCCCTGCAGAGTTGGATTGGTCTACTTAAAACATTAGTTTTATTGAGAATGGGCCCTTACACCTTATTATGGCAAAAATCATTTTGGTAAAAATTTTAATAATTTTCCCTTTATCAACAAAGTATTGATTTCCCTATTAAAATTTTTTGATAAAAAATCCAATCTAAAAACCAGTTTCAATGTTCTAATTTTTACCTTAAGGAGTTTAACTAACCAGATCCCATGTACATAGTGAGACTAAATTTTTAAAACTTAAAATTAAAATTTTAAAAACTTTAAAATTTTAAAACTTAAAATTTCCAGTAAAATCTAGTAATTTCCCGGAAATTCAAAATTTTTTATTGTATTAACCTCAACACTTGTTGCATGCCTTTAACAACAGCTATCAAAGCAAAAGTTAAAATCACAATTGATAATAATATAAAGGCAACATTGACAGCAGAAAACAAATAAAATCACCTAGTGATCAAAAGATATTAACAAACCTTAGTGATAAAGAGTAATCTTCTTTATTACTCTCACTCATTCGTACCAAAAAACTTCCCTCTTTGTGTACACGGAGCAAGTTCTCTGCTTCTGTGCGACTAATAGAGCCATGATACCATCTAGTTTGGAAAATAAAACAAGGAAATCAATGACACATTATAATATTTTTAAACAATCTAATTGCACTATTCCTTTTTCTACTTATAAAAAAAAAGGCACTCTGAATCAACAGTACAAAAAATACCTTAAAAAATTTATTATAATTATTTATCTAATTTGCAAAGCCGGCAAATATACAAATACTTAACAGCAAAAAATCATAGCAATGATATTTACATTAAAAAATAATAAAAAATTGGAACTTATATAAAAATGATTGTGCTGATTTTGGAAATAAACCTTTTTTGCAAAACAAAGTTACTCAGCAAATTTGAAGTAAAATGCAAATATTGCAAAAATGCATCCAAAAAACAAAAAAAAAATAGTGGAAAAATAAGACCTTTGCCAATTTCTGAAAGGAACCTTTTTCACCAAACAAAGCCAGTGTGTGCATGTAAAAATGTAGAACAATGGAATGTCCATGTTAACAGGCGAAAGAGACTGAACACTAAAGGATTAGATACCGAGTCAAGAATACATCCGTAGACAGACAACAGAATTCTACTAGTATGTTCCTTAATCTCACTTCATGCAGGGGCACAGAGATGGGGGGATTACTATGACACATTGGCTACTGACAGTTTACATTTATATATTTCAACAAGGACAAATGAAATTAGTTATGTGCACTATAATCAATTATCTAAGGTACCTTACAACACATACAAATGTTGTAATTCTTAGCACACATACAACACCAGTCCCATTATTTTAGAGCCATACCTTGTATATTCTTTACTCACAACTACTAGTAGGTCTTAGATTAACATACTGTCATTTTAAATATTTTGCCCGACTCCTTGCGGTATCAAAGGAAGGGTTTTCTATTTCAACCCACATGTTATTTAAATATAAATATTTTTCATGAAAAATACACTTGATCTTTAAGTTGAAATGTACTCTCAAATGGAGAGAAAAAAAAACAAGATTCACAAAAACGTGGGCCCCACTTATGTGATAAAGACATCAAGCCCATGTGCAGCCAGACAGAAAACTTCAGTATGGCCAGTAACTGTCACAGCAACTGAACAGGTAACATTTAACTTTGTAATTAAAATGGTTTCTGATTATATTTTGAATATTTCCCCTTGGATCAAAAACATCAATTTCAAAATACATATTGATTAAATGTATATAAAGGTCTATAGACATTAAGATGTACCCATGGAATCTTGTGACACAGTTGTAGTAAGGCCATAAGCCCCCCACCCCCACCCCCCTCACTCACACACACACACATTTACAAAACTGTTTACATGCAATACCTTTATTTTACTTACTTTTGACAGACATCCACAGATATCTTTTTTACAGGATGTCTTTAATTTTAGTATTCCAAGTAAGTGAACATAATTTCATTTACTTCAATACAAAAAAAACAATATATCCTTACCCTTGGTGTACCAAAGGTATGTCTGGATCTATTCTTTCTCCTAATGTTTCAGTACTGTTAGACTTCTGCACATTTGGGTGGACAACAGCAACTTTCCCACTACCTGCAAACAAATCATCAAACTATGAAATATTTCTCAACACTATTTTGGGTTTCTCTAACTCTCTAATCAATCCCACAGAAAATTAGTAAGATGTTTAACAAAAAAGGTCTCCCTGAACCAAGTGTTTTATAATCACACTGTCACACTGGGTCAACTTGAGAAGTATCCCTCAGACGTAAAACTGTGCTCAGTTGTCTTTTTTTTTTTTTTTTTTTTGTTCTCACATAGATCTATAGTTTATAAAATAGAACTATACATGGTGTTTAACAACCTTGTCAGAACTTTGGTTTTAGGAACTCTTTTATGCACTAACATGCAGTATGGTGAATAATTATATATGGTATGAAGTCACTTATATATGAGTAACTGATTATGTTTCAGGGGCAATACTGACTTTCTATTATGTATGTGCAAGAGGAAAGATAGTTGGCAGTGCACAAGTAATTCAAATGCCTTCTTTTCAAAATTATCTGCCAAGATCATTCTCTCTTGCTCTGCTCAGATTCATAACGTATTAATGAAAATATTGATGCTGTACATAGCATTTTTAGTATAATTGATTTTAATTTTTTTAAATCAAATTCAATCTCAAGTAACAACAAATTATAAATGAAAAAAATTAGAGGAAGAAATGTTGGAAATATATATTGTTTGCTATGTGATTCCCTCGCAACACCAAGTGTTACATGGCATCAGTAGATGTATACATTTGTCACAATTTTAGATAATAAATGGACAGTGGACACATAAATTGTAAATCTTAATGGCTTTTCCCTTATGCTGCTGAAAATCTGAAATTATTTTAGTATTTTCCATTATGAACTTTTCTCACTATGAAAAACTGTTATTATCATTTTTTTTTAATACAAAAACAACCGCCATTATGAGCTCGGTAACCAAACATGTTGCTGTTTTGCTTATCTATTAATTATTGTACTTTTTACACCAAGAATGCAAAACTCATTTAAAATAAAGTCTAAAACATTATAAACTAATACAAAAGATGACCTACCTGCCAACAGCTGTGAAACTGCTGTCCCTTGCTGCTTGGCTTTAATGTCCCAGGGGTCTTCATAATCTTCAGTGGGTCTGGTATCAGCATCTGTCAAATGGTTTTGTTCCAAAGGTTCCACCATATCATCTTTCCTTGGCATTGGACTAGACTCTCTAGAGGCTTTGGGTTTTGGAGGTCGTGCTGAAGTTGGAAGTTAACTTGTTTAGTCAGAAGCTTAAGGTATCAAAAAGTATAAAGATTGTGTAAGAGATTCCATGCAAAAAAAAAAGAAATCATGCTAACTGTTTCTCTAAGTCTATGTTCGGAGAGATAGCTTTAAACTTGCAAGCTTCACACACATGCAAACACAATAAAACCCACAAATTCAAAAATCAAATCTTTCACCTGGTTGTGGTGGTGTTCTCCTTCCAGACAATTGTAGTGAGCCAGATGGCTGATTTCCTCCACATTCAGCACTTTTACCCTCATGCACAACATCAACATCTCCCACTGCCTGTCTGTAGGAATCTCGATTTTTTATACTTTGTATGCGTTGTATAGGTAAGTGCTCTCTTGCTGAATTTTCTTGAAATTCCTGGTTCACCTCTTGAGAGTAGTTGTAATCTTCATTTCCTGTGTCTTGGTCAAAGACCTCTGGATCACATGGCACATCCCCTGTGGCCATTTTGTATGACTTGCGATTTTTAACTGAACCCTGTGAATGCTTTTTTCGAGACATTTCATTTGGTTTGCTACTTGCAATATCAGGCTCTTGTTGTGAGAATGTAACTTTACCCTCTTTGTTAGTTTGTTTTTCAAACAAGTCATAAACATGACTTTTTTCTGACACAGCTGCATCTTTCTTGTCCTCCTTAATCTTAAGTTTGCTTTGGAATTCTTTCTGCCTGCTTTCTAAGTCCCAAGGATCTTCATAATTTGGAAGAGATTGCTGAAATTTTAATTGTTTATGATGATTATGAGCATGGGGGATATCATGCTCAGCAGAGGCGGCCCTTGGGAGAGGGTTAGATCTGCCATGCTTGTTTTGTAGCTTGTTCTCAAATATATTTTGCTGGGTTGTGAGATCCCAAGGTTCCTCATAATTCTCAGAAGCACCAGTTGTGACACCTTGACCCCTATGATCAGTGACAGTGATGGGGGCAGGGGAAGGTGGTATGTCAGCACCACTGTCGTATGACATCCCCCTTTGTAACGGCACTTTTCCTGTGTCAGATGCTGAAATCTGACGTGATATTCTGTTCGACTTTTTTGTATAGTCTATATGCTGTAAACTCCCATCTACTGGATCAGGATTAGCTGGCATATTCTCAAACACTAAGCTTTTCTTTTTGTTATATTCCCAAGGTTGTTCATAGTCTGCTGCAGGTCTTGGATCAGCCTCAGCTGTCATTACAAATGGCTGTTCTTTGCTCCCTGACACTCGACTTGATAAAACCGGATGTGGATGCGGAGCTTCCACAGGGGGATGTCCCATTGAAACCAACTTGCACCAAATTTGTTTTAGTCTTGGAAAACTCCCACGGGTCATCATAGTCATTACTGGGTCGGCCATCATCTAGTGGTGGTTTGGTAGCCTTCCTAGCATGACTTAATGTGGTCTTGTCTCGTAGCACTACAGGTTTTACAGGAATAGGCTTGTCTCTGGGAATAACCTGCAATTTCAGTCTGTCATACATTTCTTCTTGTTGATCTGTTGCTACTTTAGCAGGGCTAGCTATCACTGGTTGTGTCTTACTGTATATGTGACCCTCTGATGTTAAATGTTGCCCAAGGGCATCTGTGGGACTGGCAAACTCATAAGGTAGGTCATATTCCTCTTCACTGACATCTCCATCTGGGAAGACTATAACATAAAATAACTGCTTACAAATTGAATTATAAGAAAATCTGTTTCAGACAAAATTTCCTTAATGGAAAATTAACAGGGACCTTGGGGTGTGTTCACAATGAAACTATCCTACTACTTAGTTTGAACTAATTCTGCAGGGACTCTCACTGAATGCAATCAGATTAACATCTCTCTTGTTTTTTGGACATACTCATATGATCACCAACTTTTTGTATTCTACTCAACAGTTGAAGTAGGCATGGTTATCTGTTAAATTAAATCTGACTGCATTTAGCAAGAGTATCCGCGGAATCAGTACAATAGTTTAAGTGATAATTCACTATCGAGAACACAGTTAAATTTCATTTTGTTTATGTCTTACAAACTATTTATAGAGCAGACAATTTTTATGCTATATCAAAGATCTCTTCCACATATATGTACCTCTGATAGGTCTGTGAGTACCATAAGGTTCTGTGTACAGGTCTGTGTCTAACATTTCTTGTAGTGTATCAGCTTCCTCTGGACCTTCCTCCCCTTCTCTGGTGTCTATTACATCACTATAGGCACCATCCATAGGGGGATCCTGGGTTGCAATATAAGTTTCATTCTTAAGCAACAAATAAAATTTACATCAACCTGTATTACATCTTGTTTCTATAGTATATATATGTGAGGGGGGAGGGGTGTAAAAGAAAGGCAGATAAAAAAATAGGTAAAAGAATCTGCCTTTCAATACAGGGGTTTTCCCAGGATTTGGCATACAGAGATGTGAATCTTTAATTTGGTCATTGATTACTGGGAGTCCATCCCAAGCAAGCTCAACCAACCAACCCAAAAATTTTATAAGCCTTTCAGCTGTCTTTGGAAATTCAGGCCATCTCTTGAGGCTAATGGCTGTCCAAATGATGGCTTGATGGCTACCTGGGGAAAGCTCTGTTTCAATACAAAAGCACCCCTCTCTGCTGTCAAATAAGAAGTGGATTACATATATAAAAATATCCACTAAATGAGTAGTGTTTCCTAAATGATGCCCCATCTAAAATGTTAAAAATGAATATATTCAAGCAGCAGCTTAACCATACTTAGCGTTATTCTTAATATGCTTTGAACTCCAATCATACAATTTCACTTATATTTATAAATAAATATATAAATGTCTGACCACCTTGGAACACCTAAAGCAGATGCTGGAAGTTGTTTTAAGAGGTGTTTTCACATCTCAAATTTGTGCCAATTTATGATTTAAATGATGTCAAAGTACACTTCTACAATCTCATTTAACTTTCAGGAGTTGGCAAGTATCAAGCGCAAACCTTACCTCTACGTTTAAATTGGCTCTAAGGTGCATTTTTCTGAAATTGGCCATTTTGGTTGAATATTCTTGGTAATACATTTTTGACATCATTTATGCATCTTACTTTCAGTCATAAGAATTAGAACTCTCAGCCAATTTATCACTGCCATCTTCCTCCAGTCTGGCCAGCTCAGCTTTAACTAACACTTAGTATGTTTAATACACCCATCCACAGTAACATTTTGTAGAAATTGGAATAGCATTATTACTACCGAAGCCAAAGAAAATTAGACATATGAAAGTTCTGTCTCAACCCAGTGTTGCATCTGGGTATGGATGTCTTAGAACACCTACCTACACATACTGAGTAAATATGGCATCTTTCACGGCATATATTGAGCAATCGATAAGTAAAAAAGAGAAATATTCATTTTAATTATTTATACAGGTAATCCTAACTAGATTTCAAGGGATGTTTGTCGTAATCTTGCACCCTTAGGGGAGCAGCATGCTTCAAAATGATGGACAAACGTGTTTGTAGTGCCCAGGCCCAGAGGCAACACTGTAACCCTTTGTGGAATTACCTAGTAGTGGTTGGGATGTTTTTCGAAGAATACCTGTGGGGTAGGAAGAGAAAGAAAGTGGAAGAGGTGAGGGGAGTTATGTGTATGTTCCAAACTAGGAAATCGTATTTACTGACCTGTGCTTGTACTTGTTCTCTGGAATCATCAACACATTTTAGTGACCCCTTAGATCCATAACTGTCTGTGCTCGACAGACTCATACTTGAAGCATTACACAAAGTTTTTTCTGTTGCCGCGATTGCCATAACATTGTCTTTCTGTGCCCTTTTCTTCCCTTGCCTATCTTTGTCTTTTTCCTTTCGTTTTGACTTTGGGGATACAGTATGACCGAATGTTGTCAAAACAGGAGGTGAGTTTTGTAGCGAGCTTTGGTCCGATAGAAAGGTGTCTGAATCCGAGCCTTGATATTCATAGCTAAGCGAAACTGGTGATCCTCTCTGTGGTATAATTATATCAGCCCTTGGTGGAGGATATGTGTTCTTTTTACCTCCACCAAACCCTAAATGTTTCAGTAGTCTCGACATTTTCTCACTTCCGGAAGCACTTCCTATTAAACTATCCCGCAGAAACTGTATTGCTCTTCTCTCATTAAAGGAAAAAGGCTTCAAATGGACACGGCTGTATAATGAGCGAGCCTTTGAAGTTTTCCCCAAAACGACAGTATAATGTGACATATCCATATATATATATCAGAAACTTTGACGTTGAGATAATATCGAATTTATAACTACTTTGCTAAATTCAGTTCAAATAAAAGCCGAAATGTTGACAGCTAGGAGAAATCACTTGTCATTACGCCTTAGAATGTAGGCCTACTTTTGTGCTTTAGAACAAGTATGCTGGTTCAGTCGCACACTTGATGTCATGATAATGCAAAATAACAAGTAAGTGGTTGAAAATTGAAAAAGGAAAAATTACATAGAGTATACGTGTGCCAGAAACCAAAATACCTAAATTGTCAAAATTACTCCTAATTTTCACTTTTTGAAAAGACCCCCTCCCTCTTTTTAAGTAGGCCTAACCTCTCATTTTAAACACCCCCTAATAACTGTGTCACTTTTCAGTGGAATTATCTGGATTGCCAGAAATTCACCAAAAACAGATCGAATGCAAACGGAATTCTGTCCTAAAAGGTATCCTATCCAAACCAAATTTTCTTCAAGAAAAAATTATCCTACTCATCAATCATTGTTGTAACCATCCTGCATTTGGATAAGATGTAGGCCCTATTATACCGTTTTAATTAAACAATTTTGATTTTAATGACCGCCCTGTCACTTAGCCTGTCATTTATCTACCTGCACTATAGCAAAAAAACAAAAAAAAATGACATCAGGTAGCCTACTTTTATTGGGAGGGATTTATCGCTTTTATGGCCCGAGTGATAAAAGAGGTAGAAAATATGACTTTCCAGCAAAAAGGCCTACTGCCTCTTTCCCATCCTGTTTATAATAATAAGAATAAGGATAATAAACGCAAAACACGTTTTACTACGATATGCCACCAGGCGCATCACTTTTTATGGTATTTTAGGAGACCTTCAAAAGGCTTCACCATCCCGGTTTTATAACATTTTGTTTATATTTTGTTGTTCTAGTCTGCAGTGATCGGAAATTCAATTTGAAGGCTGACAAAAATTATTTAGGGACACGAAATATTCCACGAAACGGATTGTAATCGCCTCTTGATACTTTTCCCTATGTATAGGCCTACAGTGTCATTTTCACCCTTTGATTCCTTCATGTGCCCAAATCTAATTTATTTATTTATTTATTTATTTATTTATTTATTTATTTATTTGTTTGTTTGTTTTTTGGTCATCGTGGAAGAAATTAATTTCCATCTCCCGCCACGACAATAAGCTAACATGCGTGATGTCGAATTTCGAGGTTCTTTCACTTCACAACCAGTGAAGATTATTCGTTTATGGCAGATTAGTTGCATAATGGCTACCAATTCAAGTCTCGTGTTAAGACTAGGTTTTATTCCACAGCCTTTCATCATTTTTTCAAGCTGATACGTGAAATATATAATCCATCTATGGAAGGTCTTACCACAAATGTGTCAGAATAAACACAACTATAGGGCCTATATTAACGGAAAAATTACATGAACCAACGGGAACAGGCTAAACACGTTTTAAAAAAGCCCATAACTCACCGAATTTATAATTATTATTTTACATTCAAATCAAATCAAAACGATAGAATGAAATAAAATGCACATTGTATTGGAGAAGACCTTTACTTTGCATTGATAACAAAAATAATCAATACAAAGGTAATAAAGATGAAGGAGGCATAGTGTATCGTGTCCACGAGGGAAGAGGCTGTCACAGTTACGTGTTCTAATAATTATGTTATCTATTCAAATCAACGCTGCATATAAATATTTGAAAATACTTAGAAGCAAATATGAAAGCATTAATAACGCTAGATCTCACATTGATTGAAAAGGAAATGAGAAGCTGCGGCAATGTTGCTGTCGTGTTATCACGCATTTCGTTCTAATGTAAAAGCATGGGCGTTTCTTCAGCGTAGGGCACGGATATGAGAGGGTTTTCATATACTGAACACAAAATGAAAATTTCAAACGTCAGGAACAACCAGAATAAAAATATGATTTAGTCATTAGCGAATTCATTATACTAAGACGTAGTGCATGTATGTAGACATATTGAACAGACAGTTCTTTGGTGACTGACAACTGTGACGCTAATCGTCTTTTAAAAAGTGTTAACGCTGGCTTAAGAAGTAGACGGCACCCTAATCCGTGGCATGAGTGTTTTATTTCATATATGATGATGTATACGTCAGCATACAAATGTAGTTCCGTTCGAAAGCATACATTATATCCTTATTAATGTGAAGTATACTTTTGAACAGAACCATGTGCCGCTTCTGAGAATTATTTGTAAAGCTAACACTATTTTCCCACAAATCGCTTCGCTTGAAAATAAAATAAAAGTCATCTGTCAAATCATGATCACTTTCATAACATGAGGTTGACCTTTAGATTTGTTTTGATTGGCAATCCCCTTAACCCCTTTTCTCTGAAACATGGAGTCCATGGCAATTTCTGTTTTAATGTTTTACGCCTTTTAGATGTTGGTGGAATGCATATTTGCGTACACAGTAGTTATGTAAACCTAAATTCATTCAAACTAAGAAAAGATGACAAGAAATGACGAACGCAAGTCTTGATATACTAGCTAAGTCACGTTTGTGTTGCTTACCGCTGGTAGTTTGTTTGTGGCTCAAGTTCAATAAAAGAAGCTCAATAAACTATGCCCGTGACATCATAGGCGACTGGCTCCAAAATTACAAAAATGAGAAGTATTATAAAATTTACAGGTATACCAGCCATTTTGCCGTACAAAAGTGAACTAAATACTATTTGAGATTTTATCATATGGTAAAGAATAGTATAATAATACTAAAATTATATATCAGATTTTTAATTTCGTTTTCTCCGTATGCTTTAAATATGCCACCTGCGGCCATTGTGAGCCTATACGTGCGTTAGCTTAACTTTCGATGTTTTTATAGCTAATGTCTATATGTTTACATATTCAAATTATATTATGGTAATCAATAACAAAACTGGTTTAACAAAAGAAAAAAAACTATGGCTTAACATTTGTGTACATTTAATACAGCGTTTGGTGATTATTGTTAGTGTTGCAGAACGTTAATAGTTCGTCAACTTGAACAACTTGTTTAACCAAAATTTTTTCATGCGTCTTTGTTTATTCCACAGCTGTCACATGCACTTATTACAATGGCTCTTGACGATAGGTGTGATATTCCGAGTTGATTATTATCAATAATGTTTTCAGAAATTTTTACATACTATGAAGGATAATTGCCAGGTGAAGGGTCTGTGGTCGTAACAGTTTCGTACACGAATTACAACTCGGAGAGTCCTTAACATCACAGTTTGGTCATAGCGAGGGCCGGCTGTTTCCCTGTCAATCTGTCAGTGCTTTCCTAAATCGCAAATCCGTAATTGTTGAACACGGGAGGTGGTCAGTGTGACAGCTCCTGGTTTGCTTGATGTTTGTAAATTATTTACGTTTCTCATATTACCTGTTCAAGGGACTTCCCGCCACTTCAGCGTGATGTAGTGAAAGTTTGCAGCGGTTTAATTCACATTAATCGCATTACCCACGCAAGAAGCGCAGACTGGCATAGCGAATGCTACGATTCACCAGCGGGAAAGGCGACATCTAAAATATAACTGAGCCAAGACATAATTTCACGAATTTAGGACTTGAATTTACATACGGAGAATGTGATAATGTACGAGAGAGAGAGATAGGTCACATGCGGTTGTTGAAAACAACCAAAAAAAAGTCATATTTTATCTGTAGAAAATGCGTGTATTTATTTCTTTATTGATCAAGGGGCGATTCTTTTTGCATGCTATTAATGAAAACTTCAGCTGAAAATGGGTTTGCAGAGTTTCTCTGTCTTGGACATGGCACACGCACGCTTTAGGTCACCCGAGATCTAATGATTGTCATTCATGCAAGCTATCTCAGGTGATTGGTGCTCCTCCGAGGCTCTCTGGTTACTTTGTACAGAGTATAATACACAGAAATTAGTGCCTTTGAGATGGATAGTAGATCTATTCTTTTCTCGTGCTCTTTTGTATATCAAGATTTATCCAAATCAAAGGCAAATAACGATTATAATTAGCCCCTTGACGTTCGGTGCAATATTGCTCCTGTCTCCAGAGGAATAATCCAAGGACAGATTTGTGTAGCTTACCTTCGCTTTTGCAAATAGGTCGATACTTTAATTTTTCTCCGAAGCGATTCCACAGAATAACGCTTCAGGCACATACTTTCTAGAAGACACATTGTACCCAAATTGTCACAAGAAAAATAGATTTCACCGTTCTTTTTGAAGACATTTTTTCAGTAAATAAACACAGCCCAATGGATCTGCGTCCGCGAGTCCGTATAAAATATAAGAGAAAGATAATACCTTTTATTTGGACAAGCTGTAACTGACAGATTTCTTGTACAATCATTTTCATATATGAACATATTTATTTTCACATCCTTTTACAGAATCACCTCAAGAAAAAATAGAATAATAAGTACAGGTGTGAGTTTATAGAACGAAACTTTTTATTCCCATGTACAAAACCATGATCTTAGGAATTATTCATTCCTCCATTTTTTCATTATTGGTTTCTATTCATCCAAAAGTGATATCCGTTTAAATTGAATCACCCTTTACAGAAAAGGCAAAAGATGAAGCTCCCAAATTTGTATCAGTTCCTGTACAATTGTCTCAGAGGTGCACAAAGATCTGTACTTAAAGCGAGATCAAATTTAGCCAATGGTTTATAGCGCACATGTACATGTAGGACCGATCATTTGTCTTATTTTTATTTCGGATCATGGTTAAAGAATTACACTATCTTGCGGAAAAGATTTTTATCTCTGTAAATTTACATATATATCAATGTATCTCTTGTAAATTTACAAATGTTCATATCATCTCTTGTAAATTTACATATATATTCTAAGGCTTTATTCGTGTTCCTGAAGAAGAAAATTTCTAATAGATTATGACCATGTTTTACTGTTGGAAATCTGTTTCTTTGTTCCTTTTAACCCCCCCCCCCCCAAATTCACCTTTGTTCATATCATGTTACAGCAAGAAAGTTGCTGACCTTGGGGATTGATGTTTGGTTTTTCAGATCTGTCAAGATCTTAAGTAATTTTCAGTTCAAAATTTTGCTGTTACCTTATACTTTTCTGTCCCTTATTGACTCTGACAAAAATTCCTTGGTGCGTTTTTAGACGCAAAAAAGTCCATGCAATCTACATATGCAAGCCAATGAAAAGGAGGCCTGCTACATGTACCAATCAATTGGTTTTAGTTGAGTGCTTACAATCACATATAATTAGGTTTTAAAATTAATATAACTACTTGATATTAAAGTTTTGAAAATTAACTGTTTGAAATTAAGACATTTCTAACCTCTGTGGTATCATTTCAATATTTAATTTAACATTTGCTTTCACAGAATAAACATCTCAAATTGTCACCAAGCCTAGACCAAACTAATGCACAGGCTGTGGAGAGATTTTATCGCCTCCGTTCTTATGAGACAAATAAGTAAAGCACGGAATTTAGCTCTTCAATTATTCAATATGACATATTGGTTTGAAAATTAAATGTGACCGGTTGTCTTGAAAACGACCAAAACCTAATGCAGCAGGACCATATATTTATAACACACATACATTGCACTCTCCCCCACAAACATTCTCTCTGCCTCTCTCTCTATCGCTCTCTCTCTCTCTCTCTCTCTCTCTCTCTCTCTTTCCCTCTCTCTGTGTCCCTCTCTCTGTATTACACACACACACACACACAAACACACACACACACACACACTACAGTATATACCCGGTGTATTAGTGTGTTGACATACGCAATTATAACATTCACAATACGCATCTGTCATAAATCCAAAATAATGATAATAATGATCGGTATAATCCCAAATTCTAATTGCCCACAAAAGCGTCAGTCTCCACAGTTGACTCACATGAAAGAAAAGTCATGGGGAGACAGGCTGTGAGAGGGAGCGACACTCGAACGGAGACAGTCTCCCTAAATCCAACGAGTGTCTCTACAACTTAGATAATGTGTTGGCAGCTCTGTTTTCGAAACGTCAATCAAAACATTGAGGTGTAATTTTCGGTATGATTCGTACAATTTCCCTATTGTGGATTTTCTTGAACACCTGCTGCTTTAGCGCCCCTTATTATTTATAAACAGCCTCAAACAAATAGCGGTGAATATTCGCTTGGACAATATGCCTCAAGCTGAGCTAATTGCGTATGGCGGATAATCGCACAGAAAGCAACCAATCGGAACAGAGATCGAAGCTGAGATCGTTGGATACTCTTCGTGCAATCATACTTACAGGAAAGTAAACCTGTATATAAACTGCTAGTAGATGACACGCCGAATCAAACGGCAAGGAAACCTTTCTATGACTGTAACATCAACACTTTTCATCAATGAAACAAGAAAGTCAAATGAATTGACCATCTACGGGTAACTTTGTGTTAAGTAAGCAGCAAAGGGATCTTCAGTGGCAGCAGACGTGATCACAAACTCGGCATCCAAGGGGTAACTACGTCCAGACATTTGTGACAGTCTATTAACTTTTCATCATTACATCATTTTTGTAATTCAAGTAACTTAAAACTTTAGTTTTTGAAAAAAAAACTTATTTTTCGGATAAAAATGCAGCCTTCGAGTGGGCCCCAGATGCCATTTGTACCAACCACAGCGTCGCCAGCAACGCTTATTCCTTTTTCGGGGTTAAAAGTTCCGAACCCGACGTACCCTGCTCTCTCGGCTTCTGGGTCTGGACTGTCTGCAGTCGCTGCCGCGGTGATGACCCATCCCAGTCTACTGACGGCCGAATTTCACCACCGGGCTCATTTGTATGACCTCTCCCGGCTACAGTATGGTTTTCACGGGTACCACCCTCATGCATTTTCACCCTACCATCCCGCCGCTGGGTCCCCAGGGTTTGCCCATGCTTTCTTGTACGGCAGAACGACGGCGGATCCGCGTACCAGATTTCTCCACGAGGAACCGAAACCCAGTCATAGCTATATTGGTCTTATCGCCATGGCAATTCTCAGTGTTAAAGAGAAAAAACTTGTGTTAAGTGACATCTACCAGTGGATTTTGGACAATTATGCATATTTCCGCACTCGAGGACCAGGCTGGAGAAACAGTATAAGGCACAATTTATCCCTAAATGATTGCTTCATAAAAGCTGGGCGTAGTGCAAATGGCAAGGGCCACTATTGGGGCATACACCCTGCAAACATCGAAGATTTCAAGAAAGGGGACTTTCGCAGGCGCAAAGCACAGCGAAAAGTTCGCAAACACATGGGTCTCTCCGTGCCTGAAGATGAAGATAGCCCAAGCCCATCGCCAACGGCTCCCCCCTCTGACTGGCAGAGAAGAATGTTTGCCGATTCTCCTTGCCCAAGTTCAGACGCAGACGACAAAGATGCTGTGCAAGATAAAACAATCGCTGCACCTTCATCCCCAGTGGCAGAAGAAGAGGAGTTGATAACAGTGCTCCCCATTTCCTCAGCGAGCAGAAAACGCATGTTTGATGTAGAAAGTCTGTTGGCACCGGACGATGATAGCAAGTGCAACAAAACTAAACGACAACGCGTGGAGGAAGATTTCGCAAGTACAAGTGAAACGAAGCTCACAGAAGATGATAATACTGATCCAGAAGAGAGAAAAGTGAATGACAACAAGGAAAGTCGTGAAATAAAAACTGAAGCAAACACATGTAGCAGAGAATCTCCCCCAGTAGCCAGACAATTAATAACTGGTGGCTACCGCCATCACACTGGGGAGTTAGTTTCGTTTTCTGGAACGGGCTTCATGTGGCCTCGTCTGAGCCCTCACACCGCTACCCTCCACGGCGCCTTTCCACAAACAAGCAGCGCAACGGTGACTTCATGGTCTACCTTGGCTTCACACAGCCAAATATCTCCTCGCTTCCTTCGACCCACCACGTCCGTCTCGCCGCGTGAGAATAAAGACGTTGACTCGTTCAGGTGGCAAGAATCGCTAGCTAAAATAATGGCCAAATCCTACGACAAAAAGTTGAGCAATCCTGACAGTGAGTAACTACAATATTTATATTATACAAGTTGATATCCACATGCCAAACTGTACATATATTTGTTATATTGTAGTATAGATAAGTGTTTACAATATGTTGTCATTAGTTTATCCAAAACCTGAAGTCGCATATTATATGGTTATACTGTTATTATAAAAAGGATAGATATTGCCACGCATTATTGAATTGATAATATTTAATGAGACTTTAGTTATAAGAACGAGACACAATATTTTTTTATTTCAAACGTGCAATTTAAATCATATTTATATTTTATCATTTTGTCAGTCTATTGTTACAAAGCGATTAGTATTTGAGGATTAAAGGATTCCTTTTCACTGAAAAATGTCAGAAACAACGGTTTTGTTACCAAAATGACATTATCTTTTTGTACTCCTCAGTACAAGTTAGGTGCCACATCGATATCGCACCTCCCTAAACATATCGATTTCAAAAGGGAGAAGTTTTTTATCATGATTAGGATACGCTGCGGTTGCACATGCGGTTGCATTTTGCAGTTTTTCAGTTCTTGAGATAATCGTTATTATTGATAAATGTATTTAATGATACAAAAATATTGTATATGTGTACAGCTTTTTCACACAATATGTATGTGGCGCCTTTAAATGTTCCGTAACACTTAGTATTGATCAAAAAATTAATGCTGTGCGTTAAAATATTGTTTCCATCGTCAGTGTGCAATAATCTTTTATGTTGTTACTTTTTTTTTCAATTGAAATAATTAAAAAGCATTAAATGTAGCTGCGTTAATGTTCCAATTTTTATGTTGTTATTTATTTTCAAATGGATAATTGAAATGTATAAAATGTAGCCACATTAAGGTTTCAATTTTCAGTATATTTTCATAAATGTTAAGAAAGATTTCTGGCAAATCTTTGCATATTTAAAGCGAAGGAACATAATCAATTTTATTACTTTAACAAAATTGATATTCATGTATCACAGTGTTTTGATAGCACTAGCGAGATTGAAAAAAAAAGCACGTTATATATGTATATCATGAGCAGTTTCCGCCTAAAGCTGCATGCAGGCAGCACAGTTTATAATCTGGGGTTATCTCGGAGAGTAAGAAAATTTGTTCATTTTAAATTCTGTTTTTAGCGAAAACGGATGTCACCCAAATTAAGGATCTGTATGTATATGAGGATGCGTGACCAAATGTTTAGGTCACGCGCATGTAAAATAAACATAATCACAAAGACGGGGAGTAACCCCTTTCAACTTCCTGTAGACCGCGTTTGACACTTACCTAACCTTATTACTTGTACTATTTTATAATACAAGTAATTCTAGGAACTTTTGTAAGGTGGAAGAACTTTTTACTTTACATGGGGCATTTTAAATTAAGTTTGTACATGAAAAATGTTCATGTGTGAAATATGTTCCCATTCTTCATATTCAAGAATTGCAGTTAGTTAAATATTGCAAGAAAAATAATGGAAATAAATAAACAGGCGAATAAATCGATGCGACTCCACTTGTCATTATAAATTGAAAATAAATGCCAACATAAAGGTGATATAATTGAACACTGAACGCAGAACCAACCAAGTTTATTTTATTTTGATGTTCCTGACAAAGCAAAAAAAAAAAATCAGTAAAAAACGTTTGCATTGTTTTAAATCACTTTTTGTTCTAATACACTATATACAGTGTATACATGTATTGTAGTCGCATGGGAGTGAGACAGAACTCACTGCATGTAACTCGAGAGTTCGGATCCGGCTCGCGACCGATGAACGCCGTGTGCCATAATAGGTAAGTCACTTCAAAACCAATGCCTCTATCCACCCAGGTGAAGAAATGGTTATTATCAACCTAAAGTGTTGAGGGTAATGAGCCTGAAGCTACACAAACCATGAGCACAAATCTTTAGTAAGTTGACTTCTCAGTGGACTTAAACTTTACAATATACTGTATTATACTGTATACATATATAATGATATCTTATGTAGTTATAATTTGTCAGAGTTCATAGATAATATTAGTAACAGTTGTGATTCAAATTCGATATTTGCCAGCGCGAAAGAATTTTGTCAGTGCCTCCCTTTTTTAATTGAACTATTAAATTAACATTACATTCTTGAAAATTAAATGCAACTCACTTATTTGCCTGAATGGAAGACAACATTGAATATACCTTAATTTTATGCCAATTAAAATAGCGGGTCGCAAAAAATGTGAAATTCAGGGTAGTTTTAATGTTCTATGTATTCACTACTTAAGTGACCAGTGTGCCCTTATTAATCGAGATAAAACTAAGGAAAAGTAGAGCTAGACAAGATTTCTTAAACATTTAATATAAAACACTTATTATAAAATTATGCTAAACAATAGGAATAAATATATGAATATGTACAGTATAACACGAATCTTACAAATAGGTAAAAAGAAAAGTGAAAGTTGTAAAGAAACAGAAGACGGATTAACGAAAACAAGTTTAAGCATAATATAAATAGAACTTATAAAAATAGGACAGTAAACATATGCAGCCTGAAATATGCAAGGGGCACTTAAGGTAAACGATCCGCTTTACCAAACAAACAGAGAAAACTTAGAAACCGTAACAAACAGTGGAAACTTACAGGGAATTTTTTCTTGGAATTCGGGCTTAAGTAATGAACTCAGTAACTCAATAGAATCATTATCAACAAACTAATTTTCAACACTGTGCACAACTATCTAATTTCAACAATTTTAATTTACACTATACAGTATGCACAATACAAAATGCCGTAAAAAGAATTTGAGAAGAGGACTAAATTACGTTTTGAATGTGGACTTTAACAAAAACAGAAGAGGAATAAGGATGGGTTGAGAAATAAGGCGATGATTTTCAAATGTATTGGTGTGAATTATTTGAAGAACCAGAAAAACAATGGATTACGCTTTGACACGCAAGTCCATAGGTGAGAGAGAGAGAGAGAGATATGCTATGTACAAAACAATATACACAGTCTATTATAAATCAGTGTGTACCAGTGAAAAAACAGTTACACTTGAAAGATTTGTTAAATTAGAACTATTACTTCCGTCCCGTATGTATATGAAATGCCCAGAAATAATATGAATTCACAGAATGCATCAAATATGTCTCATTTATTCCATGTGTGTGTGTGTGTGTGTGTGTGTGTGTGTGTGAGAGAGAGAGAGAGAGAGAGAGAGAGAGAGAGAGAGAATGGATGTTGAAAAATTAAAACTAAATTTTATCTTGGTCCCTGTAATACTCACCCCCGCCATCATAATTTGTAAGTTTTAGGACTGGGTTTATCAGAACTTATTATCTGTTTAACGGCCATAACTGTCTATAGGAAAACTATTAAGATCTAACGTTTGCCATGACTATTATATAAAGAAAATATAAGAAAAAAAGATATACACTATGTTGGTCTTAAAGCACCGTTGCCTACGCATGTCTCGATCTTTCTTGGTGATATCGCAATAAATAATGAAATCTTTCCCTTTCAAAAAACGCTGCTATTCTGAAAGCCTAATAATAGGTAAATTAATTTAAAGTATTGACAAATGAAAACTGATTATTAGCTTATCGCGTTGCTCGTTAAATAATGCATAAGAATGGCTAATTTCATTGGCTCTATTGTCACTTCGAATTTCTCAGCTTGTAAGTTTTCTTCAATTACCTGTGACGATTGATCTTGCGAGGCGAGACACGGCGCTTTACTATCAGATTCACCACAATCTCGACTAAGTTTGAGATACGTGTGGCCACAGATAGAACTCCCCTCAACTTCTATTTGTCTTTTTCTTAGTTCCCTAAGGGAATGGAACATGTTGTCTTCAAGCAGGTCTCTCCTGCTGCAACATAGTATCTTCCATCGTACAGCACATCTTCCTTTTGCAGATTTTTCTTGTTATTTATTTATTATTATTATTATTTGCCCTCTCTAGTATGTTGACATGCATTCTTTGTATTTCGAGCAAGCTGGCAAATATGTAAAATCATTTTATGTTCATACTGGCATCTTGACATTGTATTTGAATGGAGGGAAAGTCAAGCAAACAGACATCAGACCAACAGAGAGAGCACACAACGTGACCATATGCAGACGTCGAAACGAACATAGTGGATAGCTGTGCAACTCAAATAACTACTAACAATTGTTAATGTGGTTGCAAATTTCAAAGAGTGTCATTTCTGTGAATTAACTGTTATGTTAATGTTAAATTAAATTAAATGTTTTATTTGTGTGCGTGTGTGTGTGATGTCCTAAAGAAAAAGCATTTTATGAACAGAGATGTGTAAGTAAAAAAGCAACAGGCCTAAATTATTCTTTAAATGATGAAAATGCCATGCGTTTACTGACAAAACCCCGTGTACATTTTACACTAGCTATTTCCACAATTTATATGTACTCAGTACTTGTTCAGCTTGTTTGATTAACTGCCTTCTTTGACCAATCTGTATCTCACTATCATGTTTAATTCTTTGTGCAATTCACATTGAACTAAACATCAATGCAAACATTTCAAACGCCAGCCTGTTTACGCTCTCTTTCCTCACACTTAGGCAGTCATTGGCCAGGGAAGTAATAAATACCTTCCAGATAAACATCATACTCGGTGCATTTTTCCGCAAGCCATATTCTTATGATTCTAAGAATCCTTGAATTCACACGTCACCCGATACAGGGAAAAAGACCGACGTCTGGGAAAACTTGTCAAATGTACCTACCCATTTAAGGTAGAATGTCACAGTAAGTCTTTTCAATATTAGTCTTCATTTCATCCCTTAATGATTTTGTTTTCAAATTTCCGTCTTCATTTTTGAGTAATACGACCAGCATTATAGCTAATAGTACCATTAAAGATCATTAGATGTCTTTAAGCAACTGTGATATGTCAAACGATTTCTTTGGAGAGTTTACATTTTCCTCCCCAGACCGACTTTCCTTTGATTGACCCATTCATCATACTTCTGTAATTTGTCTTCCGATTTTTGATTAACGCCCTTCTTCGCCATCATGTTGGGTCTCTAGGGCCGCGGAAAATCTTTTAGGGAGTCTAATTGGTCGTAAAGTACGCCAGTAATTGGTTTTAAATATTATTAAAATAACTAATTACAGGGGAAAGACAAATAACTCGAAATGGCAAATCTATGAGGAGTTATGATGACTCTTGGTCTTCTAATGGTGCAGCGGCATGGGGTTTCGTTAGTAATTCAATTTCCGTACTTGAAAGACATGTAGCAAAATCTATGTACTAGGCGCTGCTGTGCGACGCCTTTGTGTGTTTCTTCTAAAAGAACACTTAAGTTTTTGGAAAATCGAAAAATCACGGTGTTAATGGGGTGTTATAAGCTTTAACGCCAGAGACTCGTGTTGGGGAAGCCAGTCAGCGAATCTTTACAAGCACAGAGGGCGTATACCATTCATTCGCAATATGCCATTTAACCTAAATTAAATTTTAATTCATAAAAGAAATATTTTAGACTTAAAAATCACAAAATCATTTTTTTCTTTCGTCAGATGTGTGGAAATATGTCTTAAGTTAAAATACCAAATTTGAATGCACTCTTACTGTTTAAGACCCCCCCCCCTTAACTGGTCATTGGACAAGTGTCGTTGTGAGGAGAAATTCTCCAAATACAACTAATCTAATCTTGTACCAAGACTTGGGACATAAGATTTAAAGGAATAAGCTGTTGAAAAACGCGCCCCCCCCCCTTTACAAACTTTGAGTGTTACAAACTTGGATAAAGAGTTGCACTGTCGCTGCATTACACTGCAGGAGACCAGTTCACCTTTCCCTTAATTGTTCTAATGCGTTCTCAATTGTTAGAAATCACTCTGTCAATCAGCCATTAATCTTGTAGAAAGGTTTATGAAAGTAATGAAAGCACATGCAAAACGGGAAAATGGGAAAATGGAAAACTATCAAGTCTCATTAAAGAAATGTCAGAGTTAATGAATCGGGTAAATTTTATTTCTGTGCGCATATGTCCCCAACGTGGCAGAAAATGCGATGGTTTTGATACAACTCTTGATCACTCACACGAATACAGACGCATATACTTTGACCGACGAGGCTCAGTGGTTTTGGCAAAAAAATATGATATAAAACGTTGTGTGTTTGTGTGTGTGTGTGTGTGATAATAGTTAACTATAATAGGCAAACTACATGGGCACTCGCTAGTTTGTAGAAAAATGTTTCAGAGAAAGACACGGAGAGCTGCTGACTGCCACAAAGTTACCCGTATATTCCAATAAAATCTAAACAAGTACATATATATTTCTTACATTTATTGTAGATTAGCATATGTCAAGGTTGTAATGCATGTATATTATTAAGCTATAACCTTTGTAAAATGTGCTAGAACCAATGAACACTATCATAAGTACATTGCTGAAAAAAATACATG